TGCCTGGCCAAAATTAGCTTTCTTTCTTGTTTTTCAGATATATTCTTTTTAAAAAATCCAACTTCTACCTAGAGGATTATTCAATTACCCGAAAACAATGCTTTGAGAGGGGTGCTTAAGCCAACCAGATGCGACTAGAAAACCATTTTGTCTTCATAAAAAATGGATTCGATTCTGTGGGTTTTTCTCAACTGCATTTCTCATATGGTGGAGGGGGAGGAGGACGGACTAACAAATAAAGAAAACAAGGTCAGTTGGCAGGTGCACAGCGACAATAACGATGTCAGGAAAAAATAGTTCAATTCCTGTAGCAAAAACAAAACACACATCGGCATCGACTGTGGCAACATGCGGCTATAGCATCCATTCAGTCCCATCTCTTTTCCATCCATGTCACGGAACATTTATTTAAAATATCAATAGCATCGCATAATAAATTTCAGCGATGGCGCTGACTTACCCTCCTTCCCACCCAACTTTCGCTTGGATTATTAATGTGTGTTCACCACAACGAGATGAATAGGTGTATGTATATTTATGCTCGGCTGCCTTTCGATATTCAGTTTCCAATCAAATTACAAGTACTTAAGGCTATTATCTTCAGGTATTACCTAAAGAAATTAAAGTGGAATGAATTAAATAGAAATAACGGAAGACCGAGAGCAAGATTTAGACAGAAAATATGTTTTACAATCACACATTATTCTAGCCTTATAATTAATAATAAAATATTGAAAAATAAAAAGACTTCTGGCCTCATTAAGATGTCTGCTTAATTTATATCACAAAAGCCTGCATGCTTACTATTTTAAGTACATTTAAACCAACTACTATATAAAATACACAATTTAATTTAATAAAAACTATGTACCTATTCTCTTTGAGAGAAATGCATACCAAACTGTCCCCACTTATTCATCCATCTAAGTAACTAAAACCCAGTGAAGTAAAGAAACCCACTTTTCCCCCTTTGAATTTCATTGGAGTAACAGGATCTGACGCTCTAAATTAAATGTAAATTTGATTTCAACTGCAGCCATATCGATTGCCTTGCCGGTAAATTCGGAACTGATACGGTTGAACGTGAACCCACTGCTCGGCAGACCATCGCTTGAGATACCGACAAGCTGAGTTTCCGGCGTGAGTGCGGCGTGTAAACAACTGGTCACTCACCTGGCCACTGGCAGACCATGAACCGCCCAAGCAGCCCGAGAGGGGTGAGTGAGTGGGCTGGCTGGTGGCCAAGTGTCCCCGAGTCCACTGTCCAGTGTCGAAGTGTCCCAATGTTCCAGTGTCCTGTCCCTGACTTGACGGCCGACGCAATCGGTGGGTCGTTCGGTTCGGTCGGGTGCTTGAGCTTGAGAAATGGCACTGCAGCCGTCTGGCGCTATTATCCAGTATTTTTCTCGCCACTTTCGTTATTTTTTTGCCCGCCATTTGGATGTTTGTTTGTTGCCTGTGGTCCTGGTCGTGGGCCTGGTCCTGGACAGCCAGTCGACCATTATAAATTGTTATGTAGACACCTTGTGGCCGGCGTTCGATCCAACATGCTCGGTCACAATTGCCTTGATTCACTGGTAGAAACTAGTAGGTGAAAGCACGTTTTATGTTTAACTCGATTCATATAATTTAAGGAAATTTTTAGACATAATTAGTAAAATATTTGGAGTCTTAAGAGCAGCTCCTCCAATTAGCTCAATTAGCGTTTGTTCCCACACATAATTATCAAACTAATTAATTAAATTATTAAAGTACAAACGGTGCGTACAACTTTAATTGTATGTGAGACAAGTAGCCTATTTACAATTTGCCTTATTGAGAGTATATAATCCCCTCAGAGACTGCCCCTTATCCCCCGAGTACTAGGCCGAGCTCTACATTTGTATGTACAATAGGTTTATATTTAATGAATATCAATTATAGGTTAAATACATATCGGTGTATGGAGATATTATAATATGGATACGCTTAACGGCTACTAGACCTCCGACGACTATTTTACACTGAATTCCATCCGCACGCCGAGGGTCAGGGAAATCACTTCTTGCTCTGATGGCCGCTCGTTTGTCTCGCGCTTAACAATCTTCCGCGAGAGGAGGTCCTCGTTGTGGTCCAGTTCCTGGTCATCGGATCTCAGCTCGCGTTTCACGCGCGATGGCTCGTTCTCGTCGTCGTCCAGTTCAAAGACATTGTTGTCCGAGAAGGCCAAGTGGTTGATCTCCTTGAAGAAGGAGGTCTTTGCGTTACGAATGGTTCTATCGTAACCAGTATCGCTCAATGGTGGCAGATATGTGGCAGGAATTCGGCTGGTGCCTCTGTATCCTGAGTCTGGACAACGTGGATCGATGGAACCTGGATAACAGTAAATTGGCGTGGTGGCGTCGATCAGCGTCCTCGTCGTCGTTATAGATGTTCTTTGAGTATAAGGTGTAAAAGTGGGCCTAAAAGAAGGAATCGTGGTCCTTGCAGATACTGGAGATTGAGTCGTGACTCTGGGGCACCGGCTGTCAGTCGCGCCCGGGAAGCAATCGGGCCTGGCAGTGGTTATTTGAGTCCTCGGGGTTGGAGGAGCGTAAGTAATTGGTGTGGCTGGCTTCGTTGGAATTGATACTCTCCTTGTTGACGGTGGGAGATAAGTGGCCGGCTGGCATTTTATGTCGTCGGAGCCCTCGGAGCACCCGGCCCTTTTCGTTGTGGGAATTTTTGGACATCTCGGATCTGGCGAGCCGGGAAAGCAGTTAAGGCAATCTATATCTGTCGAGCCCTGGATGCAATTTGTCTTGGAAGTGGTTTCTGGTTTTCTTGGAATTAAAGGGGTATAAGTGGGCCTAAGAGTAGGAACAGTTCTTGCCGATGCTGGAGGTTGAGTCGTGACTCTGGGGCACCGGCTATCAGTCGCGCCCGGGAAGCAGCGAGGCTTTGGCGTTGTATTTTTGAGGTGATTCTGTAGACACAGCGGGTCTGTGGAATCCTCGGGGCACGATATGGTCCTGGAATCGCCACAGGAGGGATCTTTGCGCGGATCTGTGAGGTCCTCGGGGCAGAAGAGGTTCTTGGAACCGCCACAGGCGGGATCCCTCCGCGGGTCTGTAAGGTCCTCGGGGCAGTAGAGGTTCTTGGAATCGTCACAGGAGTTATCCCTCTGGCAAGCACCATTGCAAAGCTCAATGTCGCACTTTAGATAGACTTGGAATCGGTCGGGGAACCGGAACGCCTTCAGGGTGTTGTAGTAGGTGGAGGTGAGACTCGATCCTCCCTTATATCTTTTCCACTCCCCAAAAATCTTCTTTATAATTGAACACCCTCGCTTGTCCGAAAGCTGGATCCTCTTTGTGGTTCGGTCCTCGAAGTCCATGTCGTCCGAGGCGTAACACTGCAGTATATTGACATCCCAAGGCTGTTCCGAGTGCTCCACGTTGATGGTGAACGTAATGTCGGCTCCGAGGCTAAGGCTACCCGAAATTCGCTTGATATTGGGCGTAGCCCCAGTGCCGAGTTCCAACCAGCACTTAACGGGACCACTGGGAGTGTCCACGGAAATGACCTCCAGCATGACTACCACAAATGGCTTAAAGTACATGGTCTTCTCCCGCTCATCGCCTCGACTGCACGATATTTTCCGCGCAATATCGAAGTTGTTCTGAATGTCCCTGTCATTCTGGATGATCAGGATATTCTCGACGGAGGCGCAAACGAAGCAGGCGGGCTTGCTGCCGCAAGCGTTATATGGCACAGAGAATACAAAGCTGCAACCAGTTTTGTCGCCCTTCACATAGCTTGCGAAGAAACAAAAATAATATAATAATACTCTCGAATATTTACAAAAAAACTTACTTGCACTGGGGATCGTTAAAGTATCCCTGACTGTAGATGACTCCTTCGAAGTCCTCCGAGAACTCAATCTCGACCAACATGCCATTGCCTTGGTCGCATTTCACATTGATCTTCTCAATGTTTTAGGCCGACAGAGATCAGATCAGTGCCCAAAGTAATGGCCTTGAACGTTAATCAGAAAAATATTCATTAACTGATGGCGATCTCTAGAGATCCGATGTGATTGCACTCACCAAGAGCAAGGCCCACACGAATATGTGGCCGATGTTGACCATCTTCTTTATTATAAGTCTTAAGCTTTATTCTGTAATCAAACAAACAAAAACAATTAAAAATAATTGGTAGTGTATTATTTTAGGTTTGAGCTAATGACTGAGCATAAAATATTAAAGGCTGACTTTTATAATGACAATTATATTTTTTAATTTTATATGTAATAGTTTTCTTAACTGAAAGTAAAAGCTAAAAAAGAGTAACTAGGAAGGTCTAGAACGAAATGGCGAGACTAAAACTATAAAAATTATAGCTTAACATAAGGTTATTTCCATATTTAATGAAACAGTGGCTCACCATTAAAATCTTCTATATAAATATGTTCTTCTAAGAATTGAATTTCTTAATTAAAATTGTGTTCCCAATAATGTTTTCTTTAAGTGTTCTCATGCTATGCCCGTCCCACATCATCCTTCCTATCCCTATATTTGCTCTCCTTTGGCCCAATTTGTCCTGCCGCCTGGGGAGTGGAGGTGAAGGAGGCTTCCCATCTAGACTGGCGCTGGCTTTGTTTAATTTTGCAATTGTTCTTGTTGTCGTTGTTGCTGCTGCTGCTGCTGGAGAGGAGTCATCGCCACCGATGCGAAGTGTCATTAAACTCGTGCCAATGCAATAAGTGTTTATTGTTTGCCCATTGCTCGGCTCAATTGTTCATGTCTAATTACCGCTCAAACTTTGTCACCGAGTGGCCCTCGACGCTGGTCATTCGAATGTGCATGCTCTTGGCCCAGTTTAATGGGCCAGTAAACAGGAAAGAGTTGACCAGCAGAAGGATTGTTTCAAAAGGCATAAAAATAATTAAACTGTGTAAAGCGAGAAAATTGCTAAGGTAAAGTACAAATATTTTAAATTATTATTTTATATATTTTATATAGATAAAAAGCCCAGAAAACCCTTTGAAATAGTAATCAGTTATTTTGGAGGTAGGCAAAATTCAGAGGTATCCATTATGAAAAAACAGATTGTAAAGGAGTTCATAACCGTGAAAAAGGTATACCGACTACCGCGAGAGCCGCCACCACCGCCGCCGCCGCCCAAGCGGTGTGTCCTTGCCGTGGGCTGCTGCACTCTGGACATGATCACCATGGTGGACCTGCCACTGACTCCAGGCCAGAAGCAACGCACCAAGGACGGCCGGTGGCGGCGAGGCGGTCCGGCGGCCAATATCTGTACCGTGTGGCGTCGTTTGGGCCTGGATTGCGAGTTCCTTGGTGTCCTAAGCAATGTGCGGGCATTCGAGAGCCTGCTGAATGGGTTCCATTCGCAGGGCATCGACATAAGCCACTGCCCACTGACAAACCATTATCCGGCCCATCGGAGCATCATTATTAGGAGAGACGCGGACGCCAGCACCATGCTGGAGTTCTCCAACCATCACCACCAGCTTACGTACCAACAGTTTGTGGGCGCTGTCGACTACCAAAAGTACTCGTGGATCCACTTCGAGAGCCGCAATCCCGCCGAGACGCAGCGAATGATAATGGCAGTACGCGACTTCAACGAACGCTGTCCCCATCTGCGAATCGTCATCTCTGTCGACCTGGACAACTTGCACCCGTCGACCATGCTCATGGCCAGTCTGACGGATTACGTCTTCATCAGGAGGGCCACGATTCGCGTCTACTCGTTTATGAATGGACGCGAGGGCGTCTGGGCGGTCAGGAATGCGATGAACGAGGCGAGCTCCAAGTGGGAAAAGACTCAGCCCCGGAAGATGCCCTACTTGCCGCCCGATGAGCCCACGGAGGAAGAACGCTGCATGGAACCGCCGCCAGAGAAACCCATCATCATATACAGCAATTACTTGGAGGGCGCCAGCTGCCTGAAGGCGGACGATACATACTTTAAGGTTGGCGCTCATATTCCGAGCAACATCGTGGACGCCATTGGGATGACTGACACCTTCTCGGCGGCCACCATTTATGCTCTACAGCAGGCGAAGATGGGACTACGCGATGCCCTCGAGTATGGCAGCCGAGCAGCGGCACTCAAGATGACGGACAATGGATTCAATATCATGCGTTGTATGCCCAAGGACCTAATGGGTTGCTACTACGCCTGAGGCAATAAATCAATTAAAAGTGTTTATGTACATAATCAAGGGGAGTCTATATGGAGTATACAAATATATAAATGAAAATAAAATCTTTCTTTTTTGCTCTCCTTTTTTGAAGCGTCCACATTGGCCACAAAAAGAGGCGCAGGAACCGGAAATTGCGCTTCACTTTCAGCTGCACACACACACTCAGCACACACCCTTTGTCCAAGCCATGACCTCTGGAGTACATACCCCCATGCTGACCTTTTGCATGTTGCCAAGTGCCGGAAGCATCTGCATGATACTCCTGCTTGCATACATTTCGGGGTGCTGGCTCCTTTAAATTCAACGGACTGTGCATCCGGAAATTAAACATTTTGCCCGTACTTTCTCAGGCCCTGCGGTAGTCGTCCCTGTGCCTAAGTGCGCACAGCCATTCTCCAGTTTGTTCTCAATTCAATTCACTTAAAAGGAATGCCAGAAAAAAAAAGTAACTTTCTCCAGGGGGGGAGTGGTCACATTCCAAAGGAGGTGCATCCTTTGCAGAACCATTCAAATTACCATTTTACTTTTGGCTTTTCCCACTGCTCCTCCAGCTGCGTCAGGTGGGTAGCAGGCCAAATGGAAAAATTGACAGTCACCCTTAAGCCCAGGGTAAGTTTTACCAGGTCATGTGAAATCAGGATAAGGGAGGATCGAGCTCTTGGCCTCACAAGAAACTACCGAATCACAAGTGTGATTCTAAATCTAAAGACTTTTTGAAAAGCAATTATAATCTCTTCAAGAGATTATCAGCTTGACAGGAATTTATTTGATTAATTTGATTATTCATTTCAGAAAGAAAATTAAACACGACAGTCATCTTTAGAAATGTAAATTTAATAAGTGCCTGGGATGGTGCTTATTTTAAAGATTTTTAAAACAATAATATATGATATATAAATAAATAATAATATATAATATATAAATAAATCAATCCAAATAATAAAATAATTAATGTGACAACAAAACATGAAAAATAGAATATATATTATATATGTACATATGCTATCCACTGCGTATGAGTAATATTTTTACTCGGAAATCTACACTGCGTATGAGTTATATTTTTACTTCGAATCAATATGAAAGTTTTAAATAAAAAACTTTACAGAAAAAAGTCATAAACAGATATTCTGTGTAAAAATGTTTACTTTATTTAAGTTAAAAACTGCGTAGGTTAATTTTTAATACATGAGAAACACTGCGTATGAGTGATGTATACAAAATTCCCAGCCAGGTGCGTGGGTTCCGCCCCGGAAAAAGTTATCGCGCCTCAGAAAATCCTTTGCGGCTGGCTTTTCATATCGATACGGTGACAGACAATTATAATTGTATTTAATTCTTTTGATTGATGCTTTGTGGGCTTTGCACGACGTCGACGACACATCTCCCCGAGCCGCAAGGAGCAGGGATACACGATAGGCAGGATACAGGCAGGCAGACACAGACACCCAGGCATGAAAATCAACGTCAGCAAGGTGTGCGAATGGCCCATCCCCTGTCACATGCGTAAATAAATATTATTTATGAGTTCCATTGATAAATATAATTTATTTCTCTCATTTATACCATGGGAACAATCCTGCGGCCTTAGCCGTGGTGTAGGTGACAATGGTTGAATTATTAAATATTGAATAATTCGGGTAGATATGTATGCTCATTCTAAATATAATTTAAGGCTTTACTTAACTTTTTAAAGGCTCATTTTACGACTTTACCTGCTTACCTTCGATTTGCAAGCCCCATAGACTTGTATTTATTTCAAGAAAATTGCATTAAACACTTTAGAAATGAGTTATGATACAGGGGAATGTGGCACGTGAGAAAAAGAGTCTGGGACGACACAATTCAATTCATTTTTGTTGTTCCCCAGAGCGTGTGCGAGTCCAAGGCATATTCGTCATAAGCAAAAGTCGTTTCATGGAAATATAATCCAGCGCCATATATTTTTATTGATGGTCGGATGTGAGAGGAGGACTGGGACCTGGCCAGCACGGGTGCGAATGAGTTTATTTATGAGTTGTGTGTGCAGTTGATGTTTGTGAATACATTAACCCAATCGGGTGCAGTGGCTCATAAGGGATGCCCATAAACGGGTTTGCATTAATAAGCGTGTTTGTAATCAGGTCTAGATTACTATCCTTTATAATGAAAATTAGTTCTCTGTATCGACTTAACAAGAACAAGAAAGTCATTTAAATATTATTCCCGAAAGACTGTTTAAAAATATATATATTTGAAAAACAAAGAAGTAGTCATCTTTCGTTACATTTACCTCCCAATTTTATATTTCAATTTTTACATTTTCCTTAATATTAACCCATCATCCCTATGGCAGCTAGATGATACTGTCATTCGATTAATATAACTTCAAGGGAGTAGTATTTTATGTTAATTATTAATATTTGATTTAGCCAATATTAAAGTTAAAAGCTGGTATTGGAAGTCCCTTAACCACCGTACCAAGATCCACGGTTCTCCACTTTTCCTCCAATATCTCGATGGTGTGCTTCTTGTTCCTCTCCAGAAAGGTCTTTGACCAATCGCCCTTCAAGCAACCACCATCGCAGTTGCATCCAAAGGGATTACAGGGCCCTTGGCCGCACCAGGTTCCTACCAATCCGGCACCGTTGGCGCAGATGGTAATGGAGCACCTGTCTGAGGAACCATGACCTCCAACGGCACCGCAGGAGGCGTCCTTAACCTTGTAGGTCAGGTCCAAGAACGATGTGCAGCAGTCGCCGTTGACGTTGGCCCTTAGAAAGCAGATCGCGACCAGAACCACAGAGCAAATGTATGAAGAATGCATCTTGAGGTAGCTGCCGATGTAACTGACTGTCTTCTCCATTAATTCTCGGTTATTTATGGGAGATTTTGTTTACTTTATCACTTATCAGGGGGATTATTAGAGCTTACCTGTTGAATGTTAATAAAGTCAATAGGTACGAAAGACGAAGGTAACTTAAGGTAATTGACCACAAAATTGTACGTTGACTTAAACGACTTAATGAAAGTCAATGCAAAAACAAAACAAACACATACGGTAAATATATATGCTGAACAAAAACAAAGGAATTTTAACTTTCATTATTTATACTCCGATTGTTCCTATGGCCCGCTCCGACAGTGAGAATTTTGAGAAGACTATGTGCAAAGTTTTCTTTAGATAGCTTAAAAACTAAGGGACTAAACAGGCGGACTTAGCTAGATCGTCTCGACCGATCAAGAATATATATTCTTTATATTGTCGGAACCGTTTTCTTTCCTGCGTTGCAAACTTCTGACTTAAATTATAATACCCTGCAAGGGTATAATTTGTAACTTGAGTAAACAATGTTGATAACTTCAATTGTGAATCAGGGATTCTTTTCTGCAATACTTACCTTAAATTTCAGTAGCTCTAAAATATACAAAATCGATATAAATACTATTTATTAAGTTCTGAGCCTCAGTCCAGACAGCCGGAAGCTTGAGCCGAGGATGTTGTTGACCCAACCGGATCTCTACCGTTTGGCCGCTACGTCGAGTTGTGCTTCTCGGTTCTCCAAGGGACCAGATAGGAATACGTAGGGTTTAAAGGAACAACTCCCCACATTGAGATTGCCTAACCGAACCCTCGTCCCCAGATATCAGCAAGTATATGGAACATACCCTTTGGAAGGACCAAACTGCAATAATTGGCAATTCTGTGAGAAGGTTCCAAGTCTCTCGGCAGTGGAGGCTGATTCTCTGGGTAGTCCGGTGGGTGTGGTTTGCTCGAATGCTACCATGACGAGTCCCATGCAGGAAGCGGAGGCAACCGCTAGGTATTTTGCCACCTACTTGAAAGCCTTCGCCTTGATCTATGTCCTGCCGGAGGTTGACTGGACGGCGGAGAATATGGACATGTTGCTGGAGCAGGGCATGGATCTATACCAGTGCAGTTCCGAAACGAACAAGCCGAACGATGATGATCAGCCTGGAAACCAGCTCCTCGAACCCGGGGTTTATACCAACGAGGAGAAGCGCATCAAAAGGAATTTTAAACTCGAAGGACACACCTTCACAATGGCTGTGGAGCCTCGTTATCTCGGTGAGGCGACCAGGCCACACACCATCAAGAATTTAAAGCGTGTTCTCCAGGCTTTCTTCAAGTCCAGTCGCTATTGCTTACTCCTCACCCGGGTGGGTCACCTGCTCGTATGGCGCCGCAGAAAGTCGTTCTTTGTGCTGGACGTCAAGGGCAGGCGGAGGGATGATCTGCGGGGTGATAAGGACAACGGCGTGGCCATGCTGGTGTGCCTAAAGACCATCGACAGTGTGGTTTATCTGGCCAGCAATTTAAGTGATATTACGCCCAAGGATGTCTTCACCATCCGCGAACTGGTGGTGGTGCGTCTGAAGACTCCGGATGGACGAATCTATATGCGGGACTCCAGCTACAGATCTGTTGAATTCAAGGTGGTAAACAAGAGCTACGCGTACTTGAAGGCCACCCTCCACCTGTCTCTCAACCAGAATGGGACGGTGAAAAATCGCAGCAGCCTGATGGTGGCCGTGGGCTCAATCCTGGCCAGCAAAATCGATCACCCGGCAAACTGGGATACCCATATGCTGGATCGTTTGATATGCTACGGAGTCGATCTATGCTTCAGCAGCTGGTCCGACTGCTTGAGGGAGCGGCGACCCATTGACCTGGACACCTTTCCCACCCAACTGAGAATAGGGCAGTTCGTTGTAGCTCTCCAGCTTATACCTGGTGTAAGACTGGGTCACTGGGAAAACGAACTCGACGTCGTTAGCACGGATTTTGAGGCTAACTGCACGGATGCTCTCGAGGGATTCGGCAACCTGGTGTTCCAGATAAACAGTCAGATATACGCCATGTGGTTCAAGAATGACTTTTACTACCTCCTCGATCCCTATCGGCACACTATTGTCGGCACTCACGTGGAGGAGGACCAGTATGAGGGCGCCAAGTGGGCCACGCTTCGCATGTTCCGCGACCGACTGACCATGCTCAGCGTGTTTCACAATCTGCTCCAGGAGACGAACAGGCAATCGGCCTACTCTGTGCATGCGGTGCGGATAAATAACATCGCCGAGTGCCCCCAGGGTTTCGTTCCGTCACCTTTGCCCGAGGAAGTGGATACCTGCGATGTGGAGTCCCTAAATGAACCCATTTTGTTCAGCGACCAGCTAGGAGCGACTGTGCAAGACCATCGTCTGACAGAGATCAGCAGCGACTGCGAAGACGAAAAGGAGAATGATCCAAAGAAGTTTCAAGTTTTGGAACCACGACAGTGTGCAGGAGCAGCCGAGAATAGAGTACTTGAAGCTCCCACACGTTCTCAGCCCAATCCATCCAAGAAACCGATTGTTCCCACACCAGAAGCCACCAAATCGAACACCAGAAGCCTGAAAACCTCAAAGAAAATCCCTCCAGCAACTGTGGCAAGAAAACCGAAAGTAACTTTTAAGGAAGCTAAACATTCGGGAGCCTTTTTTCAGGATTCGGGAAATACAACACAGCGAAACTCCTCTAGAAAACCCGTGAAGTTAAGCAGAATCCCAGCTGCAAACTATAAAACTGAATTCAAAAGGGAAGCAGGCGGCGCCAGGGTCTTGGACGATTCTACTGCAATTTCCAAAGCAGCATCCAATGCTGACAAGGACCTCAAGGCCAAGTGGTCTGAAAAGGAATCAGCCATCATACGATTAGGTTCTAAAGTGGCAGCCACAAATTTGATAACGTCAAGAGATGTCTCAATCAGGGCTTCCAGCCCAAGCATACTTCCCAGCAAAGGACACCCAAACCCACAGGATGCTCTCAAGACAAAGTCAGAAGCTATATCCCCGCACACGACAGTTAGCAAGCAATCCATGGCTCCAGTGACCAACAAACACTTTCCCACATCCGTTTCATCGGAAACTGGCCGCCGAGCAGAGCAAGCTCCCTTCCAGAAACAAAAAGAATTGAACAACAAAGAACTCCATGATGCACGCAAGAGAAACGGGTCCCTGACTCGTTTTCCTGGCTACCATCGAGAGCCACAGCTCCTGGCCGTCGCTGGATCCGAAAGTGGAACCGTGGAGAGCCTGAATCGGCTGCTGGGCTCCGCATTCAAGGTGGCCAACAGGGTGCTCACGATGACGCCCTGGGGCAACTACGTAGTCTTTCAGCATAGTCCCGACTCTGCTCAGAGCTCAGTGTCCTCGTCATTCTTCCTCTTCGACGGCTGTACATGCAACATCGATCGCTTCCGGCACCTGGATCTCTCGACCGGCACCGCCGGCTTGGTGGCATTCCGAAAGCTGTCGGAGGTGATATGCCACATGATTGATTCGAGAGAGAAAAAGGCTCTTAAAAAGCTGCAAAGCCGGGCGAAGAGGAATGACTAAAGCAAACTTTAATTGTTTAATTTTGTACATCGATATGTAGGGAATACAAATTTTATAAGTGTCAAGAGGTCTTGTCTTAGATTTATTTATTTAAATTTTTTTTAAGGATCAAATTTCAAGCAGAAGTACAGAAACAGGTAACCTAAGAGTATTTCGTATGTGACATTCACAATTATATTAAAACATAACAAAAATTAGTTTTCAAAGTCCAAAAATTAAATAAATACCTATAATATTTTCGACAACCCTAAACTAATAAACTGAACCTACATTTTAAGGACCCAAGACTTGGGCATTGTCGTAAACAACAAACAGAGACTGAATCGAATGGAGGCAAAAACAGAAACACGTATCCATGCGTTGAACGGAAACACATTTGGAGGTGAGATGGAGTCACCCTTAACACCTAAAACCCCCTCTCCACCTAGCCTGCCCTCATCTACCAGGTTCGGTTCCGGAACTCTCCGGTGTGCGATTACGAAAGCTAGTCTGTGCTAACAGTTGCTCGGGGCCTCGGTGCCGCCCTGAAAGTTTGCTACGCCACTTGCCACTTTGCCATTCAATGGAAAATGTTGAATTCGTTAACTAAAACCGGCACGCACTCGATAATCCCCCAATCGCTGCCAAATACAGTGGGCTTTATTCTTTAAAAACCTCTCCAAACCATAACTAAGTAAACTTTAAAAATTAGTAGTGAAAAAGTTCTTGGTGAGAGCTTAATCTATTGTATACTAGAAACTTGTGATTTAAGGCCTGAATTAGAATAATTTTATTATTTCTATTTCGATGCCACTGTACTTATGTCTCCTCTTGCCATTATCGAAATTCCAAAGGTGTCAGCAAGTCAACAAAACAAAGTCTTCATTGTTTTTCAGAAAATAAATAGTCGTATTTAGGATTAAAGTTCTGTGTTTGTAAAAATTCGTCTTATTTTTATACCCTTACAGGGTATATGATATTTTTATCTAAAAAATTATGATATAAAAATATAGATATGGATATTTATTTATAGAATATATCCAATTTTTTAGAAGGGCATTATGATTTTAGTCCGCAAAGGAGTCATTTCCGACCCCATAAATCAAATTATCAAAACTAATATAGAAAAGCTTTCCGAATTGAATCTTTTATTATCATTATAAAAGATTTTTGATTCATTGCCAAGATCTATTGGCAAACCGCAAGGGCACACAAATATTAGCTTCCCAAAGCAGTTTCCTTTCGTTTCTTGTTATCAACAATATTACCCAAGGGCAACCTTAATCATGCAGCAGAAATGGAAAATCTCACGCATTAATCACATTACCTTGTCATCTAATCATTTTCAAAATCGATAGTAAATAGCTCAACGGTATATCTTTAATAACCCATCCAATGTACACACTTTTACAGAGAAAAATTCTTTCGGAAATGAGTTCTTTTTCTCGAAAAAGTAATTAAGCCATCATCATCAGTCGTTTCCATCGGTTCGTTGTTTGTCCGACAACGAAAGGTGGGCAGAAAGGCGTTAAGCAGCGGGGCGGGGTAATTAAAATGGCAAAAATAAATACCTATTAAGAACGTTTACACTGATTGACACTTTAAGGCAATTTCCGGCCATAATTCCACGCCACAAAATGGTGCTCTGGTGCTACCCCAAGAAAGTGTTTACCCCGCGCAGCCAAATGTCGAGCTATCGATTTATGTTATGTCGGGAAGCAAGTCGGGAATCGAGGGGGTGTATTTAGGCCAGGCATGACACGCTTTACATTAATTTGAAAATTTTGACTTGGCCCGCTTTAAGTTGCTTCCCCCTTCCCCCGTTCAATGGCCACTTTAAACCAGGAAAATTGCCTTGGCAGTGAACGTAAAATGGGAGGTGCTAAGTAGCCCACATTTTTGGGTTTATTTATGAAGTTTCATTTCTGTTTGGTTTACCGAAATAGCATACAAAAATGTTAAGCTTCTTAACGGGGAGAGTTTTGTTTTAATTTTAAATGTTGATTTTTGGTTGGTATATATTAAAATAACTACTTGAGAATAAAAAATATGGAAACTGGCAATAGCATTAAAACCTGCTTAAATAATACATGAAACTGGTGTACTATTTTTCTCTTTAAAGATTGATAAAGTGTCAAAACACGTATTTAAACATTAAAATTTTGTGGAACGAATTTTCGTATAGTCTGCGTGACTTGCCAAGGAGGTCAACCCAGGCAGTACCTAGATTTGTAGACAGAATACGAAATTAAATGTTCAATCAATCTCTGCGGGAACCAAAAGACTAGAAAACTCGACGCAGTCACCGCGGCTTAATCCCGCCTCCTGGATGACAGCTCTTCTGCCACAGACCGTGCATAGCTCACTGTTGTGGTTGACAGAGCTGACACATGCGTCTGCTGGGCTGTGCCGTGCTCCATGTGTGTCTAGTCATGGCATCCGCTAATTTTTGCCCCGTCATTTTGCACGGTTGTGCCGGGGTGTGACTACAAAACATCCCGAGCAAATTGTTTTAATTTCTATTCCAAGTCAAAGTTTACTCATGAAATTCATTGGCCAAGATTGCCGTCGAACTTGGTCTGTGTTTCGAAACTGAGTTTTCCACTCAATATGTTTAGGGAAAGCTAAGGAAGTTCTTATATGATTAGTTTTCTGATTACAAAAGTTCGATAAGTTGAGCTTGATCAAACTGAAAACTTGCGAACAGGATTCAACTACAGAGCAATTTTAATTAGTGATTTAGTAAGCACTACTAAGTTACCGTCCCACAATGTATTTAATAAGCAGGTGGAGGCACCTCCTCCATTTTAAAAAATGCCTGAACCAAGAACCGGAATATACTTCTTCCAGGGTTTTTGATCATCAGGCCTTAAATCTTGGCCTCAGAATATATTTTATACGTCAGGTTTTAAGAATCTTCTATCTTAAAAGTGACAAAAAAACTTTTGAGGATCACTTCAAAATCAATTTTTAGACATTTGTATGTTCATTTTTATACCCTTGCAGGGTATTATAATTTAAGTCAGAAGTTTGCAACGCAGTGAAGGAGACGTTTCCGACCCTATAAAGTATATATATTCTTGATCAGCATCAACAGGGGAATCTTTCTAGACATGTCCGGAAGAAATCGATTTTTTGGCCATTTTTGCAAAATTTTATAAGGGGTTACATCATTAAAATTTTTGATTTTGATAAAAAATTGAATTTTCAAAATTTTTAAATGAAATATGCAGATTTATTAACTGTCGAAAATCTTGCACAGAACAGTTTTCCGATTTAAAATTAATGCTCTTTTGGCCGAGTTATGATATTTTTAATTTAAAAAAAATTAAGAAGTTTTTTAATATAAAAAATCCGATTTTATAATACAAAATAATATTTTTCTAAGTCAAGGAATCATTTCCGACCCCATAAACCATATATATTCTTGATCAGCATTAACATGCGAATCTTTCTAGACATGTCCGGAAGAAATCGATTTTTTGGCCATTTTTGCGAAATTGATAAGGGGTTACATCATTAAAATTAACAAAAAAGGCCAAAAATTTTGATTTCTTACAATTATAAATTGGGTATGCAATTTTTTTAAATTAATAAAAACTAACACAAAACTGCTTTCCGAATCGAAATTAATGCATTTTTGGCTTAGTTATGATATATTTTTATTGTTACCTGCAAGGGTATACAAACTTTGGTTGGCCAAAGTTAGCTTTCTTTCTTGTTTATTACAATGTCATATAACAATTTTTTTAGTCCTTAGAGTTAATATTTAGAGTCTTGAAAAAATGGCCGCTTAAGGTGATTCAAGTTCCACTCTAGCTTCTGAAATTGTAATCTAATTTTAACATTCTCAAAAAAAAAAACTGTAGCTCAATGTATTGTCTAAGTGGTAAATTAATAATTATATATATTTTTTAAATTTTGTAGCTGTGGTTGTTTGTTGTTTTTTATTCAAGCCAAATAATATTATAAAGCTCCCCCAAATCGGTCACACTGATTAACTGATACCGAGAGCTCGCTCTCGCTCTGCGATCGTGGGTTCAGCCCATGGGTTCTCTCAGGGGTTCTCTCCCCAAAGCGATAAGGAGAATTAAAAACAAAAACATCTGTGAAACACGAACGACAATAAATAGTACCAGTAAAGCAGGTACAAATCAACATTTCGATTAGATTGAGCTCGAAAAAAAAACTACAACTAATTGAGGGAACCCGGAAACCCTCAAAACCTAGAAGTGTGCATAAGTTGACCTAAAAACTTGGAATATTAGCAGCGAACAATACTATAAATAATAGCCATAAATTGTAAGCTTGGAGCAAGAACCTTGACCTTTACCTCTTAATAAATCATTAAATAACTTATTTATTCAGGGAACTGAGTCTACATTAAGATGAGCCAGAAAAGTTCAGTACTTTGCGTGGGTTGCACAGTGATCGACTTTGTGACCATCGTCGGCAGTTATCCCAAGGAGGACACCGATCGTCGCTGCCTGGATGGATTCTGGCAACGTGGCGGCAATGCCTCCAATGTCAGCACAACACTCAGTGTTCTCGGCACCAAAGTGGACTTTTTTGGCATTCTTAGCAGTTCGGATGCGTTTCGGGTGCTCCTCGAGGATCTCCGCCGTCGGGAGATCGGCACTCGGAACTGCCCTCTGACAAGCAGGGATCCCCCGTTTTCATCGGTGATACTGTCACAGGACACCGGCTCCCGCACCATTATCCACTGCAATAAGGATTATCCGCAAACCACGTGGGAGGATTTCAGCAAGATCGATCTGTCCCAGTACGGATGGGTGCATTTCGAGGCTCGCAACACGATACACACCGCCAGGATGATGCAGAGCATCCGGGAATACGACCAGAAAACGGGGCAAAGCACCATCATTTCGCTGGACTTTGAGACGAGGTACGATCAGAATTTGGAACTGTGCCAGTCCTGCGACTATGTGATCTTCTCCAAAGAGCTGGCCTCCGACAAGGGCTGGACGACGCCGCGTCAAACATGTGAGGAACTGGCCTCCGATATTCCCAGTAATGGCGGCCAGAAACCCATAATTATCTGTCCCTGGGGGAGTGAAGGAGCCGTGTGTATGGATTCAAAAGGGAACTACATTAAATTTTCGTCTTATCAACCGGAGAAAGTGGTGGACACTCTGGGCGCTGGAGACAGCTTCGTGGCTGGATTTATCAACGCCACTTTTGAGCATCAACGGGGTTTAAGGGATGCTGTGGACTTTGCCAACCGCGTTGCTAGTCGCAAGATCGAGGGATTTGGCTACGATCATATTCAGACGATTCAAATCGAGACGATGGAATAAATTAGTTTTGAACAATTATTTGTAAATGTAGAGAATTATGTTAAAAAGTTATAATTTGAATTATTTTCTATATATAGGGTTTATAATAATTCAATGTCCTAGAATTCCCAACTGGTTCTAACCAAAAACTCTATGTTATTGAATTTAAATACAGCCTAAAATAAGAGTTATTTTGGAAAGAACAGCGCTTATTTATGTATTTCTCACAAATTTTATAAACTTGTCAAATTCATTATGAATATATATAATTATTAGTTTCGTGATTATTGGTTTTAGGCAGAGACTTTAGTTGTTGGTCTGCTGGGTGCTTGCACAATTCAGATTATCCAAATTGAAAATCAAGAGGGATCCATGGCAGAATGAGTCTCCCTCGAGGGAATTCTTCAGTTTGGAGCCTCTCTCTCGTTGTTGTTGTTGTTGTCGTCTATGTGAATCTGATAAAGTCCCCTCGTTGGTCATTAATATCCGAGCCTATGGACGTGGCGGCATTGACTCCTCCGATGCCACTCGAAGCACTGCCGGACTTCTGCTGGCTGTTCAGGCCCTCAATGAGCTGGTAGATAATATAAGTTTTATAATTCCCATAAATATATGTGTATATCAGCTCACCTTGGATCGCAGGCGCTTGAGTTTGCGCAATCGTTCTAGCCAATTCGATGCATACGGGTGCTTTTTCTGCACACTTTGGTAGACTAGCGAGGCGAGCTGCAGAATATAAATTTAAGTAAACAAATTAAGTAATTAGGCTCTTTGACAAAAACTCACATTGGCGTGCAGGGCCATTTGTCGGGCCAACAGAGGAGCACTGCGATCGGAGACGATTCTGGGCTCTGGGTGGCACACAAACTTTGATATCTCAGAGCGCGCCTTCACATACACCCTGTTGGAGTTTAGCTCGAGTGGCTCCACAATTACACAAGCGTAGTTGAATTGTCCCTGTAAATTATTAACATTTATTTATATTAATTATATTAAGCTGAAAAGAAAACTTGGGAAACTAAAGTTACAAATAGGTATGTCACGAGAAATGCCCAAATTTTGAACGTTTACATGTATGTCCCCCCTTTATTATTGTCTAATTGAATTTTCCAATATTTTCCAATATGCTATTACTCACGGATATCGTATTCAGGTTGTATTCCTCGCCGCTCTCGTTGTAGATGATCTTCACAAAGTCGTTGCCAATGTGGCTCTTTTTCAAGTTGCAGTTGGGATCATCCTGCAGATTGGTGGGCATCAAAGTGGCCACATGGAAGGTGACCTGCACAAGAATACCACAGGTACTACAATGAACACTTGCCCTAAGGAATCTGCCATCTAGGACTACCCACCTGCAATATGTCATCTTTCCAAATGTAGGCAAACTTGCCATCAGCTCCATTCCTGTCCAGCATTATGAACAGATTGTTTTGCTCGGCCTCCTTGAGGCTGACCAAGGTACCGATGTTGCGCAGGAACTCCACATATCTAGCGCTGCCGTGCGAGTTTCGCAGGATCTCCACCTCGTTGTTACACTGCCCCTGGCCCACGTAAAGCACACCGATCTTATGCGTCTCGAATGGCGGAACCAGATCGATCAGGGTCACGGCGCTAGCATTTTCCGGGCCCACCTTCAGCGGGACATCCGTGACGCCCAGCTGGCCGGTGGTATAGAGCTGCAGGAATATGAAGCTAGGATTCATGCACAGCTTCGTGTTGATGGGCGGCTTTGCGGTTCCAAAGTTGCGGAAACTGCTCGCCGGCGGCGGACAAGCACCACTGCCGTTGCTTGGTATTCCCGAAATGGTTTTCGAGCGTCCGCGCATCATGTCGCCGTTGCCATTGTTGCCGTTGTCATAATCAGAGGGTATCACGCCGCCGACATTGGCTCCATTGCTCCCTCCGCCGCCGCTACTAGACTTGGCCAGAGCCCCAGGTTGTGGAACAGAAGTGCCCCCGAAGCTGGTCAACCTTCCCGTGGCCAGTAAGGGCAGCTGCCCGGGCGAAAGCGGTGGTTTTCCCAGCTTCAAGGTAGATCCTCCACCAGCTTGCAGGGTGCTGCTCCCACCACCGGCCACATGGCTGCTCACATCATCCGCCGAGTGCTGCTTGGGCGGCAGAGTTCCGCTCTCCGGCTGCAAAGCCTGGGCAGCCGAGGGCGGCGTGGAGCCGGCTATCTCTTCCGGTATGGCCTCGCAGCTAACGCGCATATCCTTGGTGCTGTATTGGACACTCTTCTTCTTCAACGTGAGCTGCGATTGCGGCTCATCGACGGCTGACTTCACGGGCTCCTGGGACAATGGCATCGGCTTGTTGGTTAGGAAAGACTGCCGCCAACTGGAACTCATCTCCGGACTGGAGTTGACCCGACGCACGGGATTCCGGGCGCGACTCTGGGCATCCTCGAAGGCCAGCGAATCGTCGTCCGCCTCGCCATCGCTCACACTTCCACAGAGGGCGGCCTCCTTGCCGCGCTTTCCCCCTGCCGAAACCCTTGGAATGGGAATGGCAACTGCGGCTCCACTGCTGGACGCATTTCCATTACCATTTCCGTTTCCACCTTCGCCGCCATTGCCATTGCCGCCACCCACCGAGTGGATTTCCTCCTGTCGCTGGAGGGCACGAGCCTTGGCCACCATTCGGCTGCGAATGGCACTCGCCGCTTGGGGTGCAGGCGCAGCAGTTTGCTCTGGTTCGGAATCCGCCATCAGCGGATGAGACGGAACCTGCTGAATGGTGGTGGTGTCTGGTCCAAATACTCCGCCATGCGCCGTGGGCAAAAACAGCGAGACAACATTGTTGAAGGGCAGATCCTGGCCATAGCAGTCGTTGGTGATGGGATTCTGAATGCGGGTTATCCAGGAGACATTGCCAGTTGGCCGTCGAATGAGAATCTCTGCCCAACCAGTGCAGGCGCGTACACAAACCGCCTGCTGTACCACCGAACCCCCCGACGACGGACTCATGCTCACCGAGGATTGAGACAAAGAATTGCCAAGAAGCGATGTGTTGCTCCCAGTGTGCGGTCCCTCCTCGCCCAGTCCACCGCTGCCCAGAGCCTCGGGATTCGAGCCACGACGTGACAAGGCGTCCAGGGAGGCAGTGGAGCTGTTGGAGATCTGTCGGTGCGGATGGCCGCCCGTGGCTGCCGAGTTTGAGGACGAAGATGAGGTCAGCTCGGTGCTGCCCGCTGATTCGTTGCCGCTGCTATGCTGCAGGCTCACCTTGGTGTAGCGTCTCTCCCGCTCTGGTGACAGAGGCGGAGCGGCGGAGGCATCGCTCAAACTCTTGGAGTTCAGGCTTATGCTGGGCGCCTTGCCCAATTGAGCGCAACGCTCGCAGAGACCACTGCGGGTTGGGGCAGATGGGCAGCCGGAAGTGGTTATGGTCACCAGATTGTGGCCCACCAGCCAGGTCTGGGAGACTCCATCCTTAAGCAGGTATTCAGCGGCGGGAAGACTACAAAAAGAAATTATTTAAAATAACTGTAGCCAGGGAAGAAGTTAAAAAAAACTCACCGCTTGGGCATCGAGGGGCAGGGAGAGTAGGTGTGCCTGGCCAGAAAGTCAAAGCAGGTCTCCGCCAGCTCGGCATGGATATTGCGCAGTCCAATATTCATCTGAGGTCGCATTTCCAGGTCGTTCAAGGCCTTGGCATTGTTGCGACTGCCGCCTTCGGTGAGGCTGGTGCTTCGCTTTCTGTTGGACGAGTCCTCGTTGAGGGAATTCAGGTTCACAATGTCGCTGGACAGCATCTTGGCATTCGATTGAATCGACTGAAATAAAAATATATATTATTTTATATATTTTTATATATTTTTGCGTTTTTATATATTTTTTATATTTTTTTTAAATTTATTACAATGGCTTTTGGCCAACTTACGTTCTTGATGTAGTTAACGCAGTTCTTGCGCAGCTCCAGCTTGCATTTGAGGAACCATCCGGCAATGATGTGGTGGGCCAGGGACACTGTATAGTGATCATAGCGATGCGGCTTTGTATACGGCAGGGTAATGGCAAACACGTACATGTTGTGCATGTTGGTGAAGTTCGCAAAGAGATGCTTGGACAGATGAATCAGCACTGCGAAATGAGAACAGCAACCAATAATAATTAACAAGTTTTACCTACTTTCCCTGGTCACTTGACTCACGCGACAGAAACTCCAGAACCGGAGTGGCCAGTGCATTCGTGTCAGACATCTTGCTCATCTGCAGCAGCACGGCCGGCAGTTTTCGCATCAAGGCCTCCGGCATCTCCAGTATCAAAATCGTCATCGTGTTAATACAGACGCTGGCAACGCCAGTGAGAACCCTCGAATTGAGGGCGGTGATGATACCATAGTGCTGCGGTGGCTGCAGGCTCTCATGGTAGATGACCAGCGAGGCAATGGCGGGCAGGACCAAGGCGTGAAATTCATCGGTGGGCCGCTTGAACTTATTGTTGGTCACCGAGGTAATCTTGAGGAGTGTGTTGGCTATTTCCTCTATATCGTTGCCCTGAACCAAAGCCTTGTTCTGTAGGACTTTGGGCAGCTTTCGGATGACCTGTTGAAACACCACATAGTCAGAGTCGTGCTCCAGACAGCGCACAATCAGCTTGCACATGCGACGCGTGGAGATGGCCGTGGGATGAGCCTGTGGCAACAGTGGCGAATCTATACCCAGATAGTGACTGAACTTGACCACATCGCTGTTACCCTCCGGATAGCCAATGTGGTAAGAGCCATTGGCACGGGCCTGCAGCAGCCAAGTGAAGATCTATAAAGATATGAATTTATAGCAAATCAAAGAACCATTATTTCTACTTCTATTTGAGAGGCAAAGTTTCCCATCTCTACTCACTTTAAATCGCACCAAGCTGAACTGCTCAAAGATTTTGGGTCGGTCATAGTGCAGCTCCAGGTGATCCATCAGAATGTTGAATATCTTGAGGGCATGGGCCGCTGGCATGCGGTGCAGCTTGATGGCGAAAACCTTGACCAAACCATCAACGGCGGCTATAATGTCGGCAATTTCCGACTCATTGCTAATCCAAACGTCAGTGTCGCCATGACGGTTATGCTCAAATGGTCGGTTGATGAGCGCCTCCAGGATATCCAGCAAATCCATGCATCGCTTGGTGTCACAGTGCGTAGCAAAATTAGCTAGAGCCCGAGCCACAGCCACGCGAACGAGCACATTTGGCTCCAGATGGATGTTGGACAGCAGGACGAGCACCACTCTGCTGAGTATCTCCTCCTCGTAGCAGGCACGATTCTGGTCCATGATCCGCACCAAAGCCTCGATCGTTTTGATGCGCACATTGACGTTGGACATGCGGTAGTAACGGCGCACAAACTGGGCCAAAACTTGAAGCCATTCCGGTCGCGTGGCAGTCACGCGTCGCGATCGGTACTCGATCAGGGCCAGAACAGAGGCCTCCGGCCGTCTGTCTGCCACCCGCTCGATGAGATCATAGATGCGTTCCACGTTGCCCAGGATCTGAGAACGATCCTGCTGCAGCAGTTTCTCTATGCAGTCGATGTTCTCGTGAAATTTGATCTGCAAATGATGCAGTTGGTCCTTGTTGATATTAGTGGCCTCATAGTACTCGATATTGGTGACGATTGCCGACATTATGTCACAGATGCGATCCCAAATGATCTCGGAGAGCTGCTGCTTGTTATTAATCACCATGCGAACACTGAGAATTACCTCAAATGTAACGATCACCTGTCGACTGTCTAGAGCCTAAAATAAACAAGGATAAGAATCTCTCTCCCTCCGGATGCCCTCTGCTCACCCTAAGGAAGGCTGTCAGCACATTCGTGGCATAGGTCATGGGTGAAACCTGGAAAATAATGTTTGAACCGAAGATGTTCATGTTCAGATGGAAGACGGCACCGCGCAGCATATGGGCGTCATCGTAGAGGACACGATCGTTGAGGATGCTGCACATCATCTTCATGGAATGATAGCCCAGCTGTGTGCCCAGCAGGTTCTTCATGATCTGTAAGAAAACCAAAACTCAGTGGGGAAAACTCAGAAAACCCTCGAGAAGTATCTAGAGATAAATAGAGCCAAGGTCACTTCCTAGCAAACTGGGTCATCGTCCCTCTCATTTTTAAGACCTTGAAATTGTGTTTTTCCATCAAAATGCACAAATTCAATGATCACCTTTTCGGGGTAGGGCTAATCATCATCTGACGGAACGGAACCAGGCATGTTAAGCGATAAGAACCAGTTGGGGGGAGTATCAAGCCAGATACAAACTGAGCAGAATTCTCATTAGTATTATTAGGAAAATGTCGAAGCCAATCTCTGCCAGCGATTGCCAAATGAGCTGATAAATCCCCAGCCAAAGCGAGGGCATAAAAAGCAAAGCAGCCCCAAAATCAACACCGCACTCGACGGAATCTTCAAAAATAAACGTACATCCCACGGAGAATGAAGGGTGAGCGATCTCTCAGCAGAATTTCTAATCATGTGATTCTTTTTTTTTATTCAAAAACTTGTTTACTCTCGCCCAGATCAACTTTTATTAATTGTGCTTCTGCTGGCCGTGAGCTTAGTGGAATCGCTTACTGCTGTTCCGGATATCGCTTCTCTCTGCCAGATTTCCGAGCCCTGGCAAATGTTGCCACACGAGCATCATTGCCAGAGGTTCTATGTCTGCACCGGTGACCCGGAAGTGCCCTTCCAGGAGTTTAGCTGTCCACTGGAATATCATTTTAGCAGGGAACTAAAGATATGTGTACCGGGCACCTGCTCCGATGATCCTCCCTCCCCCATTTGTGGCTTAATAAACCACGTTGAAAGAGTTTCACACGATTGCTCGCGCTACATGCAATGCTTGACGGGTGGTGCGTATGCTGTGGCCAAGTGCTCTGCCGGAAACTACTTTGATCCCAATCGCAAAGCCTGCCTGCCCGTAGCCGTGACGGCCGCTCACCAGTGCAGCTGTGTGCTGCCGGATAATGCCACATTGGCCAACTCAAATGACTGCGAGACGTATTTCCGCTGCAAGAAGGGAGAGGCTGTGTTGGTCCAGTGTCCTCCCGGAGAATACTTTGAGGCGGAAGTGGGCACCTGTCTGCCGGACCTCACAGGCATCTGTCTGGAGAGGCCCACAATGCCGCCGCAGTCGATGGTGTCCGCGAAGGCTCTGGCTTTGGACGAATGCATACGGACGGGAAGTCGCCTGGCGCCACATAGACGCGATTGTCAGCGGTACTATATTTGTGCCAGGATGCGGGTGATTGAAATGCGCTGTCCCCGGGGTCAGTACTTTGATGTAGTGCATCGGCTGTGCAGCCTGGATCGGCAAAGCGAATGCAATGTTTCCACAATGGTGGAGAACAAACAAGAGCAGCCGAAAAAAGAGGATCAAGAAGTGGACATTAAGGAAAATGAGTTGGATTCGGTTTTAGCTGAAGATCTGAGCTTGCCAGGATTAGAGGCCAATGCAAAGCAGCCGGCGCCGCCGCCAAATGAACGGGATGTAGTCAGCAACTACGACAAGTTCTCTTCCAAGTTTGTCTCGCTATAAACAGTTATTTGTATAAAAATTTAAATAAAAATTTAAAAAATATATCTTAAACCCAAACTGCAGCATGAACATGAACAACTGCGAATATATTTTACTAAAAGACTTGATTAACTCGGAATAATTTCTATAATGCAATTAAGAAAGGGATAAGGGACTAAGGTAAAATATCTCTCAAATAGGTCTTGTAATTAAATAGCTCAAAACGGACCCCCAAAATACTCACCTTGTGTGAGGCCGGACAATAGGGCGCATGATTGACCGTCCGACACAAGGTTGTGATGCACTGCGGCAATGGCTCGCTGGGAAAGATGGTGTACCCGATGACCATCTCCAGGATTGTCAGACACTGCAGGCCAATCTCATCCACCGTCACGCTGCAGCTGAGTTCGCAGGCATTCCTTTGGAAAGACAAAACGTTCGGATGTAGCACTTGCTTTATTAATTAGCATGTCATCGTCACTCACTGCACGATTCCCACGAGAATGTCCTTGTCCAAATGGGCCGCATTGAACTTGATCAGATTGACCAGCATGTCAAGATAAGGGCTCAGCAGATTGGCCTCAGTGATTGCTGGGATCCAGAGCAGCATAAACTTGCCAATCTGCAAAGGAACAAATAAGTAAGGCTTTGATGGCAGCTGTCAATCGCTTACCTTCTCCTCAAAGTTGGTGATGTCCTTCCCATTGTCGGTGAGTGTGTCGAGCAGGTCAAGCAGGTGGCGCAGATCTTCGCGCGTCTCGTGGTTCTGGATGACCAGGAAGAACTTCTCCCGCATGATGGTCAGGTTCTTGTACTGTGTGTGGATGAGTCGCTTGTAAAAGCTCAACGCAATCTGGCGCGTTTCGGCCGGCTTGTTGGGCACGATGAGATCGTTGGTGAGTTTAAACAGAATAGTGATGGAGGTCTGAAAGGGGACAAATAATCCGTATTCACGACAGAAGAGACTCCCTCGCCAACACGCACCTCATCCAGGTTATAGTTGTGCAGATACATGTCACCTAGCTCCTTAAGCATCCTGCAACGCTCCGCCACCGGCTGCTCCGGCCGCAGTTCCCTCTCGAACTCCGGCCGCAGGGTCCGCTCCCCCACGTATCCTGCGTAACGGTTAATCGTAAATATTTGTAATGTTTTCATTTTGTGTCCAATAAGAGTGCCTCGAACTCTTTGTTACCTGCCGGCTTCGTTTTGAGGAACAGCTTGAATTTGGCCTTATCCTTGGAGCTCATGTTGCTGTTGCGGCCGTGGGCGTGGTCGGTGGATCGGTTGGCGGTGTGCGAGTGTGTGTGGAATCAGCGTCTCCCCGATTTATATCCTTATAACAATTTACGCACAGAACACAGAGCAAAAAATCTCAAAACAGCTGAAACAATCGTGGCAGTGTTACCAGATGCCATTTGTCTCATAATACCAAAAGGTTCTCGGTGAAAAATACTAACCTACGAACAATATCGTGGAAAGTTTTGAAAAAAATTATATTTACAATTAAATAAATAAATAAATAATAAACAAATTCATAGCCGGAAGAATTAAATGCAAGTAAATAAAGTAATAAATAAAGGAAAATGTTGAAATCTGAACAGTCAGACGACTCAATTCCTTGAAATAGTGAGTAGTATTTAATCAAATATAAAAATTATTACGTATCAGCCATGTGTTTTGAATATTATTTTCGGCAAAACATAGTTGGAATTCTGCTGGTTCAAAACTAGAATTCAAAATTAAATGGTCTTATAAAAATAGCCTCTTTTGGGTATATTCTCATTGTAATTTAGTATATTTGTCGGTATAGTTTTTTCGGTTGAACTGCGGTCACACTGCTTGCATCATCTCCCAGCGCGTCTGTAAAGTGTTAAAATATTTTTTTACTATAGTATCGCCTTGAAAAAGCAGTCAATCCAAAATAAAAATAAATACCTTGCGCCAGCCAGCCAGATTCCGTTTATCATCTGAGCATTTGCCCCGATTGCTTGCGAATAGCAGCTAGCTCCGAATTCGGCCCGCTAATTGGTAAATCCGATTTCCAGGGAAGGAGACGCAAAAGGAGAAGCGGAGAACAAAAGGAGGTGAAAAACAACAGTTAATCGTCAAAGTTTTCGCGTCGAACAAATAGGCAAAGGTGAGCAACTACACTGTACACACACGCTTGCACTGCCACAGGCGCCTTATCGCCTGCGTATGGGTGTGCATAAAAAATTAAAACAATATTTGCTCATCCGATTATTACTATAATAATTCGCGTCCATATATTATTAGCAGTGTGCGTGCGCCTGCCCTGGATATCCGAGCTAGTGTGCGGGCGCTCGTGTGAGTGTGTGTGATGAAATGCAATTTTATCTTGGCATTTTGCGCGCCTCTGCGTTTCGTTACCCTTGTGATTCCGAATCCGATTCCGTTTTCCTTTCCTCCATTCCACTTTCGCTTTTGTTTGGGAAAGCTCTGTCGCCATATTTTCAGACGGTCGCTAACTTTTCACTCGTTTCCGTCGTTCCCAAAAGGTAAACCCATCCACCATGAGCTCCGCGGAGGAAAACAGCAACAACAGCCCGGCCACCACGCCTCAGGACAACGATCCCAATGAGAAGGCAAATCTGACGGATCTGGAGAAGCTCGAGGAGGAGAAGTTGAAGTCCAAGTATCCCGGCGGAATGCGAGTGCCCGGTGGGCACTCTGCCTTTCTCCAAAAAAGGCTGCAGAAGGGGGTAAGTGTTACGGGTCCTCACCTACAAATGATCGGTGACAAAGTCACCGTTGACATGACCTTGAGATCTTAAGATAATCTCGTTATAACCAAACATTTCTTTTCGCAGCAAAAATTCTTCGATTCGGGCGACTACCAGATGGCCAAGCAGAAGGGTGGCGGTGTTAAGCAGGTCTTTGCCAACAAGGTGACCACCGGAGAGGCGATTCCCACGCCAGAAACCGTGCCGGCACGCAAAACCTCGATCATCCAACCATGTAACAAGTTCCCGGCGACGAGCTAATTCACTCACCTCCTCTCGTCACGCCTCCACACCACACCCACAACCTCAACTGCAGCCAGTTTACCCCTGTTCCCACTTCAAATGCTCTATACCTAATTTTAAAGAAAAACTTAATACTAAGATGGCTGCTGGCCGGATTTCGCGAAAATTTAAACAGAAAAGTAACAAAAAAAACAGAATTTGTAGTTCCCCGTAAACTTAAACCGCCACCCGTATGGCGCACTCTTACCTCTGCCTTCGCTTGTGGCCAATCAATCTCAAGGTCCCGTCTCTTCAGTCCATCTCTCAGGCCTGAGAAGCGAAGACGAGGAGGTGGCGAGCCGGGGACGGCGCGAACTTTTTTGAAACAGTTATATATATATCTCTATCTGTGTAACATTAACATAACTTATCCTGATCGTACGTAGTTGTAAGTATTACGAGCATAATAAATTTAAGTTGGAGCCACAGCCACGCAGCATTGTTCTCCGTAAATAAGTTGGGATTCCGTCAACAATTTATGATGTGCTCTTCTCTGAACTTCTAAAAGCATGGTAAAAATGTTAACAATAGGCAGTTGCAGTTGTAGACACTGCTTGCAGAATATTCAATTTTCAGGTCGAGCGTTATAATCAATTTGTAAATGAAGCTGAGCGATGATGATACCTTCGCCAGTATTGAGCTAAAATAAATTGTATGTACGTGCTACTTAAAAATGTGTTGATTTCCTGGGGCGCTAGATCAACAATAGAAGACCAGTGTTTGTTTAACTGATAAATGCCCGGGTGGCAATCATCTTAATTGATTATTCAAATCGCCTGGCAACCAATTTGAAATTACAGAAATTAAGTTCAGTAGTTTTTTTTGTTTGAATACAAAATAACTAATTAGGCGCTAAGTAATTCCTACTTCTTGGGTGAACTCTGTATAATTATGCAACTGCCAAAGCTGTAAATCAAAATAATATGATATAATATTTCCTAAAAGTTGTATATCATCGAGAAGATATTTATCAATTTTTCTAAAAAAAAATGTTGTATACAAGATATTTTTTAAATATTTTTAGAAAATATAAACATAAACATTATATATATATCATTTTAAAAAATACCCCTTATTCGATATATAAATTAACAAAAATATCGATATATTGATATACTTTTCCCATCTCTATTTTTCGATAGTCTTCTGAGAGTGTTTTCTTTATTTTTCTCCGGTTAGGGCACACTGTTCGCCATTGCTAGTTAAGAGGAAAACCGGAGTTTAAATGTAATTTTATCATTTCTAGTTGCAATTTAAGTGCATTTCGCAACTAGCACCGTGCCGGCCGCTGTTCGTAGGCCCTCGCGTGCAACTCAGATCCCCGCCAACCGGTCGAAAACAAGGTGAAATGTAGATGTCCACCAAGCGGCGGTCGCAGAAGCAGCAATAACAAAAGCAAAAGTGAAATTAAGGCCGCAGGAGAAGCGGAACTGCAGTATCTCAGGGCGGAGCCATGGAGAACCTCAAGATAAGCGACAAACTTTTCGAGGATGTGATTTATTTTGTGCTCGGCAACCTGGATGAAGAGGTAAAGAGATTTCCCGCTGTTGCCTGTACTTGCATTGTGCTCCGTGCGTGCGTGCGTGTTTGGCTGTGTTTGTGCGTGCGGCTGTGTTTGTGTGAGAGCGGACACAGGGTGCCCCGGAGCAATGCGCGCCAATAATGTTGCCGCAGACCACAACACCTTATATAGCACAGGGTGTTTCGGGCACGAAGGCACAATGCGAGTTGCTATAAGCCCTACGGCTTCAAGTGTATAGCACACGATCAGCTGTTTATGGCTTCTAGGAACCGGCAATAAAACAACATTTAAAATCTAATAAACCTTCCCTTTTTTAGATCGAACGTTTCCTTAAGAGCGGCGGCGCCCAATCGAAACTGTTCCTGTCAGACACAATTACACATCTGATATGTGCCACCAACTATTCGGAGGAGGAGCTGTCCATGAACTTGGATCTGTATAGCGCGATACCCGTGACGGAGCAATGGATCGTCCACAGCGCCAAGCTGGGCCGGATGGCCTCGACACGGGCCTTCGATCCGAGTCCCAATCAGCTACGACTCATGCGCGGCATCCGTGTGGCCATTACAAATGTTGTGGCGGGGGATCGCAGGCGCCTCTACGCCATGCTCACCTACCACGGCGCCGTTGTCACGCACAGCTTTGGGGCCACAAACACGCATCTGGTATGCGGGGCGGCTAACGGTGGCATCTACAACAAGGCGCTGGCGCTGCCCAAGAATGCCATTATCATAGTGACGCCGGATTGGGTGACGGACTGCCTGAAGTCCAGGAGTTGCCTGCCCACGGAGCCATATCATCCTAGGCTGCTGAAGCCCATCGAAAAGCAGCGGACGCAGAAGCAGCAGGCAGCATCACAGCAACAAATGCAGCAGCAATTCCAGCAGCAACAATTACAACAACAGCATCAGCAGCAACTGCAACAACAGCAGCAGCAGCAAATCCTCCAGCAGCAGCAACAGCAGCAGGCGGCACAACAACAACAACAGCAGCAGCAGATCCCTGCTCCTTCTTCGTCGGCCCTATCAGACATCCTGGGCTTTGGCGAGGACAGTGCAGCTGCCAAGAGCATCGCTAGCATCAAGTCGCAGCTTCAGGCTTCGGCCGAGCAAATACAGCAACAACAGTTGCCTTTGCCCAGTGCCCAGCAACAGCAGCAGCAAGTGGTCTTTGTGCGACCTCAGCCGCAGCCACAGCAACAGCAACAGTTGCTGCAACAAGGCGGTCCTCAAGCACAGGCTCCGCCATCACCACATCCTCAGCAGCAACAGCAACTAATTATACAACAACAGAAAATCATACCCGCCAACCTGCAGCAGCCGCAGCAGAACCAGCAACAGATCAAGAACATTCTACAGCAACAAAGACAGCTGAAGAATGCACAGCAACAACAGGTTCAACAGCAGCAAATTCAAATGATTCAGCAACAGCAGCAGCAGCAACAACAACAGCAACAACTTATACAGCAAGATTCGCAGCAGCAGCAGCAGCAACAACAGTCGCCCAGACTGCCTACCACTCCAACGGGGCGACAAACGCCCCGAACTCCACAGTCAACAACGCCGCAGCCGATTCAATCTCCGCAGCAGCAGCACCAACAGCAGATTGTGCAGCAACAACAACAGCAGCAGCAACATCAAATTGTACAGCAACAACAGATAGTCCAGCAACAGCAACAATCTGTGCCAGTTTCGCCGCAAATTATACACCAGCACTTGATGCGGCAGCAACAGTTATTAAATCAAAGCCAAATGCAACTGCAACAGATTATCCAGAGCGGACAGGCATTGACGCCGCAGCAGCAGCAGCAACAAAGGCAAAATCAACAGCAACAGCAACAGATCTTGCAGCAGCAACAACAATTGCAAATGCAAATCCAACAGCAGCAGCAAAATCTCCAACAACAGCAACAGCAGCAGGTGCAGCAAAGCCTTCAGCAATCGCCACGGATGGTGCAAAACCGGTCGCCCGTAATGCCACCCAGTACGCCATCCCCATCGCTTCAGCAGCAGCATCATCCAAACATGTTGCCGCCGCAATCACCACGGCAGTTGCAATCTCCGGCTCCGCAAATGACGCCGCCGCCACCTCCGTCGCCGCAAAGTGCCCAGCAACATTTGCGCCAGCAGCAGGTGCAGCAGCAACAGCAAATCCAGCAGAATCGCCAGCAGCAGCAGCATATGTCCCCGCAGCAACAGCAACCGCCGGCGATGATGTCACCGCAGCAGCAGCAGCAAATGCAACCCTTTCAGCAGCCCGTCCATCAGCAGCAGCGTATGCAATTGCAGCAGCAACAACAATTGGCCCAGCAGCAGCAGCAAAGTCCGCAGCAAATATCTGCACCACAGTCGCCGCAGATTCCACAGACGCCGCCCATGCAACAAACCAAGCTGCATCACCATCAGGTGGCTGGGCAACCGCAACAGCAGCAGCAGTCCTTCTCCCAGCAAAAGCCCATTGATCCCACGGATCCCGTTCAGGTGGCCCAGGTGCTCAGCCGTTCTGCATTGAGCAGCAACCAAGATTCGCTGATAATGCGGCAACAACAATTGAAGCAGCAACAGCAGTTGCAGCAGCAGCAGCAACAGCAAATGGCTCCGCAGCAACAGCAGCAGCAGCAGCAACAACAGCAGCCCCAGCAACAACAAACTCCATCTCCGCGACAGTCGCCGTTGCAGCAACAGCCAACTACACCAACAATACAACAGCAGCAGCAGCCACCAAATCCTCAAGTAAGTATAAAAACCTCTTAGGTGAGCATAATTAATAATATAATTTATTTAAGACAATAATTAATTAAATAGTGTTAACCGACTTTTACACTTTTCAGCAGAGCGCTTTAATCTAAGAAACACTCTTTTTTTTAGAAACTATCTCACCAATTTAACCTTTTGAACTAGTCAACTAGATTATTTTCATGAATACCTTTCTATGTCTACTTTTAGCAAATACAACAAGTTTTGGCCCAGCAGCAGCAACAACAAGTGCTGGTACAGCAACAACCTCAGCCTGGACAGGCTCAGCAGCAGCAGCAGCAACAAGTTATCACCCAGCGACATGTAATAAACACATCAACGGCCCAAGGACAACAGATAATCCAAAGTCTTCAACAGAAGCAGCAGCAAATGTTGCATGTTCAACAACAGCAACAGCCACAACAACAGCAACTTCCTCAGGGGCAGCAACATCCCCAACAACAACAACAACAACAGCAACAACAACAGCAGCAACAACCGCAGCAACAGCAACAAGTGCAATTCACTCAACAGCAGCAAATCGCTTTGGGAGGTGGTGGCCAAGTGCGGATTATTCAGCAAACAATTCAGCGACCACAGCAACAGATTCCACAACAACAACATCAACAGATTATCGGACAGTTTCCACAACAACAGCAGCAACAACAACCACAGCAGGTATGTTAAAAATTTTAATTTAATATTTAAGCAAATTTCCAGGAGGTTAAGAAAACTCAAATCCTATTCTTGGTTTTTTGGTGATATATAAGAAATCAAATGCATAACAAGATTATTTGATTTTATTTGAATTTTTATTACTTACAGGCATTGCAACAACAGCCAATACAACAACAACAACAGCAGCAGCAGCAACAAGTCCTTGGAGTCCAGCAGGCACAGCAGCAGCAGGCACCGCAGTCGATGCAACCGCAGGGGAAAACCTTTATAATTAGTCAACAGCACTTCAATCAGCTCAGCTTGGCCCAACAGCAGCAGATATTGGCTCAAAATCCCCAGAGTCAGAACGTTTATGTTGTGAATCAGACTAACATTTCCCAACAACAGCAGCAGCAGCAGCAACAGCAACTAGTGCAGCAGCAGCAGCAACAACAACAGCAAATGTTGCAGCAGCAGCAGATTATGCCACAGCAGCAGCAGCAGCGTATGCAAATGCAGCAGCAGCCGCAGCAAATTGTTGTCAATCAACAGATTCTGAGCGACCCACAGCGCTTGCAATATCTGCAGCAACAGCAACTGCTGCAAAAGCAGCAACAGCAGCAGCAGCAACAACAACAACAAATACTTATACAGCAGCAGCAAACTCCCCAGCAGCAGCAGCCTCAACAGATTCTCCAACAGAAGTTACCAATCGACCCCCAGCAACAAATCATGCAGCAAGTGTTGATAACGCAGCAACAATTGCCTCAACGCACACCTCCCCCGCAACAGCAGCAGCAGCAGCTGCTGTTGCAGCAACAATCGCCCCAACATCATCAGCAAATGCCGCAGCATTGGTCCCCGCAAAGTCCGGCATCAAGTCAGATAGCGCCCACCACTCCGGGAACTCCCACCAGCAGTGTGGGAATGCAATCGCCGCTACCTACAACGCCTCAGCAGCAGCCGCAGCAACCGCAACAGTTTATGCCGCGCGGCTTGCGACCGCAGACCTCGTGGCCCGGTCAGCAGCAGCAACCACAAGCTCCCCAGCAACAGCAGCAGCAGATCGTGTTGCCACCGCCAGTCCAACAGCAACAGCAACAACCTCAGCAGGTGCCACAGCAGCAGCAGCAACTGATATTGCAGCAGCCACCGCAGCAACAGAAAATAGTTTTGGATGAGAAGACGCACGCGCACTTCATGTCCTTGGATGCGCACAAGAGAGCCGAGTACATTACCAAGTTGAATCAGCAGAACAAGCCGCGAGTGATGCTGCGCCAGCAGGTTGCTTACCAGCCGCGACCTGGAGCACCGGGCAGCATAGTTGCAACACGGCCGGCAGGGGGTCCTGTTGTGCCGCCGGGCCATATTATTGTCCAGAGCCAAATGCCACCGGGATTGACGCAGCAGCAGCAGATGCTCTGGCTGCAGCAACAGGGCAAGCGACAGGTGGTCGTCCGAGCCGGCGGCACTCCTGGTCTCAGCCCGATACAGCAGCAGCAACCGGGAGTGGGAGTGGGACAGCCGACACAGCAACAGCAACAGTCGCCACAGCAGCAGCAACAGGCCTTCAATCCCATCAACGATCCCAATCAACAAATGCTTCTGCAGCGGCAACAACTGCGCGTCCAGCAAATACCCATCCAGCAGCAACAGGTGCCGCAGCAGCAGCTGGGCAAGCAAACAGTGCAGCTCATCACTGGACCCAACGGACAGCTGATAGAGCAGCAGACAATTGTCCAACAGCCTTCAACGCCGGGAACACCCACCACTCCGGGCGCAATGCCGGGTCCTGTCACAGGCGGTGCCAACATAATGACACAAACTTTGGTCATGACTTCAACAAGTCAGTACATTTTTTCTAGAATTGTTTTGTATCCAAAAATCCTATATAATATCCTACATATATATATATACACAGGTCAAAGTATTTCCTTTATAACCCTTACCTCTTCTCTCACTCACCCAGCTCCCGATGGACAGCCCCAACAAACCCCGCAGCAAATGAACCTGAAAACCAAGACTGCCTTGGCCAACATGCTGAGCAATCGCTTGGGCAACAATGGAGTGCAGACGCCTCAGCAGCAACTAATTCAACTGCCTGATGGCCAGCAGCAACAGCAACAGATTGTTCAGCAGGTGGTGACCGGAGCTACACCGCAGCAACAACAACAACTGCTACTGCAACAGCAGCAGCAACAGCAACAGATGGTTGTCCAGCAGCAGCATGTGGAGCCGCCATCGGCAGCCGGTGCTCTCAGGATGATGGGTCAGCAGCATAATGCAGCAGCCGTTGGGGTGTCCGGACCCCCTCGCACGCAGCAGGAGTTGCTAATGCTGCAGCAACAACAGCAGCAGCAGCAGCAACAACAACAAATGCTGCAACAGCAGCAAATGCGGCGAGTGATTGCTGTGCCGCAACAGCAGCAGCAGCAGATACCGCAGCAGCATCTGGTGCAGCAGCAGATCGTAGTGGCTCCGCCGCAGTCCCCGCAACAACAACAGATGGCCGTTGGGGTAGGTGTGGGTGTGCCAGTGCAGCAACGGCCACCTCATGGATATATGCAGGCCCGCCCCGGACAGCCACCGATACCGATGCCGCAGTTTTACGGCCACAATCCCAACCTGAAGCTGCCCGCCGATCTCTTTCTCGTGGGCTGCACCTTTTACATCGTGGAGTACGATGAAACGGATGGCGATGAGCTGCCCATATGGCTGGACACAATTCGCCAGTTTGGTGGTGACATCGAACGGGTTTACTGTCCCCGGGTGACGCACGTCATCTGTCGCACCCAGCGGCATGGGGTGGTGATGCAGGCCCTGCGGGATGCCAAGCGCTGCGTTACCGCCTACTGGCTGAGCGATATCTGTCTCAAGCGTCAGCTGATGCCGCCATGGCAGCCGCTTCACCTGCCCTTTCCCAGTCAGTTTGGCTACCGCAAGCCCTTGGAAAGGTACATTATCACCTCGGAGGGATTCGAGGGCGAGGAGCAGGTGAGGCTGCAGCAGATGGCCGAGGAATGTGGCGCCATATACACCTCGTACCTGTCCAAGGTGAACACGGTGATTGTGTGCAAGCAGCTCGAGGGCAACAAGTTCAACGCGGCCAAGGAGTGGAGCATACCGATGGTGAACGCCCTCTGGCTCAGCGATGTCTGCATCGGTAATTTGAGCGGCCTGTCCCAGTACGATAATCCCAAGTACCAGCAATATAACTTAATTGCTCCCTTCCGCATCGAATGCAACCTGGTGGCGCATCTGTTAAGTAAGTTTAATTGTGTTTACAGTGCTCTCTTGAAACTAATTTCCTTTTTTTTTGTTTTTTTCAAAAGCTGCTTGGAAAGCACCCATAAACCTTACCCAGGAGGCGCACGAGCGCGTCAAGCGCCACCTGTCCGATCCCTTTGGCAACGAGCACAAGTTGAAGCGCCAGAAGATGAATGCCTTCCAGCAGGAGCAGCTGCCAGAGCAAATTGTTTGCCTCGAGTATCCCACGAATACCAAGCCTCCCAAGGTTATCTTTTCCCAGGTTGCCGAAGCCGAAGCCCTCAAAAAGGCAGTGCTGTAAGTACACATAAAAAAAAATTCGAATATTATCAACATTATGAATCAAGTTCCGAGTTTATAAATTAATCCTTGAATTTCTTTCTTTTCTTTGCAGAATTTTGGGCGGTATCGTTGTAGATAGCCCAGCAGATGCCACGCATCTGGTGATGACACGCGAGAGTCGCACTTGCAAGCTTATCCAGGCCTGCTGCCATGTGGACTTTGTGCTCAAGTCCAGCTGGATTGTAGAGAGCGCCAAGGCTGGTAAATTTGTACCAACCGAACCGTATCGCATCCAGCACATACCGGTCGACGAGAATCTGCAATTCAATTTGAACACCGTCCTGTGCGCCCCCACACGTTCCACGTTGTTTGCCGGCAAGTACTTCTATGTGACGCCGGATGTGTTCCCTGCCCGCGACGAAATAATACGGATGATTGAATCATCCGGCGGCAAGGTGGAGCCAAAGCGACGGACCGGTGCTGCTGTTGCCGAGGCCCATGTCCAATCGCCCGACTCCTACATCATAGTGACCTGCCCCACGGATATGCATCTGTGCGCGGATCTAACGCGACATGGCAACCCAAAGTGTCACATTGTGTCCACGGAATTCGTGATGAGCTCGATACTCAGGCAGCAGCTCGAGATAGAGCCCAACCTCATACCCTACTTGTACAACAACAACAACAATGTGAATAGCTGTATTAGCAATAAGTCCTCCTAGCGCCGTGTCTTCTGGTTGCTCTAGAGCTGTCGAGAATAGGATTTCTGTGACGAATTAAACAAGAATTTATGCGAGCTGTAATATACATAAGTAGGTAAGAGTGTGGGGCTAAAGTAGGAAAGTTTTGATGGCGGGAATCGGTTCTCTAGAGCATTGATCGTGTCATTGACTGACTGAATCAATTAGTTGTAGCCTGCTCCAGTTTCTTATGATATACCAACAAACGAATCTAGTCCACAGAATTCGTCAGTGCGTCGTACGGGCATGCAAATATAGATACCAGCATATCGGTTACACTGGTATGTTATATATCTTTTATTTCAAATTATTTAGTCTTTGCACGAATTTTATTCAAAGTGTATATATCGAAAGATTTTTCTTAAACTGTCACAATTTAGGATTTACTATAACTTTTTCATTGCATTACCATTTATCATTACAAAAAAATATTTTAAGGCATTAGTTTATTTGAAATTGCGGCCCATATTGTATGAATTTTATGAATTTAGCATGTAGCAAAAGAATTACCTTAATTATTGTAAGGTTGAGAGATTCATGCATATATTTTTGTAGGTTCCAGAACCTCCCCACACTAGAATAAGGATGTCACACAAATATACACATTCATATATATATGTATCCTAGAGTATACGAAATGTTTCACAGAAATTGATATATATATATATTGCTGGCTATTAGTATAGTAAGAGTACTTTTTACATAGATATAGAAAATATTTTCTCAACTAATTTTAAACCCTAGTTAGGCTTGAAATGTAAGAAAAATAAAATATCGTTACCAAAAAAGCATTCATATTTTTATGATTATTATTGAGATCCGTTTGGGACACTTATTTAGCAACACCTATTTAATCTTAAACAAGAAAGAAAGCTAACTTTGGCCAGCCAAAGTTTGTATACCCTTGCAGGTAACAATTAAAATATATCATAACTAAGCCAAAAATGCATTAATTTCGATCCGGAAAGCAGTTTTGTGTTAGTTTTTATTAGTTTAAAAAAACTGCATACCAAATTTAAAATTTTAAGAAATCAAAATTTTTGGTAATCTTTGCTCATTTTAATGATGTAACCCCTTATCAAATTTCGCAAAAATGGCAAAAAATCGATTTCTTCCGGACATGTCTAGAAAGATTCGCATGTTAATGCTGATCAAGAATATATGTGGTTTATGGGGTTGGAAATGATTCCTTGACTTAGAAAAATATTATTTTGTATTATAAAATCGGATTTTTTATATTAAACAAGAAAGGAAGCTAACTTCGGCACGCCGAAGTTTGTATACCCTTGCAGATTGGTTTTCATATTTATATCATAAATTATAATGCCGAAAACAGACACTAAGCAGAGTTTCATAACATTTTACCTATACTTATTATGTTTACAGTTTGAAAGTTACAGTTATACATTCCCAGCTTTACATTTTCTCTACATCTACGGATCGCTTCTATGGCTGCTATATGATATAGTTGTCCGATTTTCATAATATTGTTACCAAAATTCTGAAATAAGCTCATGTCTTAAAGTAAATGAAAATACGTTGAAAAACAACGAAGTTATAATTTTGTCTATTACTTTCCCTATCGTTCCTATGGCAGCTATAAGATATAGTCGTCCGATTTTCATAAAATTTATACCAAAATTCTGATAAAATACCAGAAGCTCATGTCTCAAATTAGATTTAAAATTTTTTTCTAATATTTTAACTTATTTTTTTAGATTTTTAAAATTTTTTTAGAATTTAAAAAAATTTTTTAAATATTTTAACTGCCAAATTTGAATTTGAATTTAACTGTCAAATTTGAATTTAACGACGATCAGTTTCAGTGTGCCCAGGTGCAGTTGTAAAATAACTCCTAAATTTGGATTCAAAAGGTTTGAGTCTCCGCTTACTTCCGCCGGCTCCGAAATGGTTTGAAACTTGGACTTTTTATAACAGTTTATACCAGTTTTCAGTTGCTTGCTGCTGATTTCTGTTCGCCTGTTACCCCAATTTGGGAAACGGGCAATTTGCATGGAAATGTTCGGAAATTTGGATTGGCTGCTGTAGGGATGTTGTTGTAAAAAGGTTGTTGTTGCCATAAGCTGTTGTTGTCGGCAACAAATAGGTATAAATGCATAAAATGAAATATAACAGTTTATACCAATTATTATTTTTGCCCAAATGTTTTTATAACAGTTTATACCAGTTTTCAGTTGCTTGCTGCTGCTTTCTGTTCGCATGTTACCCCAGTTTGGAAAGCGGCCAAATCGAATGAAAAAATTTGCTCACTTGCATCAGTGATGCTCATCTCCATCAGTGATGCTCACTTCCATCAGTGATGCTCAATTCCTTCAGTGATGCTCACTTCCATCAGTGATGCTCACTTCCATCAGTGATGCTCACTTCCATCAGTGATGCTCACTTCCATCAGTGATGCTCACTTCCATCAGTGATGCTCACTTCCATCAGTGATGCTCACTTCCATCAGTGATGCTCATCTGCATCAGTGATGCTCACTTCCATCAGTGATGCTCACTTCCATCAGTGATGCTCACTTCCATCAGTGATGCTCACTTCCATCAGTGATGCTCACTTCCATCAGTGATGCTCATCTGCATCAGTGATGCTCATCTGCATCAGTGATGCTCATCTGCATCAGTGATGCTCATCTGCATCAGTGATGCTCATCTAGCTATATTGCAATATTGGGAGGCTATAAAATCGGGCTTAATGGCAGTGATGCTCATCTGGCTATATTGCAATATTGGGAGGCTATAAAATCAGACTTTGCATCAGTGATGCTCATGTAGCTATTTTGCAATATTGGGAGGCAATATATCAGGCGTAATAGCAGTGATGCCCATCTAGCTATATTTCTTTATTGGGACAAAATAGATAGATGAGCATCACTGATGCAAAGTCAGATTCAGTGTGCCCAGGTGCATTTAAGCAACATTTTAGCCAAAAAATGTACAATATGGTCACATCTGGTTTGAGTCTTCGCTTACTCCAAGATCAATGGTTCGAAACTTGGACTTTTTATAACAGTTTATACTAGTTTTCAGTTGCTTGCTGCTGGTTTCTGTTCGCCTGTTATCCCAATTTGGGAAACGGGCAATTTGCATGGAAAATTTCAGAAATTTGTATGGACTGCTGCAGGGATGTTGTTGTAAAGGGGTTGTTGTTGCCATCAAGCTGTTGTTGTCGGCAACAAATAGGTATAAATGCATAAAATGAAATATAACAGTTTATACCAATTATTATATTTGCCCAAAAGTTTTTATAAAAGTTTATACCAGTTTTCAGTTGCTTGCTGCTGGTTTCTGTTCGCCTGTTACCCCAGTCTGGAAAGCGGCCAAATTGAATGAAAAATTTTGCTCACTTGCATCTGTGATGCTCATTAGCATTATTAAAAAATTAAAGCATACTTTTGGGGTTTTCTATTAAAAACGTGGCATCTTTTAGGCGGAAGTTCAGATTACAGTTTGATAAGCACTGGTCCAAGTGAGATTCAACTTTTACAGTTTGACAAGCACTTTTCGGATAATATAAAATGGCCATATCTAAAAAATGGTGCAAAAATGTTGAAAAACAGCTAAGTTATAATTTTATTTCTAAAAATTTATCGAACATTTGTAATACAAATTTTGTATGGGAGCTATATGATATAGTCGTCCGATCCGGCCCGTTCCGACATATATAGCAGTGAGAGTATATAGAAGACCCTATACAAAGTTTCATTCAGATAGCTTTAAAACTGAGGGACTAGTTTGCGCAGAAACAGACAGACGGACAGACGGACATGGCTAGATCGACTCGGCTGTTTATGCTGATCAAGAATATATATACTTTATAGGGTCGGAAAGGTCTCCTTCACTGCGTTGCAAACTTCTGACTGAAATTATAATACCCTGCAAGGGTATAAAAACTTCTTGATTTTTTTTTTAAATTAAAAATATCATAACTCGGCCAAAAGAGCATTAAGTTTAAATCGGAAAACTGTTCTGTGCAAGATTTTCTACGGTTAATAAATCTGCATACTTCATTTAAAAATTTTGAAAATTCAATTTTTTATCAAAATCAAAAATTTTAATGATGTAACAACCCCTTATAAAATTTTGCAAAAATGGCCAAAAAATCGATTTCTTCCGGACATGTCTAGAAAGATTCCCCTGTTGATGCTGATCAAGAATATATATACTTTATAGGGTCGGAAACGTCTCCTTTACTGCGTTGCAAACTTCTGACTGAAATTATAATACCCTGCAAGGGTATAAAAACGAAAACAAGAAGGAAGCCAACTGTTGTATGTCGAAGTTTTTATACCCTTGAAGTTTGCGATTGGATCTTTAAGAATCTATCCATTATTTGATTTATATTATAATTTTAGGTCAATAAAAACTTCAAAATTAAATAACAAATTCGAAAAATGCATAAATTTAAATTCGGAAAACTTTCAGAGTTAGTTGACTTCGTTGCAAACTTCTGACTGAAATTATAATACCCTGCAAGGGTTTTAAAAACTTGAATGTTTCAATCAATGTTTCTTCACCTCCTCACTAATCCCCACTTGAAAGAGCCTTTGAACAATCTCTGGTGAGACTGTGAATAAAAACATATCTGTATTATTTTTCATATTATTTTCGTTTTATTGTTGTTTTTCGGTTTTTTGTGTTTATCTTTAAAGAATCTTACGAATTCACTTTGTAATGTATTTTACAGACGAAGCTTGGCATGCCGACAACTTGTCGTGGCATAATGTGTTTGTGTGTTTGTGTGTGTTTAGTAAACAATTAACGTATTTTTAATTTACATCATCAGTTGAACCAAGGTAGACTTATGTGACTAAAACCACTACGCTTACACTTACAATTCAAAATTCGCACTTACAAAGGATCTAAGTGTAGAGTAAAAATTATTACGAGTAGGGGTATTTTTCCCTTCAAATAAGTTATAAATAATTTCGTTTGTGTTTACCAACTAGAGAACTATCAAAATTGTATTACGAAAACTACAAACTGTGTGTTTTATCATCGTACATTTTAATATTTGTTATAGATAACTATGAATAAGTAAGGTTAATATGGGTTTTGCTTATTGTAGTATGGTACATATCTTAAAAAAAAAAATAACTAACAATATATACGTTTCAGTAAAATCCGGCTTAGAACTCTTCAATATTTAGATATTTTACACTTATTCCCTTAGACTAATAATAATGAAGTGTGCTGCATATGTTGCCTATTTACAGAAATAAAAGATAAATCATAAAAAGAAATTACGCTAGCCTGTGTATAACGCACCTGTTTGTCGCCTTAAATTAAGAAATACAATTCCGTATGTACAAGTTTATGTTATGTAAAGGAGAATATAGTCTTCTCCATTAAACTTATTCAAGAAAAATAAAACAGATGGTCTACGACTGGTAAGTGTGACGGAAAAACTTTTCACCGGGTGTATTCGTTTTTTTTTCTAAGGTTCCAAAAAAGAGATAATACAGATTTATATATTTTAATTTCCCATTATATAAAAGAGAAATGCTACAACGCAAGGGATGTATCGAAAGGTACACACCTTGGCTGGCATTTATCATGTTGAATAATGCAACAAAAATTGGAGTTAATTTTGTAAAATGATTTCACAAAATGTAACCAGAATTTATGATTTCCCTTAAAGAATAGGGTTGCTTGTTATTTTGTATGCAAGTTTAAAACAAAATTAATTCTAGGTACGAAAAATGGCTTCGGAAATCAGCTGTTGCCTGTATTTATGCCTATGTACATCCATTTTGTGGCCCAATTATTAATTCAATTAACCCCTCGCTTTGTACTCTTTTTTCAACGTTGTTCAACTCACACGCACCTTTAGCTGGTAAGGACAATAAACAATTTGCATTCTCCTGCTTTGTGAGTGTTTAAAATAATTATTTACATTGGATTCTCTTCTTAATATTGCTTTGTGGCTTGGGCTTATCTCTGCATTTCGTTAGATATTGTATATAATATTTGGGGCTTGGTTTTATCTTTTTATTTCTACGTTTTACAAGTAATTCAAGTTGTTTAAACAAAAGTTACACAAAATATATAGGATATAGGTATAGAGATTTAGTTCCCCATATCTAACGAAACTGTGTTTTCTGGGTCTCCTTTAAATCGGCTTAAATAACTAAAAAAAAATACATATTACCAATTACCCAAGGGGATTCTCCTATATCAGCTTTGTAATTTCAGTTTTTCTTTTTTGGCTGCCTAAATCTGAACTCTATATACTATATGTAAATATATATTATATCGATCCTTGTTATATTTTTAATTGGGTTTCTTCTTTGTTTGCTTTGCGTCTATCTTTTTGCTTTGACCGAAAACGAATGCCATTAAGTAAACTAAGTAGTTTTTAGTTAAAACGCAACGTTTTTGTTTATCTTCTAGAAATTCTTAAAGATCTCAGAGTTGGGTTTTTTGCTTACAAATATACATGTTGTTGATTGCATTGTGTGTTTTGCTAGGCTTTTTCATGTTTTGTTTGTCTGTATGTTTGCTTTGATCTGTTATTGTTTGCTATTCAAAATATTATTAAAATAAACACTGAAGGGGCGAAGTATTTCTCGTGTGGTTTGTAAACAAGCTTTTTCTTATAAAAAAAAAAAAAAAAAAGAAACTTGAATCCGACCTCCCCGTTTGTTCTGTCCGATATTTTGTTTACCCTTAGTGCTTGCTCTTCCCCTTCTCCTAGTGACCCGCATCTCTCCGGTTTGCTGCCGCCGTGGTCACCTTTTCCACTAATGCACTCGCTGCCGCAGTTCCGGCCGCCACTGAACCCAAACGCTCGATTACCCTCGAATCACAGGAAATTGTCCTTTGCAGACACCGCGATCGCTCACTCATCTTCTCCTGCTGCTGCTCCAGTAGCGTTGGTGCGGCATTAAAGTGGCCACCTGCGGGTGTAGAAACTCCTGATTTACAACTCTATTCGGATTTTAAGAAAATATGTAGTAGCAACTCACCTTTCGGTTTATCATCGAACATGTGCAGCTTTTGAGCCGTACTCAGAATGCTGTTCACTGTGCTCAGGGTGGTGGCCGCCGGATCCAAAGTCGGATTCTTGATGGCAGGCATTCTGCTGACGCCGAGTACCTGCTGCAAGTGATTGTTGCTGCTACTCTTGCTGTTGACATTATTGCTTCCGAGATTAAGGTGATTCGAGCCCTGCTGCTGCTGGTGCTGCTGCTGGTGGTGATGGAGCTGCTGGTGTACACTGATCGAGTTCCTGCGCTCCCTTATGGCCGCCTGATACCGTTCCGGCGATTGCAGCGAGCACTTGTTGATTGTTTGCGGCTTGGCAAAGCAGCTCGCTGCTGGTGGGGTTGTTGGTGTCGTAGGAGTTGTGGGCGTTGTTGGGGCCGTATCCACCGATGGCCGATGCCTCATCCTATACTCACTAATGGAGAGCTTGCGTTTGGGCATTGGCGTTGGCTCTGGCACTGTGAGCATGGGATTCAGACGAGGATCATGGCTGGCGGTGCGAGTGTACAGCTTCAGCGGTGTGGTGGTCGGTGGCGGCATTTCTACGGACAAAGGTGATGAAGCCACAGCAGCAGTTGCTGTTACTGGGCTAACTATGGCAGCAGCTGCTGGACAGGCTGCCGCCTTGGAAGATTTGATTTTTGCCTCCAGATACTCCGAGAGACTGGGCATGCTGCTACTGCTGTTGGTGGGGACATTGCCGGCAATGCCACTTGCTGGCAACGAAGGAGTATCCTGAAACTTGCCGTAGATGGTGTTGTAGAAGGGCAAAGGTGGCATCTTGCTGTCCAGTGGTGGTACTGTAACCGCAGGAGTAGGTTGCGTGATCAGCACAGGTATGGGAGCAGCTTTCGGCGTGGGCACTGGAACGGGGGCAGGCAGGGGAGTAGCCACTATAGCTGGGACTGCGACTGGTGGCTTCTGAATGTAGCTCATCTTGCTGCTAATCAGTCTGCTGCTGTCCTTATCCTTTTCTTTTTCTTTGTCCTTCTCCTTCTCCCGTTCCTTGTCCTTCTCCTTGCTCTTCTGTTTCTCATGCTTCTGTTTCTCGCGATCCTTCTTCTTGCTCTTCTTCTTCTCCTTCCTTTCCTTCTTCAAGGCGGCCGCAATGAGCGCCTGCTGACGGCTGCCGCACATAGACTCGCGGCGCCGTGTAATGGCCGTTATCTTGCCACTGGCAATGGCTGCCGCCAAGCTCATGGGTCCTCCTCCACTCGCAGGACTTGCCAGGACCTCCTGGTGATGATTGTTTTCTTTGCGGTGCTGTGGCTGTTGCACTGCATTCGGAACTCCACCTGAGGCACCCACACCAGTGGAGGCGACGATGCCAGGAACGGCGCTTGCCAGCGCCTTACTGCTATTAAGGAGAATGCTGCTGCTGAGGATCTGGCTGTTGGGTTTGGTCAGCTCTTGCTCGAAGTTGGTCTGCCGCTTCTTGGCCGTGGGTGGAGTCGGCGGGGCCAGGGGCTGGGGCAGGGGTGATTGGGTCACGGGTGTGACGCACATGGACATGGTGCGACGCCGCATCTTCTGCTGTTGCTGTTGATCCACATTATTGTGCGCCAAGTGCTTGGACTTTCCATTGGCCGTAATGGCTGATGGGCTGGCAGGTGGCACCAGGGTTGAAGGCGGCGCTGGGGGCAAGGTCTTGGAATCCGTCTTAATGACTGACTGGTTGGACTTTTTCTTTGAGTCTGCCAAGGGGAGGACAAGTGTCGTCGATGATGCCTTGTGCTTTTCCTTTTCTTTTTCCTTTTCTTTATCCTTTTCCTTCTCCTTTTCTTTATCCTTTTCTTTTTCCTTTTCCTTCTCCTTGGATTTCTTCTTTTCCTTCTTTGACTTCTTCAGCTGCTTCTCTTTCTCGCGCTTCTCATCCTTCTCCTTGGCGGTTTTCTTGGACTCTGCCCCGCTCCCACCACTGCTGCTGCTGCTGTTGCTCTTTTGGTTTGAAGCCGCGGCGGTGGCCTTTTTGTTTCTCGACTGCAGGTATGAAATGTTGGCCGCATGGAAGGACAGCAAACGTTCCTGAATGTCGTGTTTTGTGAGATTTTTCGTACTCGAAGGAGCAGCAGGAATTGCAGGAGCTAGAGGCACTGGCGCTGCTGCTGCTACTACTTCTATGGCTCCTGTGGTCGTGGTTGAGGGAGGGAGAACTACCTCCAGCTTGAGCTTTTTCTTTTGCGGCTGCTCATCCTCTAGTTTGAGAGGCGGAGGTGGTCGCGTTGCCTTGATGGCCACCTTTCCTACATCGAGCAGTGTTGCTGCCGCTGCTGCCGTTGCCGTGGAGCGTAACAGGGACTCGCCCGGCTTGGGTTCTTCCACCTTTGTGGTCTCCACCTTGGGCGGCGGCGGCAGCTCAGATTCCGGAATTATAGTTTCCTTTTTGGGCACCAACTTGACAGCGTTGGTATTCAGCTCTAATTTCGGTTCCACTGGCAAGGGCTCAGCCTTGGTCTGCTGCTGCTGCTGCAGTTGCTCCAGCTGTAGCTGTTGTTGCTGCTCGCGCTGTTCCTCCTCCTCTCGCTTCACCTTTACCATCTCCTCGAATTTATCGCAGGCCTGGCTCTCCACATCACGTTCCACATCAATCTTTACATCATCGGCGGCTGCACTTGTGTCCTCCGGCTCGATCTTCACCAGATTGTCCTCAGCGACGATTTGCTGAGTGCCCGGGCTAGGAGATCGCAAAATGTCCACGTCATCGTCCTGCTCCGGCTGTTGTTCCTGCTGGTGGCTATGCTCAGTTTCCACCTTCAAAACTGGCATGGCCATGTCCTCATCCTCAGCCTCCTCCTTGGGTTCTTCTCCAATGACATCAATGTGCGGTTCATCGACTTCCATACCATTCGACCCATTGCTAATCACCACTAGGCGGCGCTTCTTCAGCGGCGTGCTGAATCCATTAGCAAGGGGCGAGACACTCGGCTGAAGTTGAGGTTGGGGGGTGGGCGTCTGCTGTTGCTGCTGCGGAGAAAGTCCTTCATCCGGAGTAGTTTCCTCGCTGATGGCCTGTCGCAGCCAGCGCTTCTTCACCGATGAATTATTTTGCAGCGGCAAATGCAGTTGGTCACGTGCAGTGCCCCCCGGTGTGGTTGCCGTCGACGTCGACGACGACGACGTCTCTGTCTGGTGGATAAACTGCTCAACCTTCAGCAGTGCCGGCGCTGGCTGATGCTGATGATGCTGCTGCAGCTGGTCGCGTTCACCATTAATCTCGCTCATGGCCGCTCGCACAAGGCTGTCCAAGCCCGAGGATGAGGAACCTGACTGCTGCTGCTGCTGCTCACACTGCTCCTGCTGAAACCAGCTGGACATGAGTGTCTTCTTGGTCTTGGCCCCACCGGGCGGAAACTTGAATTCACTTGATGGCGAGGCCGTGGCTGGAACTGGCGGCTGCTCAACCAGCGGTCCCATGGCGGCCTCAATTAGCAAACAGGCGCTGCTCACAGGCAGGGACTGCTGCGACTTGGGTGTGGGTGATTTGAAAGATTCGCTAGCGATGGATGGCGAGTTGTTGTTGTGGTGAGCCAAGGCCAGGAGCAGACCTGCTGCCTGGTCTTCCGATCCATGATGATGCTGCACATGATCCTCCGATTCCGAGTTGGTCAAGGCGTGCGATTCCCCATCCGACTCCACCATAAGGCTCTTCCTTCGCTTATTGTTGCTGCTGCTGCTGTTGTTGTTATTGTTGTTGTAGCTTCGGCTTACCTTCCGCTTCTTCTTTTGGTTGCGTCGCTGCGGGGAGTTGGTGCTTGTCGGCGTATCCATCACATCCTCACTGATCGAGTTGGAGCTGCTGCCTCGCTTATTGGGCGAAGCTGGCGAGTTACTCGCCTGCCGCTTGTTGGCGCTACCCCCACCACTTATGCCCTGTCGCGTGGTCTCCTTCTTGTGGCGCGCCTCTTGCTTCTCCATCTTTTCAATGGCTCGCAGAATGGCCTCCAGCTTTCGATCCTCCCGCGACTGCTTCGGCTTATCCTTGACGGGCGTGCGGGTTGTGGGTGTTGTGGCCAATCCCTCATCATCTCTGGATGATTCGCCTGCGGACGAAGGTGTAACTGGTATTGCTGCTGCTGGGGCTGCTACTGCTGCAGCAGGGGGAGTCACGTGTTGTTGGGTAGGCGGCTGCTTGCCTGGAGTTTTCCTGGCTGTAGCCACCACCGCTGGTTGCCCACTATTGTTGTTATTATTATTATTATTGTTGTTGTGGACCAGGGACACACTTTTCGTAGGAGTGGCGGCCACCTGAATGGTCTGGACCACGCCGGTTGAATAGACAATCTGCTGCTGTTGTTGATGCTGCTGCAGCTGCTGTGGTTGTTGCTGCTGCTGCTGGGTTTGCCTTTGTGGCGACTGCATTGGAGGCTGATGATGTGGCTGTGGTTGCTGCTGCTGCTGCTGCTGCTGCACAGTTGTCACCTTAATAGGCGTGGCATGCAGGGTTTGTAAGGCACTCACTGCCATCCTGGCCTCATCTGCCATTTGTTGCTGATGCAGTTGTTTCTGCTTTTGTTGTTGCTGCTGCTGCTGTTGCTGTTGCAAGAAGTGAGCTGTCACCTGCTGTTGCTGTGCTTTAGGAGATTGTTGCTGGGGCTGCTGCTGCGGTTGCTGCTGAGATTGCCTCACAAAATACGTGGACATGGGCTGCTGGGCAGCTGCTGCTGCTGCAATCACAGCCAAAGGTTCCTGATGCTGCTGCTGCTGTTGCAAAAGGGAAGTTTGCTGCAACACCACATGACCAGGTTTCTGTGGCAACTGTGGTGATAATATCGGCGTTAACATTGGCGTGGGCAACGCTGCCAGAATCTGTTGCTGCTGATGCTGTTGCGTAGGACTCCGCTGCAAAAGCGATGTCTGGTGCGGCGTTGGCGACTGCAGCTGAGCGGGCGTAGGCGAAGGAATAGACACTGAAGGCGATGAGGAGGAGGTACAAATGCCCGAGTCATGCAGCACACTGGACATGGACACCGAGCAGGAGTTGTTGCTGCTGCTGCTGCTGCTGCCGCTGCTGCCGCTGCTGTTGCAAACCGGCGCCGTCATCGACGAGGCCGTCGTTGGTGAGGGCTTAAAGCCAAGATTCAACTGACCAAGCTGCGGACTATTCAAACCCATTTGGCTGCTCTCGCCACTGGAGGAGGTTGAACGATTCCTTGAATTTGGTAGGACGACACTTGTTGCTCCGCCTGCGGTTGCTGCTCCAGATCCAGATCCTGGTCCTCCGACCACACTCAGTCCCATCGTCAGCTGTATGGCTGCCGCGCTATTGGCCGCTGCAGATGCCGCCGCTGCTGCTGCCGCCTTGTTGCGGTGACTGCTCCTGGGCTGTGCCGGCGGAGCCTGCAGCTGCTGTTGCACTGCCAGCGGCAAGGCAAAGAGGCAATCGCTGCCCAGATCGCAGGCACAGCGTGTGCTTGTGGGCTGAATGACAGCTGCATGGGATTTCTTCTGCTCCACCGCCGCCAGGTCGTGTGGCTCGTGACGCACCGTTATCTCCGTCTGGGCACGGATGTGCGTCAGTGCCACTATATACAGGTGGAGCGTCCCCTTCTCGAAATAGTGCTGCAGCTCGGCATTCGGGCGGCAGGAGCGACGGACAAAGCGTGCATCGTTGCCGTATGTCCGCGTATCTACGCATACCTCCGGCCCCTTAAGGTACGAGGGCGGCTGCTGCGTCACCTGCGGCACACTGCCATCCGGTCGCAGCGTCTGCATGGGTGCCTCCACTCCAGGCAGCTGGTAAAAGAAGACAAACTGGCCGGGCGTCTTGTGGGCCTTGAAGCTGTTCAGGTAATTGCTCGGCGGGGGCGTGTTCATGTTGACGGTGGGATTCTGGGTGCGGAATTGCGTGGTCAGCATATACTTGCCGCGCAGCTCGTGGATAGGGGCATGCGGCGCCAGCTCCACGCTGCTAATCAACACCTTGGCGCCCGCATACGGAATGAGCTGAGCACGCTGCTCCAGCTCCAGCTCACTGCTACCACCGCCGGTTGTCGAGAGTTGCTGCTGGATCAGACGCAGTGCCTTGTTCTCCGTGTTCTGGATGCTCTGCAGCAGGCTGGGTTGCTTCTGAATGGCATGGAGGCGGGCTCGCAGCTCCGGCGAATAATGATTGGTCACCGCGTACTCGTAGTTCTCAATCCATTGCCGCAAATTGGCGGCATGCTTTTCAGCCGCCGTAAGAGCCAGATTGCTGCCGCTGCCGCCACTCGTCCCCTCGGAATTGGACTTGCTCTTGCGCTTGCTACTCTTTTTGCTAGACTTGCCAGTGCCAGCGTTACCAGAGGGAGCTACTCCTCCTACTCCTCCGCTGCCGCTCTTCTCGTTGCTGCCGCTCTTCTTGGTTTTCTTTAAAGTGGAACCTCCGCCGGCTCCATCTTTGGTTTTCTTCGACTTCTTGGACATGCCAGTGCCCGTGGCATAGCCGCCATTCAGTCCCGATGTTAGCCTTTGCTGCAGCTCCTCGGACATGGCCACTCCGCCGATGCCAGTGCCACTGCTAAAAGCTCCTCCGCTGAGCGTTGCTCCTGCCGCCACGGCTGCAGCTCCATTAGCCGCCTGGGTGGCCACCAGCAGCATGTGCTCCTTACGCTTCTGTCGCTGCAGGGCACGAGCTCTCACCTTGTCCACAGCACGCGGCTGACACAGCTCGCACATGTACTCCTCGGGAATGTTCTGGCGGTCAATGCCCATGCAGTCCACGTGCTGCCAAGCCCTGGGAATTAGGAGATAAAGATAAAAGTTATATCTAAAGACTTGAGACCGTATTAATTATGTACTCACGAGCACTTGTCGCAGCATATCATGTAGCCATCGTCGTGGGTCAGCTCACAAATGCAGCGCGTCACAGAGTCATCGTCGGCCTCGGCTTCTGGCGCTGTCTCCGTCTCCTCGCCCGGATCAATGTCAGCGCTGGCCAGGCCCAATCTAGAGCTACTGCTAATGGCCGAGTGGGCATCATCGTCGGTGACATGACGAGGAACTGCGTAGAAAAAAGTGGGAATTATAATTTTTGGCATTTGAAAAAAATAAATACAATATTATTTCCTTTGAATAAATCTAATTCTGAAGGTTAACACAATGATTGCTATTTACCCGGCTGACCGTAAAAGTTTCCATAGGTGGGTGTGGTCTGGCCCCCTGCCACTGTCACACCAATTCCGCCTAGGGACCACTGTTGCGGCTGCTGTTGCTGCTGCTGTGCCACTCCAGCAATGGTTGTATCCTGCTGCTGTGACTGCTGTTGTTGCTGCTGCTGCTGCTGCAGGGAGGCATAGGTGTGGTCCTGCATTATGGCATGAAGCTGCTGCAGGCGCAGATCCTGTGTTAGCACTGGCACCGGTCGCACCTCCTCAATATATAGCTCTTCGTCGTTGGCACTCAAATGGCTTTGGCCCATTGGATGCTGTGCCGTTTGTAGCTGAGCTGCTGCTGCTGTTCCTGTTCCTGCTGCTGTTGCAGATGTTGCACTTGTGGTTGTTGCTAACTTCACCAGTGGCCCTGCTGCGTCCAGTTGTCCAGAAACGTTACTGAGCGGCGTTAAATGAAGAGACGTGGCTGGGGTAAGAGTTGTCGTGGTATAACCGCTAGCACTGTTGTTCCGCAAAGCTCCCAGATTGCTCATGCTATTGCTATGGGTCAGGTTACTGCTGTTGCTGCTGCTGCTGTGTTGGTTCACGCTGAAAAGTTAAGATACGCAGCACGTGTGAATACAGGAGAGATGTCACAACACACAATTCTCACATAGAACTGATCAAAACAGCTGGCCCAGCCCGATAGTTGATGCAATTCTGACACTTGTGGGAGAAAACTATCGCTTGTTCATCCGGAACGAGCCGTCATTTAACAAACAAATCGATTTTAAAGGGCTAAAAGCAAGGCATTTAGAGCAGTCAGTGTGTCAATCGATTTAAAACTGATTAAACGTAATTGCTGTCAGTTTCGGACGAGTGGCAAAACTCTGCAAAATTGTTGTCATTTATATTTACTTTTAAGGTAAGTTATGGCTAATTCAATGCCAAATTGTTCACTTTAAAAGTTCATTGTTGGGAAACGGCTAATGCTAGTTTATTAAATTAAATACCTCCAAGTCCCTTCTATCCTAAATGTCCACGAATGCATTGGTTTAAGGATACGTGTCCCGAGATACTCAAGTGGCATTTTTATTTTTTTTAATTTTTTCCTAATTTTTGATCAAAATTGAAAGTCAAAACCCCGAATTTTGACTAACAAAAATGAAGCTACTTTGTTAAATAAAAAATTATGAATACCTTTCCCCCCTTAAACTCAAATTATAGCTTTTCACTATTTGAAATCGCGATAATTTATGTTTATATTCATCACTAGACCATCCTTACCCGTGCTTGTAATACTCAATGACGGTTGGTGCCTTCCTTGCCGTCTCGTGCTGCATTGGCTGATACGGATGCTGCTGCTGCTGCTGTTGCTTACGCTCCAGTGACGCCGCCCGGCTGCTGGGGGCACTCACCGATTGACGACGCGCCGCCGTTGCCGAGGACATATACGAGGAGATGGCTGCACTGCCGCTTACGAAGCCATGCGACGAGATGCTAACAGAGGGGGTGCTGGCCACAGTCACTGGAGGCGTGCCAGTGCCAGTGACGGTAAGAAACGATGGCGAGGAAACTGGCTTGTTGCCGGCTGCTTGATAATGTGTCAATAGCAGATTTCCCGGACTGCCAGCGGATCCGCCATTGCTGCTGCTAGTGCCGCCTCCACTGCTATTATTGCTATAGATAATCTGTGTGGGTGGCGGCATGTTGCTGCTGCTGCTGGTGGTGGCACCCGGCACCTGTTGGGATCGCTGTTGCTGCTGACTAAATGACTTCTGGGCCATGCTTTGCAGGATGCGCGCAGACAACTCATCCGTCATCTGGGTGCCGTTGACAATCATTACGTCATCGGTGATCAGAGAAGAGTTGGTCACCGCATGCGCAGGCTCATTGTCGCTACTCCCGCTGCTGTTGTAGTGGATGCGCTTCGTCGTTCCCATCTGCTGCTGCTGCTGCTGGGGATGCTGCTGGATGACGGTGCCATGCGAGTTGACAAACTTAATGGTTCCGCCGCCAGTTGCCTGAGCCTGCGCCTGCAGCAAGTATCCGCCTGCCGAGCCGGCATTCGGAGATGTCTTGTGCTGCAGTTGAGTTCCCTGCGGCAAGTTGATCTGCTGCTGCTGCTGCACATACTTGCTGTTTAGCTTGGTGACCTTGGTAACTGGCGTAGGCGTAACTATCGACTGTTTGGCATAGGTAGCCTGCTGCTGTTGCTGCTGAGGCAAAGCAGCAATAGACAGGGCAGTCGTTTGTTTTACAAACTTTGCCTTGGCACCTGCCGCCGTCTTGTAGGTTTGCTGCTGCTGCTGCTGTTGCTGCTGCTGCTGCTGAGTGATGAACGTCTTCAGCTGCTGGGACTGCAGTTGCTGGTGATGCTGTTGCTGCTGCTGTTGCAGCATATTGCCCACGCTCTTTACCGTAATCTTTTGATTGGCCTTCTTCAGTAGCGCCGCATTGCCAGCCAATGCTGTCGTCGCCGTGGCATTTACATACTTCTGCTGCGCCGGCTGCACTATTATTTGCGGCGGAGTAGCCGGAACGTAAGACTGGAGGCGAGCCGCAACGCGAGAGTTCACAGTCACTTTCTGCAAAGTGGCTGCCTGCGGGTGATGCTGCTGCTGTTGCTGTTGCGCTTTAAATGCGCTAATGCTGCCAAACTTCTGGGCCTGCTGTTGCTGCAGTAGTGGTTGCTTTGCCGGCGATGCCGTCACATACGGCAGACTTTTTGCGCCCATATAGCTGAGCTGCTGTTGCTGGGTTGCTCCTCCTTGGACAGGGGCCTGCTTTGAGAGCACCGTGAGATTGCTGAGCAGGAGCTTTGAATTGTGCGGCGGCGCCGCAGCCGAGGCATCAATAATGACATTACTGGTGCTGCCATCAGTGGTCACAATCTTATAGATTTGAGGATTAATCAGCTCCTGACCGGAGCTGGCCGAAGAGGCTGCCCCAGTGCCTGCTGCCGTACGCACTGCGTATTTTTGCGTTGCATTCACCGCCACCACTGACTGGGATTGGCCTTGGCTTGCGCTGAGGATCTGGCGCGTGCTGATCGACATGCGGCGCTGCATGATGCGCTGCAGTTGCGCCTGCGTTGACAAACTTGTGCCATCGATGACGATGTGCGGCGGTGGCGGCGGTTGGGGGCCAGCGATCCCGACGCGATTGATGCTGCTCGTGCTACCGCCGCCGACGCTGGTGCTGCTGCTGCTAACGGCGGGCTCCACAAAGACCGTGTCGTGGCTGGACATGGGCATGGCGATGCTGGTGTAGATTTTGCAGAGCTTTCTGCAAGCTTAAATTATAGTTTCTGTAGGAAGAGGGAGAGCCTAACTTGGCTTTAAAGTTCACTCAATCGGTAGAGTTCAAGATTAGCTTTCGATTTCACAACACTACTTCACTACTGGTGAGGCCGTCATGTTGCTGTTGCTGTAGCTCCTGGCTCTTCGTAGATGTGCCCCCAAAGCATTGGGGGCCCAATGCATAATCTCTGGCTCTGGCACGGAGTGGTAATAACGCTACTAACGGTAGACGATAAGGGCCGTGGTGTGCGCTTGAATTGCATAGACGGTGTCCAACACTGTGCCACATCACATTGTCAGCCATCACAAACATAACGCTGCGAGAGATTCAACGGCTTCCGCTACCACTTCCTCTGCGCACTGCTTCCTTGCTCTGCAGCTCTAGCTCTAGCTCCTGGGATCTTAATCCTGATCTTCTTCAGTAACGAAAATTCTATCCCGTTCCGATTCGTATTAATTTTACGTTGTTGTCTGTCGTTGTATGTTGTGACTTATACTTCGTGGATATTATTTTAATATATATAAACGATCTTTCGTTGTTTCTGGAATAAAAAGAAAATAGAAGAATTTTAATTTAGTTAATGATTAAGGTAAAATCACAACAAGGGACAATCGGCTTCAATTTGGACGATCTTTCAAGATACGCAATGATTGCTTGAATCTGAATTTTAATTTTATAATAAATATTATTTATTAATCGAAGAAATAATCCCCAAAATTATGATTTTTTTTAAAGATTAAATGGAAAGGATACAAATAATTTCAGACCACCGATAGTATCGCTAAGTGATGGCCCCATCTCTATCGTCCCGGCGTGGCATTGCCAGATGCAATTCGCATTAAACATTATGTAATGAAATAAAAAGCACAGCACCGTTGCTGTCGAGCGCCAAAAATGCGCATGCGCACTTTAAACATCCAATATCCGCGTTTTCTCTGCATACTATATGTATGTATTTTCGCCTTTGCTTTCGGAATGTGCTTCGTGATGCACTTGCTGTAAACTTGAACGCAGCATCAGGGAGCGAAAAATCAGAAAATCAGAGAGAAACCACCGAGAAGCGAACACGGTGCAAAAGGTGTGCCCAAAGCAAGCAAGGGATTGTGTGAATTGTTTACACTTGTGTGCGTGTTGGCTATGTGTATGTGTGTGCAGTATGACCCCCCTGGCAAATATTGGAAAAAATAAAAAGAAAAACAGCAACAACGTTAAGCACTTGTGCATTTGTCTTTTATGATGAAAACCTGTTTTTCTATTTTTTTGCATTGTTTATGCGCGCACCTCTTCAGCTAAATCAGTAAGGCTAAAGTCTCCCATTTGCACAAATTTGGCAATGTAATATTTGTCACAAGTAAACTTAGATGAGTTGCTAATCTAAATCTAAAACAGCTCAACAGTATAAATATTTTGATATACTCGTTTTCTAAATTCAGATGAGTTCAGATTTTATAAGCAACTTTCTAGTACTATTTCAAAGATGCTACTAACAATAGCAAACTGATTCAATATGACGAACTCTTTAATATATTAGTTTCTAGGTCTAAGTTTATTTGTCAGTTTTTCTTAAGCTTTGTATTCCTCCTTTTTTAAGTACATAGTTTATCTGAACTAGTATTACAATTTTATGACCACGAAAAGTATCTAGATACATATATGAGAATATTTCGATTCTTTACATCTTAGATATGTACATATGTAACTTTTAGATTAGATTTTACAAATGAGCAATTACTCTCCAATACTCCCAGCAATGTGTCAATATTTTGCTGCTATGTTTTGCTCTACGTTTCGCGCTGTTCCTATTATTTACTACACAATCCGCTTTCGCTACGTTGTTCGGATTGCAAAGCGGAGGAAAAGCCAAAGCAAAGACAGAGAGGAGGCAAAGCAGAGCGAAATGTGAATGCACTAATTTCGCCTTGGCATCCGGCGCGGCATTCATCGCTAGTTGCTGTTGTCGCTGTCTTGTATCTATTACACATTACACTGGCAACTTGCACTTGGGTTTGTATGTATGTATATTCCACCTGCACCTGTGTGTGTGGCTGAGTTTGGGGCCAATTTGCGCCTATTGTCTATTGCACTCGCGTGCTGTAGATACAATTTCCAATTGAAATAGAGAATAGGGAGCAGCAGCGCAATTGATTCCCCTCAATTGAATTTAAGATAAATCTAGCGCGTGCTATTATGTAACTTTTTATTTGTTTCCTGGGAAGTTTTGGTTTAGAACTCCTCCTCCATCGACAATTATGCTTCCTCCCATTTCCGTTTTATCGTCATCACGTTTCAGATTTCTCAATGGAAGGAAGCAGGGCACGATAACGGCACAAAAGAGAGCGATTGCAGTAAATTTTGATTTAGGTTACACACAAGAGCATTTACAATCAATCCTACAATAGCGCTGCTAGTTAAAAATATACAACTGTGACAAAGAGAGAAAGACAGATTTCCTCATCCTCAGCCAAAAGGTGAAATATACTCACACAACTGCAAACGCCAACCCTACCCCAACCCCAACAAAAACAACAACGTAGTCATCATCATCGGCAAGTAAAATGCGCGCCATAAACAAATTATACACACACCAGCCCACAAAATAAGCCCCAGAAGTCGCCCCCATTACCAGCTAGTGGGTGTGAGCAGGACAGCAAGCAGATCTCTGTAAATGCACGTTGGAAACTTATCGCACACATATACTCAACGATAAACAAATACAAACACTGACCGCAGTGCTTTCCTACTGTTGTTGTTGCTATGGTTTTTGTTGCATCGCTAGATGAAGTAGAACAAAAAAATACAGTAGATTGTCGATAAAGTAAATTTATCAAACTCTTCGATTCACAATGGAATTTGTACATTGAAAGGGAATATTTTTGTTTCATGTTGGTTCTATTTTTGTAAACTTATTTGAGTTTACAGAAGTTCCCTTGCAGATGTTTCCCTGTAGCGGTGGCAAGATACACATGTGTGAGAGGAGCCACGAAAGCTTATCGACACGCACACAAGCGCTCAAGTGCGGGGGAAAAGAGAAAGAACTGTATTGCGATCTCCTGAATTAAAATGAACCTACAATTAAAAATAGTAACGCAGCCGTTGGCAGCTCATATTAGTTTTTTGACCAATTGGACTACGTGACTGCACAATAATATTGGCATTGCTTTGACTGTACAAACGGTGACAACCATCAAATGGGCCTTAGCTGTGGCTTTTGCATACGCCTGTCAGTCAGCCAATTGCGTCTTATTTTTATTTTTCTGCTCTCCTACTTTTACACCGCTAAAGGGTGTGCTCGATCAGTTTGAAACTATCTTGGAACTTCAGATTGCAATCACCGCAGAGTTACGGATATCAAAGAAGAGTGGCGTTCACCTCTCACCGCCCACTTCCACCTACACGAAAATCTTAGCTAGGAGGGGGAGGGTTTGGGGGTGCTTTAGGTTTGGGGCTTGGTTTTCTGTTTTTGGGCCGTAGCTGCGACAACCCTTGAATTATCGAATGTCTTGCCGCCTTGCCTGTCCCTTCGCTTTCGCGAATTTACATTTGTTCGGCGGTCTGCGCTGCGCAGAAAATAACGAAAATCGAGCGCAGTACGAAAAGTTGTCTATCAACTTTTGCTTTCATTTTGTGGCGAAAATTCGCGCGTACAAAGAACAAGGCATAAATAACAATTGCAAAAATCACGTATGCGTAAAGAGCAGCGCAGGAACATTCGGGCAGTACGCAGTGCGTTAGAGCAGGACAAGCAGACTAGACGCTCTTACATGCACACTCACACATGCGCATTGCTGGCTGCGGCTAACTTCACGGCGTATCAGCATGCAAACGGCGAAAACACACAATAAAACGGTTGAGGAAAACAAGACGAAAGAAAGAATAAATATAAGCGAATAACGTCAGTCTTTTCTAACATTATGAATATAAAAACCAAGGTAGAATCCCCCATGGCGTCATCAATGCGAAAAGGAATTTGGCTCTTAAAAGAGTACATTTAAAGCAGATTTTTAATAAATTTTCAAGTGACCGTTCGCTGTGCGCATGTCAAAACATTGGCGAAGGCAACAAAAAATACTCCTCGGCATACACATAGTGTTGAAAATAGGGCTAAGGTGTGCCAAACTTCTGATACGATTCATTTATAGGCATAGTACCCGAGCAAAACAAATAAAACAAATTAAAATTGAAATTATTTGCGTTGAGCTGGCAACTCTGTGCTCGGTACTATATTACGCACATCTAACTTCACGTTGCACAAAACGGAATTGAAAGCAAAACAAATGAACGCGCGAACGTGTGTGCGAGCGAGCAAGTCATATAGACGTCCAGTGGGGAAGAGAATTAGCAATTAAATATGGCGACACAGTATGCAAAAAATGAGGAAACTAAGAATATCAAGAGATCAACAAATGGAATATTTATCTTCCTAGAATTAGCATAAAACCGTAATTCCTACAGTATGTCCCTAATCTACTCTGAAATAGTTTTGTCCAACTTTTTCGTATGGCAACTCTCTCTTCTCGGGACATTGTGATTTTACAATTTTGGGCGCGCACTCACACATACATACACTGTTTTTACTTACCGCTTATTTTTATTATTATATTTTTGTTGATTTTTTTCACTCGTTTTACACAACTTAGTTTGATTTGACGGAAAGCTCAGTAGGTTTTTTGATCAAAACTTTTGGAACTTGATTTTCACAAACCAATCTCGATTTGTATATACACTTAGCCACTTCTTTATTTTTGTTCCGTTGCACATTTTTGGTTCACAGCATCCGGATGATAGCGCGCCGTTTTGAACGTTTACTACCTGCACAAAACAAATAGTTTCTACTTTGATTAATCAATTTTATTATTATTAATACCGTATGGTACACGAAGCAGAAGGTAAAACGAGAAAGGAAAACACTTTACGGTGTCGCGGTTGGCGTGTGCGAGAGCGAGATAACTAGTCAGCGCGCACAGGAGCCCATCTAGTGTAGCCCTTCTTACTAGTGGTAGAGGCATATCAACTACCTATTATCGGCTATTTTATTTTGTTCGCTATGCTGCCCTGCTTCATCTTCTTCTTCTCGGTTTTTGTGTTGCGCCGTTTCCCCTGTTTAGCCTATTACTACTGCGCCTGGCCATTCCGAAATGCTGTACGTACATATTTCGATTTTGCTTTTCCGCCTATCCGTTGATACCCACACATACGTATATTTGAGCATGCCTGTTTGTATGTATGTATAAAATCTATACACGGATGTTGGCGCACATATACACAAAAAGCAAAATAGTTAAATATTATTAACTTTTTGGCCACAAATTATACCCTGCAAGAATCCTGAAAATAAATGTGTTTACTTAACAAAAAAAAAAAAAAGGAGAAAGCTAGATAGACACACGGGAGGAGTTAATTTGACTTGCAATGACAATACGACGGACGGAACTTATTGGTTGCTCTTCTGCTGAAGACATTAAAATTAATTCAGAAAAAGGCCGCACAGCCAAATAAACTATACTTTTTGTACAATTTCTTATACCTCTCCTACACTCACACAAATACTTCATATACATATAGACCGCTGCTAGTACACGTTTAGCGTCATCTCGCTCACACTTGCGCTCCGCACGTATTTTGCCTCTCACATTGTGTGTTTTCCTCTTTTTCCCCCCAACACGCTAATAAGAAATCGTAAATTAAAAGTGAATTTGCAGACAAACTAACACGTTTCTCGGGAAAATTTCATAGTGCTGCGATTGCTGGGCTCGCATGCTACGCTCCCAACTATTTTCACAAATTTTTTGTTGACGTTTTAAGCACAATTCCACGCGTTTTGTTCACAACTTTCCGCTTCTACAAAATTAGCGACCCACCGAAGACGGTCACACTACAGCGAATAATCGTTATCGTTCTGCCAGGGCTGCACAATACTTCGATTGGTATACTTGTTTTCGATTAAAAAAAGGGATTTATTTATTTAATTAATTATTTGTTTTAATGCAATTTGTTTATATAAAAAGGGGGTTTTATGGAATGAAAAGGTGGCCTTAAATATATGAATGATTTTTATAGCTGGAAAAATATATATATTTTTGTTAACTTTGACCTAATGCATTTTGGTTTTTTTTTTAGATCTCGAACGGCCACACTGCTACGAAATTGCATTTTCATAAATAATATTATCGAAAATATGGGAATTGTTTTTGCTATTATGATGCCAAGCCAATTTCAGCAAACTGCCACTTTTGAGTAGCCTTGCGCGTGAGTTAACTACTAGCATCATCAGTTGTCCGGAAAAATCGTTCATATTCATACTTCACCTGCAGACCACAAAATCTGTAGGCAAGGTCGTTTCTGGGCAGCAGTATGGAGGCGAATGTGAATCCCCTGGCCGTTATCCTCGTTTACTTCGATAGCAAGGGCGACCGTCTGCTTTATAGGTATCCCTACCAGACACTCGGCCAAACGGAGGTGGCCAGCGAGGAGCAGCGCAAGTCCAGGTGGAACATTAAATTTCCTTTGATGCATTTCGATCGAACTCATTACTCATTACTCCTACGATATAGAAAGCGCAATCCTTTTGCCGTGGCCCATATGGATGACCTACTGCAGGCGCCGACCCAGGTACAAGGACAACTACAGGGGTTCGCGGATGAGGTGCTGTTGGCACTGTTTGCGGTGAAGCCGCAGCTATGCAACCAAAAGTTTGAGCTGAAGCTGAACGATGTGCGTTTCGTAAGCCACCCGACCCTGATTCCGTACAAGGAGCAGCGTGCCGGAGCGGTGGCGAATCCCTCTTCAACAACGGCTGCTGCCAAAAAGCAGGAGATGCTCATTAACATTGTGTTTGCCCTGCACGCACAGGCCAGCTATTCGATCGTCAAGTGCTACCATGAGCTAAGCAAGCGCCTGGGTTTGGCCCTGAAGTTCGAGGAGCAGCGATGCGGCTATTTAACCGAGCAGATGGCACAAATGGCCCGCACCTATGACGAGCAGCAGCAACAGCCGCTGGAACGAACCCTAGAGCTAATTGCGGAACGATGCAGCTTGGCGCAGGCGCTGCGCTCCATCTTCCATGATCTGTGCACCACCGGCTTGCTGAGCACCTCGCTGAACGACAATTTGACGCTCTGCTTCTGTCTGCCGGCCAAGGCCCATCAATTGCATAAGAAGGGTAGCACGGTGGACCCGGAGACTATCGATCGTTGCTTGAGGGCTCTGAAACCATACCACGGGATGCTGCTCCTGGTGGACTTTGCCGAGCTACTGGACTGCGTCCCGCCAACGGGAGCGCGCATGCTATGGCAGCTCGTTGATTCCTATAATCCGTTGATTAGCCTGCAGAGCATGGCCTCCAACGCGGACCTGAGCATCGAGCATGTGTACAAGCTGGTGTCCCATCTGGTGTATTGGGCCAAGGCCACCATAATCTATCCCCTGTGCGAGACGAATGTGTATGTGATTGCGCCGGATGCCCCGCTGCACACCAAGTCCCATTTGGTGGAGAAGTTCTCGGCTCGCTTTGCCGGCATGTCCCTGTTCGAGGTTATCTCGGACTTTTCGCTGCCCACGTCGATTGGCCATTTGACGACGCCCCTGCAGCAGCCGGCGCGTCAGGGCATTCTCGCCCAGATGGTTATCTGGATGCTGCAGCACCACTTGCTGATGCAGCTGCACACCTACGTTCAGTTCATGCCCAGCGAGGACGAGTTCGGGGACTCGGCCTCCTGCAGCAATCAGCTGCGCGGGGCCGCCAGCGACGACGAGGATGCGGATGAGGATGAGCGAGAGCATGATCCGGGTGGATCAATGCTGAGCATGTCTAGCCAGCCGCTGCCCGTTCCAACGGTTTCAATCGGTGGCCATCGGCGTGACGTTTCCGAGGACCAATCCTCGGTGGCCTCCGACAACATCGTTGTGCAGCCTTCCTCCAGTCACAAATCAAACTTTAGCATCACCGCCTCGATGAGCACGGATAACTGCGACAGCCTAGACTCCATGGAGGACGAACAAAAGCTGAAGGAGCTGCTGCATGTGTTTGGCGAGGCCGATCGAGCGGCCATCCGTCGGATTCCTGCCTCCGCCAATGTTGACGATCTGTCGCTGCTAGTGAAACTCTACCAAATGGGCTACTTTAAGAGCGAACACCACCTGGAGGAGATCATGTACTTTGAGAATTTGAGGCGCTCCCAGCTGCTGCAGTTGCTGGACAAATTTCGCGACGTGTTGATCATCTACGAGACCGAAGATCCGGCCATTGCTTCCATGTACAACACCAAGTAGATTGCTGCATCCCGCCTAAAGTAGTGTATATCTGTTATATATATATTTTTGCAAGTTAATAAGTGATTAAAACGTTCTTTAACTGTTATTTAAACTAAAATTAAAGTTTATTGTATTTATGGGTTTCGGACTCGGTATTTTAGTGTGACCATTTGCAGGGCATGTTGGCGCAGACTTTAAAATAATTAAAATTTTTGATAAGTCTACAAAATTTACTATAATTCAAATATTAAATATTGATTTAGTAATCAGAAGTCTAATAGAATCCTATAATTCCATTTAAAAGTAAACATAATACGAGTTACTTCTTAGGGAAACTTGGTATTTCTTTTTAGGAAAATTTAGTATTTCTAGTATTTTGGCATTTCTGATATTTCTAATATTTTTTAAAATATTGTTTAATCTTGCTGCGCTTGAAATTGAACACCACAAGGGAGATGTTGGCCCTGCTGGACCTCTCGAAGATGTGCCGCATCTGTCGCGACGAATCCGACTGCCTTCTGGACTTGTTCGCAGACTCGTCTTTGCCAAACATAGAACAGGAAACCAGTCTGGCCGCAATGCTGAGCAAGTGCAGCGGTTGCCGTGTGGACAGAGCTGATGGATACCCACAGTTCGTCTGTGCGGAGTGTGCCCTGGCCACTCGAGAAGCCTTCCGCCTGCGACAACAGTGTCGGAAGAGCATGCATTACTTTAGGCAACTGCGCAGAATGATGGTAGAGCCGGATGACAAGGAGGAGCCCATTTTAGAGGACCTGGGACCAACAGAGCAAGACGGAACAGCATCCAATGAATCGATTTTAGAACCGCTCTATGTGGACCTTGTGGCGAACAATTGCCTGGTGCTGGAGAATCCAAAAAAGGCCCTTATGCTGCACGACTCCAACGACGAAAGACAATGGTCTGTACCCATGGATTCTATTCCCGTGGATTCGAGCTCGGATGAAAAGGAGCACAAGGAGGACCAGGCGGAAGAGAGGACAAGTTCCAGCGACGATTCCTGGAGCCCCTCGCTAGGACAAAAGGCCACAAAGAAAAGCGGTGCCCTGAAGCGGCACAGATCAAACTCTGAAGGTTCTTCCGAGGATTTTAACAAGAAAGAAAGCAAAATGTTCAAGTGCACCCACTGTCCGCGAGTCTTTTCCCAGAAAGGGAACCTGCAAACCCATTTTCGCATCCATACCGGCGAACGGCCCTACAAGTGCAACTATTGTCTGAAAAGCTTCAAGCAGCATGGACATCTTGTTGTCCACGTACGGAGACACACTGGCGAGAAGCCCTTTAAGTGTTCCCATTGTTCATACTCCACTATCCAGAATAGCATCTTGAAAAAGCACATAAAGTCCATCCATAAAATAATATAGAATAGATTTTCAAATTAAAGTTCTCATGTACAATATATATATTTTTTTATATATAGCAAAAATAAGTGATCAAACAACCTAAAGATATGAATATTCAAATATGTATGTCCAAAGATCAATTTAATTATTGTATTAAAAATTCTATGAAAATATTGTTAAACCCTTGGGGGTTTGCCTGATCCTAAATTAGGCAGATCTTTAAGATTTAGCTTGTAATAATACCCATCAAAACTACACTTTATCACTAAGAATTAAAAAAACAAACTGATTCTTGTATTTCAATTAAAAGAAAAAAATGTTTCTTAACATAAAATATTTCAACATATAAAGGTTTGCCTCTTTTACTTTCACCGTTATGCTTATACAACAAATATAATGTTAATGAATTGGTTAAATGAATTTTATAAATGATGATGTTTTAGTTCGCTGATATTTTTTTCTTAATTTTACGTAAGGCTTGTGTCCTGAGAGAGATGGACATTTTTTTAAATGCAAAACCTACTACATATGTATTTGGTTCTTTGTTTTTTGAGATTAATGTTCTATTCCATCAAGATGGTCTTATTATTCTAGACATTGTTCCTTATATGTAACATAACTATCTTCATTTGGCTTGCTCCGCTTACTTAAACTAGAGAGTCTGGAGTCTCGTCCGGCATGCTAGTATTTCGCAGAGCGGCGCTTTGGACGCGTGTTTGTGCCATTCTGCTTGATGGGTTCCTTGCCGTGGTCGCCGCTGTGTACTGTTAGTTGGGCCTGTGTGGTGAACGTTTTTGGGCAGTCGGGGCATTTAAATGAACCCGGCATGGTCTTCCGTCTCTTTGACGCGGGCAGGTACTCATCTTCATCGTCCTCGAAATCGTCAGACTCCTCCTCGTCCTCATATAGTTCATCCTCCTCGTTCTCATCATTCTCGTCCTCCTCATCATTCTCATCTTCCTCGTCTTCGCTTTCATTTTCTTGGTCTTCGCCTTCGTCTTCCTCTTCGTTTTCTTCCTTGATCATCCTCAGATTCCATTCCTCCTTCTCGATGTCGTCAAGGATGTCATTGTCTTTCGCCTCCAACTTGACGCGATTTATGTAGTTCACGCTCTTGGCATAACGCCGGTGGAAAAAGGCAGCTTCGCGCACCTTCCTTAGGCATGGATCGCATACCTTTTTCGGAAATGGATCGTCCGATTCCACGCAAATCGGGCTGCATTCCTTCAACAGATCTGGAAGAGTGGGTTCAGGTTCTTCCGCCTTTTTCAGCGCTTCGGACAGCCGGTCGTCTATGTGCGTTTTTTTCTCATCGTATATGTCCAGCAGGTCCTCGGCCTCAGCCATACAGACGCGGCACATTTCCTTTATTTCCTCCATAAATTTATTTTTTATTTGAAATTTGGTAAAGAAGCTAATTCCTTCGATCAGTGTGACCGTAAAGCGATGGCAAAAGAATGACAAGTGGCGCCATTCCAGGGATGTTAAGTGACGCGTTCAAATAAAGAGTGACTAAAAAAAGGGGGTGCGTTCCTAGGATTCAGTGATCAAGTGATTTTCAAAAAAATGTGGCGTAACGCCTAAAGTTAGCTTCATAAAGTACCATATAATAACATAATATTTCTGTCAACTCTAGTTTGTATGTCAAAAGAGGCGAATTTATTGGGTTTTTTTTTGTTATTTAAACAGTTTTGAAATGACGGCAGGTCCAATTGGTAAACGCAACCAAGATGCCACCATTTATGCTGGCCCTACCAACCGGCTGGCTACCAATACTAGATCCCAACTAACAACAACTTAAAGAATATGAATGCTCATGATAAAAAACTAAGAAATATTATACTTTTCTTCATAATCAATTGTCATGGAATGGCAAAAACCCCGATAAAAGTTGAGCAACTTGGACAATGTTCAGAGTTGAACACCACCGGTCATTGTCTTTAGGGCTTATCGCCGCGCTCTAGAATGAACTTAGGCAACATGAAAGAACCCCAAGATAATGCTGCAAGCTGAACTATGAAGCTATAATAAGCCGCTTCTCTGACCAACAGAAGGAGCGATAAGACTCGGATTACAAAAGAAATACAATTTATTGCATATTTAGCGCCCTCGGGGCGGGATAATAAAAAAGTTTACACAGAATAATGATGAGCGGGATGATACTACATCTCCACGTAGGTGGGCATGGTCATCACACCGCAATTGTTCTTCCTGGCGGACATCAGGATGTAGCCATCGTTGCCCCAGTAGGTGGACCACGAGTTCTTCACCAGCCAATAGTCCTCGCCATTGATGCTGCCATAGCCCACGGCCAGGACGGCATGGTCCAGTCCGTCCACATCGTTCTTGCACTCCGGTTCATAGTAAACGCCATGCGAATAGAAGCTAAAAGTCTTGGGCGAGGCGTCAATGGCCACCGAGAGGGGTCCATGCTTGAGGAGGGCCAGCTTGAAGGCATTCGGATCGTTGGACGTCACATTCACGAATCCCTTGATGGGTGCCACGAGCGTCACATTGTCCACGTGACAGTAGCCGTCTTGGCCCAAATACGGACCGTATTCCTCCTCCGTGGGCACTCCACCGCTCTTCAGCATCCACTGGTAGACGCGGAAGTCCTCGCCACCATCACAGCCATTGTTGCCATACGCCCAGGAGCAGTCAATCAGGGCCTGCTGCGAAAGACGCACCAGATTACCGCCGTTCTTCAAGAAGAAGGCTCCTTCCAAATGGCCAATAGTGCCGAAGGACCAGCAGGAACCGCACACGGATTGATCTGCAGGTATACGGGTTAAGATAGATTATTCAAGGGGAAAGGGGAAAGTGTTACCCACCTTTCACTGGGGTAACGGCGCCATATAGCCGCCAATCATACTGGTCTGGGATCTCGTCCTGGTACTTGGGCACGTCGTAGGGGAATGGCTTGCCAGTGTTATACACGCCCGACGACTTATAACCACGTCGTGCCTTCAGCTCCTCCTCGGTCTTGTCGGCCAGGTGATTCACGGCCAGCGTGTAGGGGAGCTTGGCCCGGTTCTTGGAGTGGATGTAGCGCAGGTTCTGACGGAAGATGTTCTTGCGGTGCTCGTGCTCCACATCGCTGCGATAGGAGACGCCATGCTTGTGCTTAAAGTGATGGAAGGCCTTGTCTACATGCTCCTCCGTTCCGCTCACGAACTCCTGCATTGGATTGAAGGTGGCATAGTGACCGGTGCCGGGTCCTGGGAATCCCACGCACTGCAGGCTATCGTCGATCTCGAACACCTCGTTGGGAATGTCATCGTGCTCGTAGCTATCATAGTCCAGATAGTAATGATCGTAGTGGGAGCCCAGCAAAGTGTTGTAGCCCCTCATCTCGTAGCGCACGGGAATGGGCATCCGGCTGGCGGGATAATGCGGTGACTTCTTGTACCTCACCCACAGCGTGTACACGTTCTTCTTCTGTCCAATGACCGACTCCAGGCGGAACTTGTCGCAGGTGAAGCCCAGGAAGGTTTCGGTGCCCACCAACTCAAAGGGTTTGGCATCGGGCAGGATGCTCTGGATCTCAACGACCTGTTCGGCAGTGCCATTAACCTGCAGGCAGGTGAGCTTGTTCTGCTCCGTCAGCGTAGTGATAGGGGCCAGCTTCAGCATCGTACCGTACTGACCCTCGCCGGCCAGCTGATAAGTCTTTACCATTCCGCCGTAGTAATCGATGCGAGATCGCTTCGTGTTTTTGTCATACCACGCATAGAAAGGCTCTGCGATCTCTGCGTAGGGTATGTACAGGGTGCCCTTCACTATGTAGTTGGGATCCCAGCGCGGAGGCTTTGTGGCATCCGCTGTTTTTGGCAGAAAGGAAAGGTGAAGAGGGAGTAGAAAATAACATTGAATTCGGCATAATCAAACGGTAAAGGGCAGCCATTGCGATGCAAGCTCACGCCATAGTTGACACAAATACATTTATAAGTAACAACTGCGGTCATAGAAATACAATCATATTTTTAAATTTGTATTTAAGCATAGCTTTAAAATATATTAAATACTTTAAACACATTAAAAAGTCTACGAAGTTACTTTCATTTCTTAGAAATAGAAAAACAAATTAAAACCTTAGCTCAGCATTTTATAAAAATGCTAAAAATGCTACTATATGTACATATATGCACACGCACAAAGTATTGTTTTCTTTGTTTAGTTAAACTTTTTTTTTTTGCAATCTAATGATAACTCACCCGACAAAGCCAAGCCCGCTAGCAGGGCCAATGCTAAAAACACTTGCATTCTGGGAAACACTCTGGAATATACTTTCTGGATTATCAACTTTCACGATCCAGCTGAAAATCACTTCTGAACTCAACTCTTCGAAGAATTAATCTTTTCTGCCGGCTTAATGTAAAAAAACAACAATAAAAGCGGAGAACTAGAGATACCGTAGCCACGACAGGCAGAGATTACCACTGACCCAGCGGGTAGTTGGGTATTGGTGGTATTCATCGTGGGGAAAGCTTTTTCGGATCCGCAAGCTTATCAGGTATTTTTTAAATTATTATAACAGGTACTCTTAAAGCCTGGTGTTGAAACATTTTTTGTTTAATTACTTTTTGGAAAATTTTTTATTTTAATAAATAAAATGGCAATAAGACGTAAATGTTAATTATTTTTAAATCCACTAATTTTTGGATTTTGCATTATAATTTTGAAAAATAAATTTTCTTATTAAAAGTTAAAATTTAAAACTTTTAGATAAAAAACACTTCATTTATTGGTATTGAAACATTTTTTGCTTGATTTTCTTCTAAAAGATATTTATATAAATAAACAAAATGATAATATAAAGTAAATATTAATTTTTTTAAAACCTTTAATGACCGCATTTTGCATTGTATTTTCTTAAAATAAAGTTTCTTATTAATAGTAAATAATAAAAACTTTTAGCTGATCAATTAATAAATAAAATAATTAATTTAAAATATTCTCCAATTAAGTTTAAAAGACTTATTAAATTACCATTTAATTGCAGTCAAATAAATCATAAAAAATATTAATAATAAATCACAATAATTCCCTAAAGCGATCATAGTTAAAAAGAAATCCTATAAAATTCTATAGAACTTTTAAAATTAAGATAATTTCCAGTAAAATATGGATTTATGATCAATTTTCAAAAATATGGCTAATATACATAGGTTCGATCTCCAAAAAACCTTAATTCAAAATATGACTTCCTGAAGGGAATGAGTTCTGCCAAACAGCTGACTTTAAAGTAACTGAAAGGACGCGCTCTTTTCCGTTTCTCATTTGTTAAATCCTCTCAATTCGCTCTTCGATTTGTCCTGCGGCAGCGAGCCTGCACCAATATATCCTGCATTGGGGTCGCACTCTCTTTCTCTCTCTCCTCCGAGAGCCGGAAGAGAGAGTTGCCGAGCAGATGCCACCAAGCGACTGCCGAAGGAGGAGCACCAGCAGCATCGTTGTCGTCATCGCCCACGCATCGTCTTTTACCGTTACTGGTCGCCTCGACTCGTCGGCTGAGTTTAGTCCAGTCCAGTTCCGTTTAGTTCGCAGTTCGCACGGTCGGCAGTCCGGGAAGTCGCGAGGCTTTTTTTCCAACGTGAACTAGACACCTCTAGACACAAGAACCCCAGTGATGATAACTGGGAATGTGTAGGACGTGGATTAAGGTGCTTCAACCCGTACAAGTGCGCGCAGCAGAGTGGCAATTAAAATTGCATTAAAAATTTAATCGAATCACTCCGCGCGGATCTATGCCTGAGTGTCTGTGTGTGTGTGTGTGTGCGGAAAGTTTCGCCTGCCCCAAAATTGGCAAAAGTTAAATGATTAAAGCGAAAAGTTTGGCGAATTATGTGAAAGTTTTTAATTTGCAGGCGAAGGAGAATACAATGCCACCCCGGTAATTGGCACTGAAAAAGGTAAAAACGTGGCTGAAAATCAAATCAAAGTTTGATTTATCGCTGATTGGCCACGAAAATGGTTGTTTTTGCCATCAAAAACAAGAGCTCGTAGACAAACATGTGTACATCTTCACATAGACACTCTATACTATATACATAGCTGAATGTACATACAATAGATACATATGTACGAATCTGTATTATGGCCACTTCGAAGCATTTCCTGCCCTTGTCACAGTTGTGTTACGTTTTCTCTATGCTGCAACACACTCTCGCTCATACAAACACACACACAAACACATACCGTCATCAAAAAGTCAACAAAAACAATTTAAATTATGTATGTGAAAAAGTACAAGGAGCTCGAGTAGCGCACAGACCAGGATGCAAAAAGCCTTGAATGCCTTTGTGGGCCTAATTGGGAATTAAAATGAAACAGAAATGACACTTGAAATAAATCCAAAAGGTACAATAATTGGGTAACGAGCAAATATTTTAATTGGTTTTTGTAAGGGTTTATGTGAAACAAAATAAAATGTATTTATCAAATAAAAGTATACTTTGATGCTGTAGAATAGGGTAATATTTTATGCTAGGTTTATAATAAACGATGCCAATTTTGACACGTTTTTAATACATTTTCTGTCAATTTTATTTTAAAATAAAAATATATATATTTTTTTAAGTGTAATAGTAATCTAAAATAAAAACTAAAAGCTAATTTGATATTGTAATTTTATGAAAATATAAATTTGCCTATTTTGTTAATTGTTTTTTGATAATACATTCATTCTAACTTCTATCCCAAATAAACTAATATTGGTCAACAGTTTTGATATTTTACTTATTTTTTGGTGTCCAACAACAACTAATCCATCAAAAATAATGTGATTTGGTTGCATTCAAATAAATATTTAAAATAAGATTGTTTTAAAATTCGACTGTGAAATTAGATCTTTATGGCCAAAACCTAACTGGCTTAATTCTTGGTAAGGACGGCTTCATCTATAAAAGTTAAGGTTTTATGAAGGTCAAACCCATATATAAAGAAATTGTTAATCGAAATATATATAAAACGTTGCCATAAAACAAAAATAAAAGCTAGAAAAATTTTAATTTGTTTTAGTATTTCACTTGAAATCGAATTTATATGACTAAAATCTGAAAAATCCCCTAGGAAAAATGCCAAAGTTATCAGAATTTTCCTCCTGTAAGCCGACCACGCATAGTTTATATTTTATAACATACTTTTATGGGCCACGGACAGCGGCAACTTTGATTTTCTGGGAACGGAAGCAAACTCGTCGGCACTCTGTCCAGCTGACTTGGAGACCGAAAGCGAAAGACAAAAGCAAAACACCTACTATATATTACATACTTATATACTATAAATTTTTATATATATGTAGCCGAAATTGTAAAACTTTTATTACCTTAGTGCAGGACGACGACGGCGACACATACTCCGAAGGGAAAACGGAAAGTGCTAAAATATATTGCACGTATGCACGTGCATGTGGGCCCCGTGTGTCCTGTGCCTGTGGTGTGTGTGTGTGTGTGTATGTGAACGTGATTTGTGTTTGTGTCTGCGCGTTGCTGTGTGTAACCTACATTTTAAACGGCATCGGCGACACATAAGAAGCCAAAAGTCGTGGCCGAAACCCAGTTGTTGGGTCGGGCATGGGGAGGGGCAGGAGCAGGTGCAGTGGGGTATTTCGGCGTATGTAAATTTGCCTTTATCAGTGCCTAAAAGTAGGAGTCCACTCACACACGAGCACGCATACAATTGCATATTCCGCAAAGTCTTATGTACCGCTAGAATCAACACAGCACTCTCTGGGGGCAGGCGCGCGGCTCTAGCAAAAGAGAGAGAGAGAGAGTGAGAGTGAGCTAGGAGCGTTAGGAAGGTGGGGGAGTATGAGAGTGTCCGACCGACCGAGAGAGCCGAGTGGCGGTGATGCAGAATGCAGGATGATGTTGCGTTCGTTGCTTCCGTTACCGTTACAGTAACAGCCCGTCTCCCTTTCGCTCCCAAGCTCCAGCCTTCGCCCCATTCACCCACACAGGCGTGCGTTCATTCACATCGCCGTTGCAAGGGTGTGCACTAGGAAAAGAATTGCGGTTATAAAATTGGGGGAATTCGGAGTATATTATACATTTTAACAAAATCCTCTGATTAATATCTTAATATTTTATATTTATTTAAGGAGATTTATGTTCATGGTGAAAATGTCAATTAATTTATAACAGAATTTTGTATCCAATTTATATTTGTATGCCTCACTTCCTATTTTTTTCTCTGTGTAAATATTGTCCACTAAACCAAAGCCCATCCCCTCGTATCCTTTTCACCGCCTCGCCGTGCTCGACGCTTGTTATTGGACTTGCATTTCCGCTATTTCCCTTTTTTGCCTCAACCGGTGGAAATTTATATGCAAAGTGCTGGGCGAAATTGCATTATGCACATTTTAATGGTTCGCCGAGACATAAAAATATCTCGCACTTACATAAATTGCTCTGCTCTTTGCTATTTACTCGCTCACTTTTTCCCTTCCAACCCTTTTCGGTCGCTACTTTTAAACGTGTTTGTAATTACATAAACACTTTGCCCAGGAGCGCCAGTTTAGTCGGTTTAGAAATATGTGCACGTATTTTTGTTTTGCCAACTAAATGCCTTGTTAGGAAAACGAGAAAATGCATTCATCGAGTGCGGAAACTTTTAGTTTCTCTCTTCCACCTTGCCAAGGAATGGCAAATAAATTGCCCTCAAGGAAATGCAAATTGTTTTTCAAATTATATATCTACAAGGAGGAAGTTTTATGTCTTTGTTGGGCGTTTAAGATGGTAATCAAGAAGTGAGCAATAGCTCACAAACAATTTTGATGGATGGTATTTGGATATTGTTGAAGATGGGAATTATGGATGAATTAAGATGATCCAGATAAGGGCTTTCACCAGAAAATCAATTAAATATAATATTTTGACTTGGGTCTCCTTTTAGCTCTAAATTATTTAAACAGAAAACATATATGTCCAACATGGCGTATGATTGATTTTGCATACTTCTTAGAAAATCAATCATACGCCTCATTGGCCAAATCAGAGTTCTGCACTTGAAGTCCACTCTTTGTTATTTAAGCTGACTAAAGCTGTCATAAACTTATATAAACTTTTAGAAATAATGTATATTTCTCTGTAACGACCTTGCAAACAGTAACAACTATTTCTTGGGATTTAATCTGTACATTGTTTTAAAAAGCTTTTGTCGACACGTGCTATCCAGATTTCACACATTTCTGGGCCACTTAAAAATGCTCAATGCAAACATGTAAATGTCAAAAGCAGTATCTACAATCTACAATCTGGGTAAGCGTGCCCATCAACGTCAGCAGCCACACCTCCAATCTGCATATATCTGGCATTTGCCTTCATCATCATCAACATCATCGTAAGTGCTAACAAGACCAACACCACCGACCAACCGCCATCATTGTGGGCGTTATCATCCTCGAAGCCAAACACATCTTCCATTATTATTCCCTTTGCCTCCGCCGCCCACTTCATATTCCACTTCTGGCTATTTTTATGCCATTTCTGCATTGTTCATTGTTTAGCGCGCATTATCACATTTTCCTCTTAAGGCATCAGGAGCAGATATTACAGCAGCCCATATCCTCCCACGCTGCCACCTATAGCTTCTATGTCGGAGAGGCAGCCATCATCTGCAATTGTAGATGCTGCCAAGAGGAATATAATATGGGTACGAAAGATATATACCCTGTAGAAAGAATTAAAAGAAACTAGATTAGTTGAGGAAATTATTAAGAATTAGGAAAATCGGGAAAGTTGTATGGGTTCCTTTTATTAAATATATTTAATTTGGCCTAAAATTTAGTTTGCTAATAAATAATTGCATTGGTATATTTATCCTTAAGCGTAACTTACCCTTTCGGTTATCTTTTCTGTTGATGATTTTAGGTTTGTTTAAGTTTTCGGTCATTTCCTAGTATAAATCTCTGTATAGATGCATATATATTTTTAGTGCGGAAGCCGCAAGCCCATCGTATACCCTTTTCCTGGGCAAATCCTTGTGATGTGGGTTGGAAAAGGGAAAACTAAAACGATGATTCAGATTGTTGCCGCACTTGGCTCAGTAAGCTGCTACAGCGATTGCCGTATGTGAATCCAGTGGCGTCTCAAGGGTTAAAAAAAGGGGTTTTTTGGTATCCAAAAGGGTTACTTTTTAATACCTAAAAAGGTTCTTAAAAAAGTGAGCATTGATATCAACTATTTTAGCTTGCGTTTACCCCCTAAAAATCTTCCTCAAGGGTTAGCCCCTGGCTTGTTAGATCTGTTGGGTGGGTGTGTGGGGCACTCTTTGACGGTCTGATATCTCTCTCGGGCATACAAACACTTGGATGCGGAGTGGCTTTCGTGTGCGCCGCAGTGCACTGGATACACGGGATTTCAGTTGGCGATGCCACTCTGCCACCAGGATGTCGTCGGCTTTGAAACCGAAAACAATGGCCCTATTGTGGCAGCTGCCGATGACGCTGTCGGCGCCTCCCCGCTTTGTTATCCTTTCGCCATTAAACAATTGTCGCCATCGCCATCGCCAGCGCCGTCGCCTGTGCGCATCAGTAATTAAGTGTCTCTGTGCATTTATGTGCACGAGTAGAGAGTATGGGGACGTAATTACTATTTATAGATGCCATTGGTTCTTTCAACTAAGTAGAAAAACAAAAGGCTAAATGCATTGAAAGGTATTTAAGCCCCTTAAACTATGCAGCAAAACGCTTAAAATTTAGAATTATTCCAACTTTTGTTTGGTTCCATTTTAATCCATCTTTGGCACATATTTTTTCAGTAAAGATACACGTTTTATTTATTTTTTTCAAAAGCTCTTCAGCTTACCAACTGTATTTACTCAGCTTTGCTGTCAGATTTGTAATTAGAAAATAAGTAAAGAAACTGTTTTAGCCCACAACCTCGAGTAGCTAACGTTCGAAATTATATTGCTTTTGTGCTTTTACTAAATATTTCGATATTTCTGGTTTAAGAAGGTTAAAATTTTTAATTTTAAATTAACCTGAACGCTTGCGGTTGTTAACGGCAGCGTTGGTCCGTTTCTGGGCAGCCGCAGGTGCCTTCTTAACAGCAGCAGGAGTTTGCTTCTTAGCCGCCGCAGGTGTCTGCTTCTTAGCCGCCGCAGGTGTCTGCTTCTTGGCGGCTGCGGGTGTATTCTTCTTAGTGGGCGTGTTAGCAGCAGCCTTGCGCTTGTTGGCAGCATTGGTTGCTCTTCGTTTTGGGGCTACAGTGGTGCGCCTGCGTCGACGACGGGCCGCGTTCTTCTTGCCAGCATTTGCCGCCTTGGGTGGAGAGTTGCTGGCCGGCTCGCTGGATTCACTGTCATCTTCACCGGAATTATAATCGACGGAGTCTACAGAACCCTCATCGTAGTCTCCACTTAAAGAGTCATTTTCGTCATCATATTCATACTCATCCGAGTTAGAGCCAGAATCGCTGTTGTCATTTCCAGAAGTCGCAGGAGGAGTGGCTGAAGGAGCCGCCTGAGGCGTTGCAGGAGGATCCGAAGCACTACTTTGGGTGGTCGTTGTAGAAGTTACATCATTACTTTCAGTGGTGCTGCTGGGTTCATCCTCATAATCATCATATAAATCATCATAATTGTCTTCATCATAGTAATCTTCCTCATCGTCAGCTGCTCCCGCCACGTAAGCAACTAGCAGGAGGGATATAGATAAAACCAGCAACAGTTTCATTTTATTTGCCTTCAGCGAACCGGTAGAAAAGTCGTTAAATACACTTCTGAGGTGAAAAGACTTGAACACTTGAGTATTTATAGTTTTTCTCTTGTCAGTCAAAAAATAATGGCCACATATAAAGCTTTCTACAATATTTATCTAGATAGATATTTGCTTTTCAATTATATAATTTCATTGTTTGCAGACAAAAACACCTGTGTTGCTTCTAGTTTTGTGTACATTTTTTGAGGGACTTGAAGGAGTTTTTTGTTTTTATGAATATTAATTAAAGTTAGAGAGAAAATATAATGTACAAAACTGACTTAAACAGAAATAATTTCAAGCTATAGAAACTATATGTATATTCATGCTTAGGGCAATAGTTTTTAAAGATTTTGTATGGTAAAAAAAGGTAGAGATGCTAAAGATCCTATTACAAAAATTCTTAAATTCATAGCTTAGTTTAAAATTGTTCAAGATTTTTATTTATTTAATTATAATTTATTTATATTTTTATATGGTTTTTCATATATTGGAATATTCTCCTTGTTACCTGTGCTCAGGTATTTCAACTGATAATCTCTTAAGTAACAACATACTTATACCCCAAACAATCTTCTTAGCAGACATTCCGCTCGCTATATATACCCAAAGCAAATAAAGACAGTAAAAATCAATTAATAAAAATACAACTTCTTAAATACAATAAACAAAGACAGTTTTTAATGAGCAAATTTTAATTACACATAATTTTTTGAACATTACTTTTAAGTAGTTCTGATTGAACTTAATTAGCCAGAACGACGGCGTTTATTGGCGGCAGTACGCTTACTGGCCGCAACAGGTGTCGACTGCTTCTTGGCCGCCCTTTTCTTGGCCGCACGGCGTTTGGCCGCTGCGTTGGTGCCCCTCTTGTTGTTGTTGCTGTTCTTACGGGCTCCATTCCGTTTGCCCTTCTTTGTGTTGTTGTTGTTCTTCTTAACCGGAGCAGGAGCAGGAGCAGCAGCGGTATCGTCCCCATTGGAGTCTTCGGTATCATCACCGGTATCATCACCGGCATCGCCACCGTTGTCCTCTACATCAGTTGCGGAGCCTTCGTTACCCGAATCGTTGTCATCAGATGAACCGCTTCCAGAATCGACATCGGTATCGTCTCCACCCTCAGCTTCATCATATTGACCATAATCAGGGTCTTGTGCCACGGCAACGTGGGCAATGAGTACAGCCAATGTGAATACCAGTAGAAGCTTCATTTTCGCCGTCAGTGAAGTTTGTGATCTAAGCGATGAGTGCCTGAAATCGCTTGTTTTTATAGACGCCCGCCATTTGGTTTATTTTCTTTTGCCCAAATCCAAAGTCAATGTTTTTGAATGCAAAATAAATAAATGTATGGAAATGTATAGAGTCAAATGTTTCGTTAGTTTACTTAGTGCCAGCTGTTTATGGCCTTTCTACGTTATTAATTTATTTTAGATTTTATGGAGGCAATATCTAACGAAAGAATTAATGTTTACTCAACACTCTGAGTAAGATAGCTTTAATATGTTGTTATCAGAGGTGACATTAAGAGTTGTTCTAGACTTGAAATCAATGGGAATAGTGTCTAAAAGTATGCTAAATAAGGGAAAATATTTAAACTTTCCTAAATCCTTTAATAAACTTAGTTTCATATATCGTTATTTCGATTATTTAGATCAAGGTGTTCTTTATTATTTTATAATTATTTGCCACCATTTAGAATTGCTCTACATTCACAACACACAAATAATAAGCAAACATTTAATGCAAGCGATTATTTGAAGCGATGGCACGCATTGCTCAAATTATTTATGGCCATTTTAGTATATTTTAGTACAAGCTCTATTGTGTATATGCTTGACCTTTTTCGTTCCGTGCGATTTCAGCTTGGGGCTAACGAGCGGGAAGAGCAACCAAGAGAAACCAACCCAGATTTGAAAAGTTCGTGCCATAAATCCTCGCCGCCTTGCATGGAATTAATGCCCACTAACAGCTAGGCGGGAGCAAGGGAGTGGAGCGGCAGAGCTGCACCACATGCAACACACATTAGTGGGTCACTCGAATAAGATGATGATGATGATGATGATGATAACGACGACGCTGTTGACCGCAGCAACGGCAAGCGTTCCGTGGCAGCGCGGGGAAATTATATAAAATTATCATGCCGGGCAGGCAGCTCTCAAGTTTGCCACTCGACAGCGGCAGGCAGCGGGATAAGAAGGCTAAACATTGCCACCAGCAAGGGCGTCGGGTGTCCGGCGACGTATACGTAATGTGTGCCATGACGTATACGTAATGTGCACCAGGGCTCGGCCAATTTGTCGCAACAACAACAACAACAACAATCAATGAATCAAAAACAAAAGCAAAAGTAAAACAAAAACTCGGAACTTGGAAACTAAAACACACAAAACTGTAACTGAAACCCTCAACTGCGAGCGACAGCGGAAACTTCTCTCTCGGCCAAATGGCGAAAGTTGACAAACAATCGCGAATTTGTTGAGAAGCCCTGCAGCCGGCGCGAAAATGACAAAATGGCGAAGTTAACGCTGCCCCGTCTACTGCGGCGACTGCAGCTGATGGCCCTGCAACTGCAACAGCAACCGCAACAGCAACAACAACAGCAGCAGCAACATCACTTAATGGCCATGCAGCTGGGCCAGGCCATGCTGCTCTACGGCTGCCTTCTGCTGCTTCACGCCTCCGTATCCGGCTCCGTTTTGGCCTCGTCCTCGGACCCCTCTGCCGTCGCGATCGCAGTGAATCTCTCCTCAGGAATAGCCTTGGACAGACCATCAACACCAGCAACAGCAGTCGGGGCACAGGGGGCCAATCCGCTCGAGAAGCAACCGCGAAAACGTGATGCCGCCAATGTGCCTGACGATGACTACGACGGCAGTTATCCGGACGACGTCGACGACCTGGAGGCCTTGCTTAATAATAAGTCAGGTAACAGAAACAATTTAAAAGTAGAAAGTAGAAGCATGTTTAAAGTTTCTCTTTACGAACAGTTTTCAAGTTTAAATATTCTCCATTTTATTTCGGAGTTTTTGCCCAACGGAAACTTATCTGGCTGCTCCACTTAATAATTCTATTTACAAAATGAATATTTGTGGCCGAAAGCAAACACAAATAAATGGATATTTTTGCTGGGAAAGAGCTCTCTCTCTCTCTCTGGGCCAGGACTTCAGTTCGTTAGTTTGCATTATTGACCTTTGGTCCCAGAAGCGAGTTCCCCAGAGACCATGAAAGCCATAAATTGCACAACATCCACTGGCTGCTGCTGTATTTAACTTTCATTTTTGGCATCCACTGTCCACCTGGCACACTGGCACATCCGCCGCAGCTGTACATGCCGCTGCTGCTGCACTTGGCTTCTGTCCGGAGCCTGGTGCGGTATGATTCATGGTTTCATCCATTTTATTTTGGCCATGATGCGGGAATTACCAAATAGGGCATGGCACACGGAGTGGGTTGCTTATAGTATTACGTGGCAGCCAAAAAGCCCGCATGTGCTGCCAGATAATATTGGATTTTAATGGAATTGGTTTTAATATTTGTACAAAAGACAAGATTTTATATATGTATGTACACGATACATACAGAAGCTACGATTGAATGTAGTATTTGTACTGTGATTTTTTCATGGCTGGGATTTAGTTGAATTGCACTTCCGCTTTAGGAAAATTTCTAGTTAAACCTTTTAAAAATGTTTGAAATTATTTATCTTTTCAAGAACTCTGTTTTTATTATACTATTTAAAAAATTAAATTAGTTAAAGTACATAGGATGTTAATTAAATATTAATCCAAAATCTCTCACTTGCCTCATTTCAGCAAAGGGAAAGTATATCGGGGCACCGTGCAACGAGCTGAGGTGTGACGTCAAGCTGCTGCACGTGTCCTGCGACAAGGAGACGCAGACCTGCACCTGTGAACGCAACTATCCCGTGCAGCTCGGACTGATTAAGGGTTGCGCCAAACGTAAGTATCTGATAAATAAATTAGTTAATTAAATTAAATACTAATACTCGCCCCCTTTACAGCTAAAAAACTGGGCGATCAGTGTTTCTACGATGAGACGTGCATCTACAACGACGAGAACTCCCTCTGTGTTCAGGTGCGGCATAACGCGATGTGCCAGTGTGCCAGCGGCTTCCACTCGGTCAGCTATGTGAAGCCCACGCGTCGGGTCTTCTGCACGCCAGGTGAGTGCCTCCATTCGCTCTTAAGGGAGATGAGAAATTAATAAATAATATGTGACAGATCTCAGCGAACTGAGCTCGGATCTGCCCACGCTGCTGGGCGTCTCCACGGGCATTGCCGTGCTGGCCGGGCTCATCTGCATGGTGCTGCATCTGTTCAGCAAAACAAAGTATCCGCGGCATCGAAATTATGGGGATGCCAGCATTCCGCCGCCCATTCTCTACTCCAGCGATACAGGTGAGATATTGGATATATGCCCCTTTTTAACAGGTATAAATTAATATGGTTTTCTTGTGTGTTATTTAAATACCTAATTGCACAAATTTTTTAATATTTATTTATATAATTTAAATATATAGTCATTTATCCACGTTCTCATTATTTATTCACCTGATTTCAGGGATACCGCTGACCGTTCATTCGGCGCGTCCATCCTCGCGTTCCAGCATTCGATCGACGGGATCCATTGGCTCCTATGGCCACCGACGCGCCTCAATGGGTGGAGGAACTGGCGGTGGCAATGCCGGCGGCGGGGGAGGAGGAGCTGGAGGCGGAGGCGGTGGTGGGGGAGCAGCTGGCGGCTCTGGCTCTGGCTCAAAGGGCATCCTGGTGTCGACGTCTCGTACAGGTGCGGCTAGATCGGCCGCCATATTGCTCATATCGTGTCACATAGCGGCGGTGTCCAAACAGAATTCTCGCGCCTCGTCGCGTCACACATCCGGAGCGGGATGCAGCCAGCATTCGCGGGACGATCTCGATGAAAATGGCAGTGGCAGTGGAGCTGGCGGTGGCGGCGGGAGTGGGTGCCGCAGCTGCGAGAGCACGCTCTCGATGAACCGCCAGCTGCAGAAGCAACTGAACCACCAGCGGCATCTGCTCAGCTTCGAGCTGTCGCCGGCGAGATCGAGGAATCAGGATAGATTTAGAGCGTTGTTGGGCATGAATGGCATTGATAATTGTAGGAGCCATGAGGATGATGAGGAGGACGAAGAGTGCGGTCCGCATAGCATAGATCCTCACAGCACAGTCCCTCATCATAACGACAGCGATCCGGGTGGCGCCCATGGCCATGGCTATGGCTACGGCTACGGTTATGTCAATGCAATTGGTGGTTACGGCGATGCCGACACCAATGGCGTCGACTCCAGCGGCGGATATGCCACTGGCGCCGAGCTGCATCACCTGCAAATTGGCGCACTGCCCACGCCGGCGAGTGAAACGCCCCGATTTGCGGTAAATCAAACATCAAACATCAGTCACGGCGCATCCGCATTCGCATTTCCATCCGCATCCGGTCGGGAGCATTTCCTCATTCCTCAAAGCCATCCTCATGTGAATCATTCGTCCAGGAACAGCTTGCACCACCACTCACACCAGAAACAAACCTCATTATTTGCTACTCGTATCTGTTCCATTGTTGCATTCATCCTGTCTCCCCCTGTTAGAGATACTTTGAAGGCCAGTCCACCTGGTTTATTTCGTCCTTTGACCATTCTTAAGGTCGAGATCTTGTTAATTCGGTGATAAATGTATATCAAGTTGGTAGAACCCAACATTAAAACATTCAAAATGTCTTGAAATTAGGGTCTTTTTGGTTTTGTTTAATTTAAAAATATATTTTTACATTTAATATAGAATATCTAGTTATTTTTCCTGTCTTTCAGCAAATGAGAAAATTGAAAAGGCTAATAAAACATTTAAAAAGCTAACTTTTGTTATTACAACTCGAATGAAAAACATTTCACTTTTCCTAATAAGAATTCATAGCAGTGAAATACAATTGGCATTAATATTCCCCCTTTTACAGAATGTTTGTTTGTTAATTAATGTAAAAGTTTTATCAGTATTTTCCAGAGAATTAATTGCAGAAAAACTTGCTCATAATTTACATTCCCATTTTTCTGCGTTACATGTCCAGGAAACTAACTAAATATATAACAAAAGGGAAATAATGCTTTTTTTTTATCAAAGAATCTTCACCGCATAATTAATTACCAGAAAATGTATTAAAGCCATGAAACAACTCTCGCTAAATTGGGTCCATTGTCTGTCATTTGCATTCACGTAAACTTTAAACTAACTTTAAAATTTAATTTGTGTACATTATTGGCGTTGGTTATTATCCCCATTCCCCTTCCCCTGCTTGTATTAATTAGTGTTTTTAAATTGAATTTAAAACTCTGTCTCTGTTTAGATGAGAAACCAAACTAATTTTGCGTTGAACTTGATGATCGATGTTAAGTGTGCCTATCAAGCTCCCCCTCTGTTTCCACATACAAAGATGTGTTACCAAATACATTATTTTACTTTCCCTATCGTTGCCAAAAAAATAAATAAACACATACACCACCACAGACACAGCGACATCAAAGACTATATAACAAATAATATGTGTAACGCCTCAAAAATTCGAGTTTGTATGGCGTTACTCATCTTATTTTTTATATTGTTTTTGGCAAAACACCCACACACGCGCACTTTTAGCCAAAGATAAAATATATCGAGAATATTTTGTAAGCAACTCCACAGACGACAATACCGAAATGCCTAAGATTCATAAATAAAACCGATTAAATTAAGGATTGAATTGAAACCAGAGCTTCTGAGGAATATAATAAAAATACAAATTTCGACAAGATGATATTGAAGCAATATGGCGGTGACTATGTTCATAGAAAATCTTCCCCAACTTCTTCCACATACACGAACTAATAATAATAATTATAATAATATTTAAAGCATATAACTGAACACAATATTCTAGCTAATGCAAATTAAGAAAACTACAAACCAATTAGTAACACAAAGAACACACTCCCCTCACACAAACACACACACACACACACACACACACACAGAAACCTAATTGCAATTGCATGCAGCCTGACAGCAGAAAAAAGGACACTTGTCTGCTGTCAGGATTCGCCACGCCACTCTCAACCTTCCGGCTGACCTTTGCCTGAACTTATTCGGTTGAGTTCCCAAACACAGAAACACTAACACACACAATCGATAAACGATATGAAAATTTCCTTCTATATAATATATTCTATATATATATATGTTAACCCTGCAACTTTATATGTGAATGTCCTACGCTTCTTCTACTTCTACCACTACTACTACTTCTTCATCCTAAACTTTTCTTCTTCGCGAGCGCCTTGAATTTCCGAACTTAAGATGCCTGCTGCTGCTACTGCTGCATCTTGAAACAATCAAACTTTGTTATGTAGGAAACACTCGTGTTTATCTTCGTTCTTATCCTGTAAACTGGTACGAAAGTCCTTGAAAGACTAGAAAGAAGGGGTTACAGGCCGGTACCACATGGCGTATGAGTGATGAGCGTATGATAAATCTGTGATAACTATTGATAGCTTGAAGGTATATTCGACTTGATAAATATTTAAGAACTACTCTTGGTGGTATAGTTTATGAGATTAATATATTTATGACTTTCATTATAAGTTAGCTTACTAAATAAAATGAAAACATTTAAAAAAGGAGAAAAGTTCCATTCTTAAATGTAAATATTGATTTATTTAAAACTTTGCATAGACATTTAATTGACTTAATTCAAGACTCAAACAAGGAGGTCAAAATAAAACTTTTTATTTGCCTTTAAATTATTTGCATAACTTAAAAAAGGGTCAGTAATTGCTGCTAATTTGTATATAGTCTTATAGTAAAATTTTCAAAAGGAAAAACCCATATGAAAAGTTACAAAATACTTGATAAGCTATACTTGTTTTTCTTTTAGAGAAATTATTAGGCAGTCCGCGTGATTTTCTCTTAAAATACAAAACAACTTTTAATATTCTGCGAATGATTTGGCTGCTTGGGAGCACTGCTGCTCGCACTCGCTTAGCTTGCTTTCCAAACGCTTTGGAATGAACTTATGCTGTGGCTATGCATCTCTCTGTCTCTCTCTTTTTCTATATATATATTTATTATATATATCTTTCATATATAACTTACTATCTTTCTCTCCCACGCCGATTCTCCCAACGAAAACGCTTCCGATATACTCACTCAGTTTTGATACAGCAACCCCATCCGCACATTTGTCCTCCAGCTTGATTCACCTGTGTGACACCTGTCCCGTATGTTTTGGTCTCATCCACAGGTTCTCGAAGACCAAGTCTAGCGTCGGTGCACAGCACTAGTTCCTCGGTGCGCAGCTACAGCATGATGCGCTTTGAGAAGGAAGTGCAGCAGAAGGAGATCCGGCAGGAGATGAAGCTGCGTCTGGCCCGGCTGCAGCAGCAGGCTCATCTCACCCAGAACAAGCCGCAGATTGTCATCGGTGAGGCTCTGCTCCAGCATGGCGCCCTCAGCCGGGTCACCATGCCGACGCCCAGTCCACTAACGCCCAATTCGCTGGACGAGCTGCTGCCGTCGCTGGATGAGAATCAGGAGGTGGGTTCTATTTATAAATATTTTTTACAAGAGCTGAAAGAAAGATTTCGTTGGGAATTTAATCTATATTTTCTCAGAAATGTAATGGACATTTGCAGACTCGGGTTTAAAGTGAAAAAGGAAGCTGAGAGCCATTTTTTGGGAAATTTTATTCAATATTTTTTAAAGAAACTTGATGTAAATGTTTTAAATTAAAAAAGAACTGAAAGCGAGGTTTTTGGGAATTTAATCTATTTTGTCTTACAAAAATTAAAGTCTAGAAATTTACTAATAGCAGAAACGGGCTTCGAAAGTCAATTTTCTTATGGAATATATATGTATATATTTAATTTATTTTTTAACTAATTTAATTATTTCACCCACAGTATCCACCCAGACTGGAAACAACCTTTAAGCAGCTGATACAGCCTCAGTTAACCGGAGCAGGAGGAGGAGTTGGATCAGGAGCCGTACCAGGAGCTGGAACAGGAGCCTCAGGAATGGGGGCCGTGTTGCGGGCAGCTGCCTCGCAGTCATCTCCTGGCAGTGCTAACGGATACCACGGACCCTGCAGCTCCTCGACTGAGGCCCTCTAAAGTTAGTCGTTGCGTTGTACTTAGCTCGTAAGTAATCAAAGATTTCTCGTCTAATTTGCGTCGTAGTCGCAGTCGCAGTCGCAATCTGAGTGGAGTTGATTTAATTGAATTCAAATTGAACGTCAAACGTGTTGTAGTCGCGACAGCTTAGATTATGTGTAACATAGTAAGTAACCCCAGAGCTAGGCTAAGTCTAGGCTAAGTGAGTTCTCAAATTAGACAGCCTTTGTGTATATCATATACCTACGTAGAGAGCTAGCTAATCGAAATCGAAAATGAATAAGAAACCAACATTTTATACGTGTGTGTATATTGTCATACAATTTTTGTAGAAGTTATACAAGCGAAAATCGAATGGATGCCCCCGGCTAGAGTATTGGCAACGCCACTTGGCTTTTCACTTAAATGTACTTATATGTAGAGATAAACCATGAATTGATTAGTTTAAACCTTAGTCTAGTGTTTATCGTTAGTGGAGATAGTACTGATACAAAATACGCAAGATGAATTTATACAAAATCGGTTTATACAAGCAGTAAGTACTCGCGATGGAACACTGTATCGGAATAAATACGCCAGATGGTTCTAGCTAAATCAATAATTATGTTAAGTCATCGCCACGAAAATAAATAATAACAAATCAAAAGCGTTAATAGCGTAATAGGAGGAGGCCAGTGATGCCGGTTCTTTGTAGGAATAGGTATAGAAATAGGAATAGGAACAGGATTCTCACTGAACGCTGGACGGAGGAGCAAGGTCAATTTTAGTTTACGATTTACGAATTTTTCTACAAGAGGCGTTTCAAGTGAATACAATAATCGAATATGTGTAGATCAAATGTACATTACTAAACTTACTCGAGATGGTAATATTATCATTTAATATTTGATACCAAGGTTGTTGTTGACCGTAGTTGATGTTCTCTATCTATCTACATCGTTTGGTTCCATGATTTATCGTATCCTATCTATATAGATCCGTTCTCGAAGCAGCTATCTAAAGATCGTTACATAAACACACCTAAAAAGCATCTATGTGCATGGATAAATGCGTATATTTGCTCTTAACTATGCTATACATACGATGAGTAGACACACATATCTGGAGTTCAGTGTTGGTTGAAGTGTTCGGGAGTACATATATATATACTATATACTATATATAGAAATAAATGCAATTTTGTGTTTTCAACAAATGGTATTCTGGAATTTTAATTGTTTGTGAATGGGTTTAGTTTATAAGGAACATTTCTTGATTTAAAGTTCACAAATTCTCTGTGAAGACCTTAAAATTACCTTAGAGAGCTCTAAGACTCAAAGTTAGCCACCATTCCCATCCTGAACTTGAAAAATATCCCCCAAAAAACCTCAAACAAGTAGGATTTATTTGCATGAAAAGGTTTGAAAATAGATACCTAAAACTCTATAAAAGATATTTTGAATTTTCAGGGCCAAACTAACAAACAATTTTCAATTCATCACTCGTAGATGTGAGCCGAAACAGGATATTAATCCACCTCCTCGATGGTGGGGCCAGAGCCACCAGTTGGCCCCGGATTAGAACCACCAGTTGAAGGAGGAGACGTTGGCATGCCGGCGCCCTGATACAGCCGCGTGATGATGGGACTGCAGATGCGCTCCAGCTCCTGCTGCTTGTGCTCGAACTCCTGCCGCTCGGCCAGCTGATTGGCATCCAACCAGGCAATGGTCTCGTTGCAGTGCTGCTGTATGGTTCCCCGATCCGTGTCACTGATGCGGGAGCGCAATTGCTCGTCATCGAGAGTGGAGCGCAGCTGGAAGCAGTAGGACTCCAGCTGATTCTTGGCATTAATCCGGTCCCGCTGCTCCTCGTCCGCCTGTCGGTACGCCTCCGCATCATTGACCATTCGCTCGATGTCCTCCTTGCTCAGGCGACCCTTGTCGTTGGTGATGGTGATGCGGTTCTCCTTGCCCGTTGACTTTTCCAAGGCGGTCACATTGAGTATTCCGTTGGCATCGATATCGAAAGTGACCTCCACCTGGGGCACTCCTCTCGGAGCCGGCGGAATGGCTGAGAGCTCGAACTTGCCGAGATTGTTGTTATCCCTGGTCATAGCCCTCTCGCCCTCGAACACCTGGATTAGTACGCCCGGCTGGTTGTCCGCGTACGTGGTGAAGATCTGCGTCTGCTTCGTGGGTATGGTGGTGTTCCGCTTGATCAGCGTGGTCATCACTCCGCCAGCAGTTTCAATGCCCAAGGAGAGCGGTGTTACATCAAGCAGAAGCAGATCCTGCACAGCCTCCGACTTGTCGCCATGCAGGATGGCCGCCTGGACGGCGGCTCCGTAGGCCACCGCCTCATCGGGATTGATGGACTTGTTCAGCTCCTTGCCGTTAAAGAAGTCCTGCAACAAGCGCTGCACCTTGGGTATCCTCGTGGAGCCGCCAACAAGGACAATGTCATGGATCTGACCCTTGTCCATCTTGGCGTCGCGCAGCGCCTTGGCCACCGGCTCCATGGTGCCCCGGAAGAGGTCTCCGTTTAGCTCTTCGAAGCGGGCACGTGTCACCGCGGTGTAGAAGTCAACGCCCTCGTACAGGGAGTCGATCTCGATGCTGGCCTGGGTGGAGGAGGACAGCGTTCGCTTGGCCCGCTCGCAGGCGGTGCGCAGGCGCCTCAGAGCCCGCTTATTCTGGCCAAGATCGCGCTTGTGCTTGCGCTGGAACTCCTGCACGAAGTGATTCACCAGCCGGTTGTCAAAGTCCTCGCCACCGAGATGAGTGTCCCCGGCAGTGGCCTTCACCTCGAATATCCCATCCTCGATCGTCAGCACGGACACATCAAAGGTGCCGCCGCCCAGGTCGAAGATCAGGACATTCCGCTCGCTGGTACCCTGCTTGTCCAAGCCATAGGCAATGGCCGCCGCCGTCGGCTCGTTGATGATCCGGAGCACGTTCAGGCCGGCGATGGCACCCGCATCCTTGGTGGCCTGGCGCTGAGAGTCGTTGAAATAGGCGGGCACAGTGACCACCGCATCCGTTACCGATCCACCCAAATACGCCTCGGCCGTCTCGCGCATCTTCGTCAGCACCATCGAGGACACCTCCTCCGGATAGAAGCTCTTCCGCTCGCCCTTGTACTCCACGCGGATCCTTGGCTTGCCGTTCTCGGAGATCACCTCGAAGGGCCAGTGCTTCATGTCCGCCTGCACGGTGGCGTCATCGAAGCGGCGGCCAATCAGCCGCTTGGCATCTGCAAGTCAGAAGTCACTCGATCAGAATCCAACAAAAAGAAACCACTTTAAGGAGCACTTGGACAACAGATTCGCTTTATTGGCTAACATTTAGGGTCTGGTAATTGGTAGTTTGGTATTTGGTGTTTGGACTTGTGTTGGCTTTGTTTATGTGTCTGGGTGCAGGTCTAGGTCACAGTCTAGGCTAATCTAGCCGGACTTCTAAGCGGACCCTGACCCTGAAATGAAAGTACAAAAATAGAAAGAAAGAAGACTCGCATTAGATCTGCTCAGCAAATCTTTCGGGAGAAGGCAGGGGAATGTCTGAGCATTTTTTACACAAATGATGGGAGAAGAGGTTACTTAAGAGATCTTTCTATATAAGAGAAATATCTATAGTTTTTTTATATTTTAAATTTCATGGAAATTTTCAATAAAGTTTAATATTTTAAAACTATAAAGTTAAGAAGAAAAATAGGTCTGTTCAGGAAAACACTTGTAAGTATAGGATCATAAGAAAATTAAACCAGAACAGGCTACCTAGGGTTACTTCCTCTACCTTTTTTATCCTCTAAATACATATATTTAAATTTAATTTAAAACATTATTATTTATTATATCAAATAAAAATAAATATAAGAAAACTAAGGGTAAAATAGTGTCTACGAGCTGTTTTATGAAATTATATTTATGTTTACCTCATACTCTAAGCCTTTTTGTCTTCTGCCAAGGTATTTAGTTATATTTATTACTATTTCGATCTTCGCTGCCTTTCATTATTAGCTTTGTTTTTCCGAAATCAAAGACATTGACGCGAGAAACCTGCGACATTCCTCCACGCAGCCAACGTAAAAAGTATTTATGCAAAACCGAACGTTTTTCTTGTCACGAAAACAACTTTGCACTGAGGAGACTTATTCTCATTTATTTGGCCGACACAAATGATGCCAATAAACGCGACAGCCAAGAGAGCTTGGTGGCCAAGCAGAAGGAGGAGAAGAAGATGCCTCATCAACCTCACCCCGGGAGGCGAAAGAACTGACACAACAAGTGGACGTGTCAGTAGGCCAAATGGGGTGGGATCGGGCGCAGTAGGGGGTCGGGTGTGGGAGGAGGATACCATACCATCTCTCGAAAAATGAGATGTACGAGGAGGAGCAGACTGCACATTTTGGCGCCAGCGAGTGAGAATTTTCTTAAAATAACCAAAGATGCGAGATGTGCGAGTAATAAACAAAATGTGCGGGCACAGTTCATTCATGAAAATGTTTGCCAGTAATTAAATCGGATCACTGCATGGCCGAGATCCATGAGGGACTGGGGGACAGGGACGACGACTCACCGAAGATCGTATTGTTGGGATTCATGGCCACCTGATTCTTGGCCGCATCACCTATGAGACGCTCTGACTCCGTGAACGCCACATAGCTGGGCGTGGTGCGGTTGCCCTGATCGTTGGCGATGATCTCCACCTTGCCATGCTGAAAGACGCCGACACACGAGTACGTGGTACCAAGGTCAATGCCAACCGCTGGTAATTTGGGCATCCTCGCTGCGGCTTTAATTAGACCCTCAACGCGCCAACCACGTCAAGGTCCACGTACCCAGAGAAAAACAGAGAACGTCGGCGAGCGGAATCCGACGACAAATCGAGATCGAAAATAAAAAAAAAAGAAAATGAAATTAAAATCACAGTTTCCCTCACATCAGGCGACAATGGTTACACAATCTGAGGATCCTCTCACCCAGTCCCGAAGCTAAGCCAAGCTAGCTTCACGCGACTCCTAGAAGGCGAAGCGATACAGATACAGGGAGATGATCAGGAATAGCAGCACGAAGGTCAGGACTCGGAAGAATTCGAGCGCCTTCTCTCTTTGCAGCTCCACAGCGTCTTCCGTTTGTCCTCACGTTGCCACAATGAAAACCAGTGCGATCCTCTTCAGGGGACTCTCGGCTTGCTCCTCTTGGTATTTGCTCTCTGCAAGATTAGATGATGCACGCGCCACGACGGCTAGCAGACAACTGGCTGGCCGAGTGTGGCGACAACCGATCCCTTGCCAAAAACGTTCGATCATCGATGATGATGATGATGATGATAATGTTGCTCTGCCAACATCAGCATAACAGCGAGGTGCTCACAGAGAGGCGACTGCAATGGATGCATTTTGGGAATCGGAAGGCCTCACCTCAAAGAATCTCTTTATGCTGATGGTATTTAGTCTTCTTAAATTTATTTTTTTATTAGAACGTTTGTTGTTACATGTTTTACAATGTCAAAGTAAGTAATTGATAATAATGCATATAAAATAAAGATTTCAATTCATGTAGACGCCAAAGAATCAGGGTTTCCTTCCAGCTCCCTTTTGGTGCTGCAAGATTATAATAATACAATCATTTGTATTAAGAATAATGTTAATCCCGAATGTTACTTACAATTTTCAGGTGGTTTCTTTGCGTGTAAGATGATCTTCTGACTTTTTACACAAGTCTAATTTCAAAATATTTTATTATATCTCAAGGAGCACATCCTCATCAATAACCAGACCATCATCGGCCATCAGCGGCGAGTCGAGTTCCAGATCTAAAAATTCATCATAATGTGTGGCGGTGGACACCAGTTGCGGTGTTACCACCATTGGCGGCACGGTTATCAGTGGCGGCATTTCCTCGTCATCAGCTTCGGATAAGAGTTCCATCTTGGGCATGGAAAGGCTCAGCTCTTCAACAGTCTGCTCTAAAGGATCAATAATAGATGTCGACTCCGTTTCGCTTTCACTATCCGAGATCTCAATGACAGAGTTGGGATCCATTATAAGCTTTGGCAAGACCTTAGGTGCAGAAGTTGACTTCTTTTTCACCTCCAAGATGTCAATGACTGAGCTGGAATCAATCATTTCTTGTTTTATGGCCATAGTAAGCGGCGCAATGGGAACCTCTTGATCCAAGTGGGGAGAAATTACGCTCAGCATATCGTTGGTTATTAGCCAGCCAGCATGGCCCTCGGCCCGATGCAGCACAAAGGTACGCTGAAATCGTCGCTGCTCCCAGCCCCGGGAGGTCTGCTCCTTGAAGAAACCCGTCAGCGCCAGGATGCGCAGGCGGTTGGTAAAAATCAGTACGTCCACGCTGGCCTTCTGGATGTTCGTCAGCATTTGGGGAAAACGTCCCAAGGCCTGGGTCAGAGCCAAGCTGCCAACCTGTAGTTTGCCGTTGCGCGCGAACGAAGACTGGAGGGTCTGATGGTTGCGGTTGTACAGGCTATAGACGCCCACACGGCCCAGCTGCTTCGGAACGCTCAGCGAGAACAGAGCCTGAGTGTCGTAGAAATTGGTGAGCTGGTGGCGCTGGGCGGGATCGTCGAAGCTGCCGTAGTAGGACACGGCAAACCGTTGAGCGAATTCCAGGCCAAGGGAGCCGGATCCGCCGCCTTGCAACTGCTGGAACTTTGGCTGATTATTCAGCCGGAGAGCTTTGGGCTTTGACTGCAGGCAGCCGTGTATTTCCTTCAGCTGCGGCAGGATCGCCCGAATGTCATCAAGTTCCAGCTTGGCTACCTCGTTGCCGCTCAGCAACAGCGTCTTGATCGGAAGCTTGCTGAGATGCTTTAGCTCAGCTAAATCGTTGATCTTGTTGGCGCTGATATCGAGGCGCTCCAGAGCGCTGAAGTCCTCAGCGGAGAACACAGCGAAGGCCTTAAGAGAGCAGAGATAATTGTTGCTCAGGACGATTCCTGTCACTTCCTGCTGGAGGTCGCGATGCGCCACCTTCAAAGTTCCCTCTAGGAGCTTTACAACGTGAAGTGGACAAAAGTGCTCAGAAAGGTGAGGATCTGCGTGGAATCGCGATAGATCCAGGGTGCGGGAGGAAGCCTTGTAGCGTCCACGCAGGGCCGCTCCCAATGCGCTCTCAAATTCGGCGGGGACTGCAGCGCCAATTATGGGAAGACCGGGTTTCACGTGCACCTCCAACGGCTGACAGGTGTACATGGTCATTACCTTGTCGCTGAGGCGCTTGAGTCTGTTCGCGGATAGGGAGCTGTCCAGCATAAATTGGGCGCAGTCGTTGTTGTCCGCCGGTCCGCTACGCCTGAAGTCGAAGATGTCGACCTGCAGCGGGACCATGACCCAGTTCAGCGCCATGTAAATGGCAGAATCCGGCAGGCCGGCGCATTTGGTCATGTTCACCGTATACCAGCCGGTGACAGTGGCCGGTCCCTGCTCCGACGCACGCGACAACGTGTCCATCACGGGACGCACGTCCGAAGTGGTAATTAGCTGGCGCACGTAGGTCTCGAGATCTCTGCGCTCCTGCAGGTTCTTTCGCAGATCGTTGAGCGGCAGTTGGGCTTGTGGCTGCGCCTTAAGGGTGGTGCTGAGGCGTTTGCCCCCAACATTACTGTTAATATTTTCCAAAAAGCGCATGGTGTCACTTGGTTTTTAATAATGACAAGTAATATAAATTAAGAGAGTCGAGCTGAAACTACGCAGTGGAAAATGCGACGCCAACTTTTATCGTTTATGCAGTGCTGTCAAACGACTGCAGAATTTAGTGACAGGTTGGGTTTTGCAACACTAAAACTGAAAGCATTTCCGGAAAAGCTATGTCCAAAAGATTGATAAGCAATATTATTTTTTATAAATAATCCCTTTTAGTTGGAATTCCCCTTACTTTAACGGCCTTAACACGCCCTAAAGTACGCACCTTTCTTAATTTATTGTATTTATACAGTTTCCTAAGTCAATCAATTTGTTATAATTATTCAGGCCTTTAATTTTTGTAGATAACTTTTCTTAATGATAAATTTGTATTATATTCAAGTTTTAAAGATTTACTTTTATTTTTCAGAAATAAATCCGTTTAGTTAACTTATTAAATAATGGGTACTCTATTTTGCTAGGCAAAAGTACTTAAGAACATGTTGTTCTGCAACAAAGGTTGCTAATAAATAAAAATAATATATATATTGTATATATATGTACATATTTGTGCCATCTGTTACGATATGCACATAAATATGTATAAATATCAAACATTCTAGCCAAAGTCAAGGGTGGACCTTGGCAATCTGCTTTATATTGGGGTAAGCCAAGAACTAGATGAAAACCATTTGTCTTGGCCTTGGCAGCAGCTGTTGAGCCAACATATTTGTTAACAAACTTCATGAAACTTAACCGGCGGAGAAATCATTTAAATACCGACGAACCCCAAGACATTTATGCTATTACCTGCTTCGTGGTTGATACAAACCAGTTAAATCCCCGCAATGAAACACCATTTTGTGCTCTGCGCTCTGGCAGCTCTCGTCCTCTTCCAGGCGGCTGCGTATGGATTCAAGGTAAAACGCGTTATCTACGTGGTATCACAGACAAACACCACTACAGAGGCACCTGCAACCAACTCCACCACCGTTGCACCACCGGTGATTGTTTACTGCACCTGGAAGAACAACTGGTGTCGCCCCGCCTCGAATGCCATGAGGAACTGCAAGTGGGGCCTCTGCAAGTTCTACGGCTAGATAGTCACAATAAAGACACATAAAGATTACCACCATATGTTGTTGGCTTTTATTTGAAAGTCTGGCTTTTGGTAAAAAAAAAACCTTGCTGGAACGGTTTCAATCTTAACTGGCGTTAAGGGTTCTTCAGAAAGCTTTAGCAAAAATAATTATCCATACTAGTCTTAGTAACTAACTAAATTCGATTCAAGCAAATCATCACCTAAAGCGGGTTAAAGCTTAATGGGTTAATAGCACTAGGATACAAGGATATACTTATGTATAAGGAGAGCACTTACAGAAATCGCTTTGGATTTGAATTTAATTGAAATAGTTGCAAAAAAGTATGCAATAATATAATGTAATGTTTTATAGCATACTTTTCGGTAGCATTATCAATCATTTCAAATCTACAGCTCCTTCTATGGTGTTCCTGATAGGGTTAGTTGTATGAGTAGTCAGTTTGGTGAGGGGTAAAACCAAGACCTTGTATTAACGCTCTTGCTTGATCTTTGAAAGCATATTTTATTTTTACATTTTCACGCGGTCAACAAGAGCTGGAAATTACTCGATTTTGATTTTTTTTCGATGAGTAAATCGATTGAAATCGAAACTGGAAATAATATCGGATACATAAAATGTATAACTTTTTCGATTAAATTGATTTTGTCATCGATTTTATTTCCAGCTCTACTAGCTAGCGAACGAGACGTACATTTTTCTCTTGCTGAAAATTGCGGCTTGCTATTACAAGGTCTTAGGTGAAACAATACCAGGTATTTGGATTAAACTAGGACTACATACTAGGGTTAGACAATGCGGACTAATCTTAACTTAGGATATGCATATGTGGTGGACAAAGGCTTCTCGGATTGAGGTTTATAATGTATGTAGTTTTATTAAGAAGTTTTTCGTTTTGGCAACTCAAACATAACTAAGAACTGAAAGTGGGTTCACAAGTATTTATTTATTATATACTTATATAGCACTCAAGGGGAGCCAAAGTGAAGCAAGGTTAATAGTTGGTTGCTTCTGCACCTTGTACAATTTCGAATGATTTTTAGATCTGGAGATGATGATATAGAAAATATAAACAGGTTGCAGACCTTCTGATAAGACAATACATATTGCTATCATTTAGTTTTGTTGTATTTTATATGTATATATGCGATAATATAATAATGTAAGTTCGTTCAATACTCTTATAGGTTATTATCATCAATTTTTTGTTTGGTTTTCTTTTTGTTGCGGCCCTTGTGTGGGGCCACTGAGCAGGGTCTTATGGTATATATTTATTTCAGTTGCTAGAATTTATTCGATTGGCTTAGACTTCATAACGTTCGTAGAATTTTTGCATTGCTTTTACAAAAATATACAGCTATCAATCATTTATCGCTTGAATTATCAATCTCATTCTCAATCCTCTTCTCTTTTTCTTTATGATTCGTAAGGCAAAGTTCGTGTTTATGTTTATTTTTTTCTATTAATGTCTAGCTATGTAAGGTTTATGGGTTCTGTGAGTGAGCCAAGTTCTCAGTTTGATAAACTAAATGCATAATTTCTCGTTATATTAATTAATAAACATAAATGCTAGTGTCTCGAAAATCACTAGGCAAATACACAAAAGAGCGAAACACAGAATATAAAAGGGATGGGATACATGAATGGTCATGGAAATGCGGTTCGGATCTGAGGCGCTCTCAGCGCCTAACAATGCTGGAGGGGCGCGGCAGGCCGCTGCGCTTCATCTGCGAGGGCGGACGTAGACCCGAGGGCTTCGGTATGCCGGTGGCCCCCGTTGTTACCTGTGTCAGCTTGGAGGTGAGCGCCTGTGTGTCGAAGGAGGAGGGCTGAGGAACATTAGACGTTGATCTACTGGTGTTCTCCTTGCTGTGCCCATACAGACTTCCGCGCGAGGAGGCAGAGGACAGGCTCTGGTATAAATCATACAGAAAAAGATTAACAAACAAAGAAGAATTAAAGCTTAGCTTGGACCCACCTCTGGAGTTTCCGCCTCGGGTGCTGCCTTAACGCTCAGGCTGTAGTACCCAGACGAAGGGCGAGTCAGGCCATTGGCTCCCACACGTTTAGCACCAGCCAGACCAGGGGCACGCAGACCACTGACCAACTTGGGCACCTTGAAAACCGAGTCGTCCTGGGGACGGAAAGGAGAGTTATAGTTAGCAATGAAACTTTCAAGTTGAGTAGCAATTACTCACCTCTTGAGGCTGCATTGGTCCCCGCAGTCCGCTCATCAGCTTGCTAGGCTGCCCACCAGGTCGTCGCAGGCCACCACCTCCCAAACTAGGTCTTGGCAGCGCTCCAACTCCTGCTACCGATCCACCGCTCAATGTGGAGGACAGGTTGTGAAACGATTTGGACTTGATTCCCATGGGACTCTTCAGCTCACCGCTGCCGCTAGCCGGTGGCGCTGCCACAGTGATGGGCATTGCATTGGAGGGAGTGGCGTTCAGACCAGCACCGGCTGAAGTGGCTTTGCTTACCGTAGAAAACTTTTGGAGGCCACTTATGTAACGCGGTCGGGAGAGGGATCGTGGCTGGGGAAGAGTGGGCGCGGGGGCGGGGGCTGGTATCTCCTCTGTGGCTTCCTGTTGAAGCATGGGTCTTCGTTGGAGCAGGGTCTTCTCCTTGGGTTTCTTGTAGGTCAAATAGTTGCTCCCAACATTGTTGTTGTTAAAGACCGAGTTCTGATCGCGACGCGACAGTCGACCTGGCGGCGAGCCTTGCCGCTGTGGAGGTTCAACCTGCTCCTGTTCCAGCTGCACTTCTTCCTGCTCCTCCATCTCCGTTTGCTGTTGCTGCAGTTCATCGTCTATACAAGGCACTATAATCTCTGGCTGCAGGCGCATCTCTTTCGAAATCTTTATGGTCTTGAAGCGCTCGCGGTCACGTTCCCTTCGCTCTGCCAGCTTGTAGGTGGAAGGATCCGTGTCTGCGGAAGCCTGAGGCTTCGTCGGTTCTTCCGCTGTATCGAACTGAGCTTCGACCGCAGGCGCCTCTCTCCGCTGAACAATAAACGAGGCCGAATTGCAGCTGGCATTGCTGCCATTGCTGCCGTGCATGGCGCTCAGGTTGACATCGTCGTAGAGCCGACTGCGACGACTAAGAAGACGCTCACCGCTGGTACTGCTGTTGTTACTAGTACTTAGATGGCTCTGGTTGAGCGGCGGTGTGTCCACTTTCTCGGCTGGCGACTGATGTTGATGCTGCTCCTCTAGTTCCCGTTCACGTTCCCCTTCCTCGGGCTCCGTTGGATCGTCCCGATGAAAACGCCGCCTGATAGTGTCCAGGGACTTTTGCATCTTCAGCTGGTGCTCGCTTAGGGTATTAACTTTGCCCAGTTCCGCCAACATGTGCTCGAACTGCTCCTCATCGCCCTGCTGGGCCAGCATCTCCACCTCGGCCTCGGCCAAGTCCATGACGCACTGCATCTGCTTGTGCTGCTCGGACATTTGCAAACTGTAAGTGCCATCCAGCGGCTGTTCGATCTGCTCTAGAAGTTCCATGGTATCCAGCACGAACTTCTCGCCGTTAAAGGGAGCTCCCTCCCCCGCTGCGGCTTCGGCTCCTACTCCTGCCCTAGCTGGCGGCTCGAAGGTGTTATTGTGTTGCCGTCCGTGTCCCTGCATTGCCCTCTGCGGGGTGGTGCTCACAATCGGTGACAGGTTCATGTCCACATGCCCCTTTACCGTCGGCGTGTAAGCACCTGGCTTATTATTATTATTGTTGTTGTTGGGGTGGAAATGGGAGCGCAAGTTGGTGGTCAGCGGCGTTGATTCCATGGTGAGTAAGGGCAGCTTACGATCAACATTCTCAGGCGTTTCACAACGCGCCTCCGGCGTATCACAGCCCTCGGTATAGGTGGTGTTCATCTGCCGAGCCGCCAAAACCTGCGTTTCATCTGCTGCCGCGGGCCTCTTGAAAGTGGCATTCCCATCAATGGGCAGGGATCGATCCGCATCTGATGGCAGAATGGAGGCGGTCAGGCTGTCCACCAAATTAAAGGTTGTGTCGCCAATCATCTCCTCGCTCAGGATTAGGGTGCGGTGCAGGGCGGGACAAACTGATGGAGGCAAAACCACAGGCATTGTTCGATCTGCTGCGGGCAAGGGATTGGACATGCTGTCCGTGCTGTTGTCCATGGTGCTGCAGCCGGAGGCGGTCTTGCTCAGCGTCAGCGATATCTCATCGATCTGCCCGATGTGCGAGTCCTTAATCAAAGTGCCATCGTCCTCGCACATGGTCAGTGATTCCAGCGCCTTGCGGTCTCTGATCATGTCGCTGAGTGTGTAGCCCGTGTTGTTGTCTACCGCCGTCTGGTTGTTGGTCAGCGTTGTGGTCAGACTCGGCTCCTGCTCCAGTCCAATTGTGGACTGGAGAAAGTTGAGGTTCGTAAAGTCGGCAGAGGTGATCAGCGAATTGTTCATCCGTTCCGTGTTCATGGAGGAGCAAATGGAAGACGGCGGAGAGGTGTCCTGCAGGAAGGATTTGTGCATATTTGTGGTGACCAGGCCGCCAATTTCCAGTTGGAGCATTCCAGGCGGAGTGCCGGCAACTGCTCCAGAGTCCATTCCTGCTCCATTTTGGCTCTGCAAATGAATTTTGTGGTATTTTCAATTTATTCAAATTAATTCGAATTCCAAGTTTCTACTTACGAAATCAAGGTTGCGACGCTTGGGGCGGGTGAAGGTCTTCGAGTTGTGTTTGTAGGCTTTTGAAAAATAAAAGTTGATAAAGATAGTTAGCCTCCTGCGTATCAGGCTAGACTTATTGGCGACTTATTAATCTATGGCTTATGGTCCTAGTGAGAGCTTAATTCTACATATAGCGAGATAGTCTTTTGAATCTAGATTTTTATTTCTCCGAAGAGCACTTCCTCATCGATGACCAGAGAATCATCAATAAACAGAGCTGTGTCGATTTCCTGTTCCAAGTCTTCATCGATATCTATGACCAAAGGAGCGCTGGGTACCGGTATAACCACCATTGGGGGAATTTCTACCAGAGGCGGCATTTCTTTCTGAGGCGGCTGTCCCTCGGTGACGAGTGCCATCTTGGGCATGGACAGGCTCAGCTCTTGAACAGCCTGCTCTACAGAATCAACAGCTAGCTTAGGCACGGCCTTGGGAGCAGAAGTTGACTTCCCTTCACCATCCGAGATGTCAATGACTAAGGTGGAATCATTATTTTCCGGTTTTATGGCCGCAGTGGCAATGGGAACCTCTTGATCCAAGTGGGGAGAAATTACGCTCAGCATATCGTTGGTTATTAGCCAGCCAGCATGGCCCTCGGCCCGATGCAGCACAAAGGTATGCTGAAATCGTCGCTGCTCCCAGCCCCGGGAGGTCTGCTCCTTGAAGAAACCCGTCAGCGCCAGGATGCGCAGGCGGTTGGTAAAAATCAGTACGTCCACGCTGGCCTTCTGGATGTTCGTCAGCATTTGGGGAAAACGTCCCAAGGCCTGGGTCAGAGTCAAGCTGCCAACCTGTAGTTTGCCGTTGCGCGCGAACGAAGACTGGAGGGTCTGATGGTTGCGGTTGTACAGGCTATAGACGCCCACACGGCCCAGCTGCTTCGGAACGCTCAGCGAGAACAGAGCCTGAGTGTCGTAGAAATTGGTGAGCTGGTGGCGCTGGGCGGGATCGTCGAAGCTGCCGTAGTAGGACACGGCAAACCGTTGAGCGAATTCCAGGCCAAGGGAGCCGGATCCGCCGCCTTGCAACTGCTGGAACTTTGGCTGATTATTCAGCCGGAGAGCTTTGGGCTTTGACTGCAGGCAGCCGTGTATTTCCTTCAGCTGCGGCAGGATCGCCCGAATGTCATCAAGTTCCAGCTTGGCTACCTCGTTGCCGCTCAGCAACAGCGTCTTGATCGGAAGCTTGCTGAGATGCTTTAGCTCAGCTAAATCGTTGATCTTGTTGGCGCTGATATCGAGGCGCTCCAGAGCGCTGAAGTCCTCAGCGGAGAACACAGCGAAGGCCTTCAGAGAGGAGAGATAATTGTTGCTCAGGACGATTCCTGTCACTTCCTGCTGGAGGTCGCGACGCGCCACCTTCAAAGTTCCCTCTAGGAGCTTTACAACGTGAAGTGGACAAAAGTGCTCAGAAAGATGAGGATCTGCGTGGAATCGCGATAGATCCAGGGTACGGGAGGCAGCCTTGTAGCGTCCACGCAGGGCAGCTCCCACTGCGCTCTCAAATTCGGCGGGTACTGCAGCGCCAATTATAGGAAGTCCGGGTTTCACGTGCACCTCCAGCGGCTGACAGGTGTACATGATCATTACCTTATCCCTGAGGCGCTTGAGTCTGTTCGCGGATAGGGAGCTGTCCAGCATAAATTGGGCGCAGTCGTTGTTGTCCACCGGTCCGCTGCGCCTGAAGTCGAAGATGTCCACCTGCAGCGGGACCATGACCCAGTTCAGCGCCATGTAAATGGAAGAATCCGGCAGGCCGGCGCACTTGGTCATGTTCACCGTATACCAACCGGTGACGGTGGCCGGTCCCTGCTCCGACGCACGCGACAACGTGTCCATCACGGGACGCACGTCCGAAGTGGTAATTAGCTGGCGCACGTAGGTCTCGAGATCTCTGCGCTCCTGCAGGTTCTTTCGTAGATCGTTGAGCGGCAGTTGGGCTTGTGGCTGCGCCTTAAGGGTGGTGCTGAGGCGTTTGCCCCCATCATTACTTTTGATATTTTCCAAGTAGCGCATCGTGTAACTTGAGTTTTATTGATAAAAAGTCGAAGAAATCGCCAAAGCCAAGCCTAAACTACGTTTACCGTTTTAACAGTGTTGTCAAGTGCCGGCAGAACTTGGTAAAAGCTGAGTTTTGCAACACCAAAAGAAAAGTTGCAAAAAAGCGCAGGGCTTCTTTGATAAGGACATGTTTATCGGTGATTCTTGAGCTTAAATAGGTATTTAATGTAATGAAAATATTGGATTTAGGGTATATATTTTATATTTTTTAGATATCATTACTGATACGGCGAAGAAATGACATTTGCCACATTTTATCAGTGATATGTTTATGTCGTAAATTTGTCAAGGTGAAGTCATAGCTTTAAGTTGTGAAAATATCATAAATAGAATGAATAATTGGAATATAGGAAGCTTTTTCGGCTACAATAACTTTTACCAGGTAACCATCATCGAAAAGAGTGACTACATTTTCAAGGCTATTAAGTGACTTAATCGATTTTAGATCCTCCCGGTTACCAGTTCGATAATTGCTACGCAGAAGCGTAATGTTTCACGCATCGCTTGATTGACTTTCGCTGGCTGGGCAGGAAGTAAATCGGATTTATATAATTCTCAGCTCACTTATTATGCGGGATTCTTGCCATATTTGCATAGCCCGTTTTCTGTGACCGTACCACGCACAGCTGTTCGCGACCACTGAAACGCGAGTGTGTGTGTGTGTGTGTGTGCGCTTGATTAATTACCGTAACAATAACATTGGCGCTGCTGGCCAATTATGGCCACAGCCACTTGGCAGACTTAAGTAACAACGGTAAGTACCAGCGGACTGTCTCCTGCCCACGTTGAACGCGAACTTTGTCAACGTAGCCGCCGCCGTCGCCGCCAGTTTAACCCAAATTTGTTTTAGAAAGCGCAACTGCAGGCACTACTGCAACTGTATGTGTGTGTCTGCATCGGTATGTGTAGAAAGGCTTACCCTCGTTGTTGTACGGTAACTGTGGATGCAGTTGCAGCGGCTGCGTCTGATTATTCGATTTCCACTGCTGCAGTATGTTGGAGACATCATCGTGGGTCTTGTCCGCCAGAAATCTGCCAAGGAGTACGAGTACCCAAGTACCATGCATGAGTATTTTTAGCATCGATGCCTGTGCCGTGCCAGCAGCAACAAAAACAAGGGTGCATCACTCACATATATGAATCATCCTTTAGTGCCTCATCGATGTCCAGGATATCCATGTCCAGCGATGGGAGAGACTTTATGCTTAGCTTAAAACACTGAATATGTAATCCTAAATCATTGCGAGAAACGACAACAAAGAGACCTTCGCGAGTTTGTCTGTGTTTGACCAATACAAGATACTAATTTTGCTCAAAGCTGCTAGAGATGAGCGTTATCTCGTGACTTGTCACGAGTACTTTTAAGCGATAACTGTGACTGTGAATGGCGAATTTGTAAAATATTTAAATTCAAAATACTGTTAAAAAATTATAATAATAATACTATGAATACAGTTTTGACAAAATCATGAATAGTAAATACAAAAAAGTTTAAAATGTATACAGATAATGAAGCATGAATTAACATCACTGTATAAGGGTAACAAGATTAATATTCGCTTTTGTAAGCTACGTAAAGTATAAGTTTACTTTCAAAATATTATTATTATTAATAAATCCTTTTATTTATTAATCTTCAGGTAGTCACTATTTAAATAATCAATTTCCAGCTAGTCTAGAGATGCGGTACGTAACGATAGCAACTATCGCTTATTCGCGCACAGCTGACAACCCTGGTCGAGAACGTTCACATTGACTAGTTTGCATGAAGGTGCCCACAATTTCTTGGATATTTTGAAATTCCGGACATCTGTTGCTGCGGGGATCACAGATCACAGGAAATGGAAAGATTGGACGGCACCAGCATGGAGAAGAGCTGCAGGGTCTGTGCCGGCCACTCGACAATCCTGGTGGACCCCTTCTCCTCGGAGATATCCGATCCGCCGATTTCTGAAATGCTCAACTCGATTCTGGCCGAGAACTGCCGCGTCGATCGGGATGCCCTGCCCCAGAAAATCTGTCCAACCTGCCTGGTGGCCGCACAGCAAGCGTTCCACTTCAAGCACAAGTGTGAGAGAAGCTATCGTTACTTTTCCAACCTTGTCACGGCGGCCACATGCGACGCAGTGATTCTGAGTAAGAGGCGAGGCAGAAGTGCTGCAAAGGAACCGGTCATTGCCTTCGAGATGGTGGGCTGTGAGGATCCGCTGGACACCACAGAGCTGCCGAAAAGCGAAGGGGAAGAAGATGGAGTTGTTGTGAAAGATGATATCGATTCCGAACCGGCGGAGAGCCTATCCAACGAGAGGAAGATTATTCCAGAGGTGCAAGTAGCTCTTGAATGTATGTATATATAAGATAGGTACCCATTACAGCAGGTGTTAATATTTACCTTTTTACAGTGGCTGTGAATGATGACATAAAAATAGAAAAGGACCAGATGTCAAATGGGGCTTCTATCGACGGTGTGGATGATCACGACAAAGAAGAGGACGCGGAGGACTGTGATAAGGATGACGACGAGGATGAAGTCGATGGAGATGAGTGGTCCGACGGCTGGTCCGAAGACCAAGATGAGCCCAAGACGCCTCGCAACTCAAAAACCAAGTCGCGAGCTGTAGAAAAGGATCTATCGCTGTTGTGCACCGAGTGTGGATTAACCTGCAAGTCGCACAAGTTGCTGACCAGGCACATTGCTCGCCACAAGGAGAATGAGGATCCGCAGCGACCGCATTTGTGCGACACCTGTGGCCGGGGCTTTAGGACAAGGGCACAGCTCACAATCCACACGCGAATGCACACGGGAGAGCGACCCTTTAAGTGTACCATCTGCCCAAAGGCGTACACGCACGGTCCGACGCTAAGGATGCACATGCTGACCCATGAGACAAAGGCCCACAAGTGCTTGGATTGCGAGAAGTCCTTTTACAGCATCTCCAACCTGAGGGCCCACCAGCGATGGCATTCGGGCGACCGACCTTACCAGTGTCCCGACTGCCCACAAACCTTCACCAAGAACTCGGGATTGAAGCTGCACCAGCGCCTGCACACGGGTGAGCGTCCGTACAAGTGCCACCTGTGCGATCAGGGGTTCGTCCAGAACCATCATCTCGTCACCCACCTGCGCGTCCACAACGAGGATCGGCAGTTCAAGTGCCCTGACTGCGACAAGTCCTTCTTTGAGAAGTCCAACATGAAGAAGCATCAACGCACCCATTCGGGCGTGAAGCCGTTCCAGTGTGAGGAGTGCGGCCGTGGCTTCTCGCACAATCATCACCTGAAGAACCACCTCCGCGTGCACACCGGCGAGAAGCCCTACAAGTGCGAGAGATGCGACAAACGCTTCTGCGCAAATCAGTCGTTGGCGAAGCACATACTCTGGCACGCGGAGAACCAGGATCGCGCCTACAATTGCTCCAAATGTCACAAGGGCTTTGACAAACTGCAGGCTTTGCGAGCCCACGAGAAGAAGCACAGGAGGCAGGACGAACCGAATCAGCTGTACCAGTGTCCGCATTGCGACGTCAAATTCGCCCTGAAGAAGACCTTGGACAAACACATTGGCACTCATAAAATTAGGCCATATCCTTGTTCACAATGCCTGGAGGGTTTCTTTTCCCAAAAGAGCTACCAGAAGCACCTGCGGCTGCATAATCTCCAGAAATAGTAGCTCATTTTTATGAATCATTCGAGCAATATCATGTCATTGTTACCTATGTGCAAAGGATTGCTTTGAAAGCAGGTGTATATTTTAAGAGTAAATAATAACTATGCAATTTGTACATTTTTTGTTTTACGTAAAGTTAAGTTTTCAAAGTACTTGATAAATATATAGATTTAAATATAAACTTGACTTGTTTCGTTTTATAATTTTCCCCATTATTAGTATATAAGATCCCCTGGTAAAAAATCACAATTGCAATATATTTGTAAGTTTATTGGTAAGTTATGTTTTATTTAAACAATCTAAAATTTCATTGTCCGTTCAATTAAGGCAAGTTTTGTGTCTGTTGCACAGTTTTTTTTTGTGTTTTCTTTAAACAATTCCTGCGCTCCTTTCCATTGCCAGCATAATGAATAATTCTTTAACGCTATTAACATAAATGCCTTGCTCTTACACATTACTTTTTTTTCACTTACGTACAGATTTTGATTTCCTTTTTTTTTATTTATAATGTTTCAATGAATCGCCAACAGTTTCTTCCGAGAAAGGAGAAGGCTTTTCAAGCACTTCACCCAAAAATAAAGGCGCGATATGTTTCAATTTTTTGTTTTTTTGATTATCAGTTAACAAGTTAAGGCCCAAAACGGACCCAACAAGTAATCCTTATACCAAGTGTATATAGCTTTCCTGGAGGGTTACTTGTGAGGTCCATATGTGGTCACTAATAAAGTAGAGAGACGCTGCTTAGACATAGGTACGAGTACGAGTTCGTTTAAGATTACATTAATTACAAGTAGGTACAATAAACATATCGAATATGCGGTAAGTATTTAAAATTAATAAAGCGTAATTAGAAAGATTTCACTACGAACAGAAGAAGGAGAAGGGCGATGATGCTTCAGCTTCAGTTTACAAATAACAATTAAGTACAATTCGCTCTCCTTCGATTTGTGTGTGTCTGTGTTTGTTTATAAATATAAATATTAAAAATATATAGCTTCGCGCCGTGTCCTACATCAAGAAGATCAGGGTGGCGTACACCTTCCAGCGGGCGGTAAGGTTCGGCGTCCAATTACCGCTGAAATAAGCTCCAGAGCTTATAGCTGGACACGCGCTTGGCCAGATTGGCGGCGGCACTGCTGGGCGGCGATGGGGCAGACGATTCGGCGGCCAGCGCCCGTCGATTGTTGATCAGCTTGGAGCGCATCTGCTCGTCAATCAGCTCCTGCATGTCCATCTGCCACTGTTCCAGTTGCTGCGACAGCTCAACCTTCTGCTGGATGGACTCCAGCAGCTGGCTGTTGGCCTGCATAAGCTCCACCCGCGTCTTGGCCAGCTCCACCTCGGCCTTGGTGCGACGGCTGTTGGCCGCATCACGCTCTGTCTGCGCCTTGGACAGCAGCTCGTCCCGATCGGTGGTGTCCTCGAGATCGCCACGCGCCTGATCTCGCTCTTCCTTTACGTTCTGCAGCTCCACATCCGTCACGGTGACCTTGGCCTCTAGCTGCTGTATGAGCTGGTGGCTGCGCTTGATCTCGTCCTCCTGCTCCAGGACTAAATTGCGCGTTTGGTCCAGCATCTTCTTGAAATTACCTGCATCCAGGTTGAGCAGCAGCCGGGTCAGCTCGTCAGACATGGCCGACAGCATGCCTTGGCGGAACTCGATGGCCATGTGACCATCCTCGTTGCGCTCTGAGCTTGAGATGGTGTTGTCCATTGACTCCAGCTCCAGCGATATGTCAGAGTTGAGACCTGTCGGGGGAGGGGGAAAGGTTAGAGGTTTGATTTATGTTATCTCTTGGTTATATGGCACCCACCTGAGTCGTCATCGTGGCTCACTTTTAGCGAGTCCACCAAAGACTTAAGCTGTATATAGACCGATCTGGCCTCGACCCACATATGGTTGGGCTTCCCCGTTTCCGTATAGCTGCCATCGTCCTCGTCGCACTCCATTTCAAACTGCAGACTCTTTTTGCCCGGCGTGCTCGAATTTGTATCCTACAGATGGGGAATCCAAAATAATTTTGTTTATAAATATAAGTATACTTCAGAGCTTCAAATAAAGAAAAGAGTGATGTTAAAGGTAAAAGCTGGTTGATTTTGTTTTAATTTCCTTTTAAATAGATTTACGAATTTAGCATAGCTTTGTTAGTTATCCTTGAAGAGCGCTTAATGATTGGTTAGTAGATGAGGGATTTATTGAAAATAAGAAAGGGACAACTTACGGCACCCAAACGTTCACTGAGTACATTATTTTCGCGCTGGGAGCGTTCCAATGCTTGTAAGGTGGTCTAAAAAGGAAGATTGAAATTCAAATAATTATTAACAATAAAAAATACTAATTTCAAGTTCAAATTCAAGTTTTTTATTTCCTTTTTATCTTTAATTATTTTTGCCAATTTTTTTTGCTGTACGAAATTGATTAGATTTCATTCAATAAATTTCCTCAAATCATCGCTAATGAATCCATGTTGGTAAATATTTATAGAATGGAGTTTAGTCTTGGCGCAAAGCGGAGCAAAAAGAAAGTTGTTGTCGAGGAGATAAACTTGGCAGTGGCACTCGAGAAACTGCGCAGTTGGCTCCGTTGGCCCATAAATAATCTTCATTTGCTGGGTAAATCACGATTCCGTTGACGCGACGTGATAAAGCCAATTCTGGGCTACCTTCGCCTCTACTCTTTCTCCTTCTCCCTGAAGTTCTGGCTGACTTACCTCTAATTTGGTTTCCTGCTCGCGGGCATGGCGCTCCAGCATGTGGATTCGGTCGGAGGCCTCCTCTAGCGACGAGGTCAGGCTCTCCTTCTCCTCCTGGGCATGCTGCAGGCGACGCTCCAGCTCCTGCCGCTTGCCTGTGGTGAGGTTGAGTTCTGTTTTGATGGACTCCAGGCTGTTGACATGTTCCTGGAATGAGAATTTGATTTTAATTAAGAAAATTATCAATTATTATCTAGGTTTTCCATTAAAAGGGTTTAACCTACCTGCAGGCTGCTATTCCTGTAGTGATACTGGTCCTTCAGCTCCTGGATCTGGGCACTGAGCTTCAGCTCGGTGGCATGCGCCTCCTGGATCTGTTCCGTGAGCCGTGTGTTCTGGTGCTGCAGCTCATCGATGAGGATGGTCTTCTCCTTCTCCGCCTGCCGGATGGCTGTGTCCTGCGTCTGCAATTTCTCCTTCAGCTCGTTGAGATCGGACTGCAGCTCAAGGACGCGCTGGTCGCTCTCGTCCTCGGCTATTGCCAGCTTCTGACGCAGCACATGCTTCTCCTGCTCGAGTTTCTGCAAGTGAGGGTGAAAAAAAAATGAAAGTTAATTGTGTGTGCACTATATGGTATTGTTTGTTCTATGACGTCTTGTCAATTATCCGACTGTGGAGACAATGAAAGCCACCCAACAATGGGCCCTGGTACAGGCCCAGGCAAACCGCAAGGTTAACTCAGCTCTCAGCACTCGACTACTAATTGTTTGCTTTTATTTGCATTTTCAATTGGCTGCCACCGAAATGCAAAAAAAAAAAGACAAAAGAGTTGCTAGTCCCACCTCTCACTTAGTCCGATTTGCCCCACTGTGCCGGCGGCGGCCAAAAAGACTCGAGTCTCTCTCCCAAGCCCCCAAAACAATGCCAACGACTTTTGACACCGACGGCTGCTAAAGTAAAGCCAGCCGTCAAAAGAAACAAATTCCCATTATTCAAATTAAAATGCAATTGAATTTTCACTTCTTCGCTCAAAGCTGAGATGCGGTTTGCAGACAAATGGTTGGCAAAAAATACAAAAACATAAAAAAATAATTAAAAGCGCATCAGTCAGAAAGTGTGGAGTTTTCAGCCAATTGCTGAAAAATTTGATTTTAAAGTGGGGTTGTAAAGATTATTTAATTTTGTTAAAAACAACTGTTTACTTAATAGTTTCTTAGTATTTTATTTAATGTGGTTAGTTATTTTCTAATAACTGTATTTTGCGGTTAAAAAGGAATTAATAAGCTGTTATGTATGGGATTTTATGTTCACTTAAAATAAAAACTGAGTCATGTAAAGAGTGGTTGCCACAGTTCTGTATTAATATGGCAAAAAGTTCATAAATGTTTCTGAAATCGGACTTGGGAATTTTAGATAAGGTGGGAATTTCAACCTATATAAAGTTCAAAACTGTATAGATGATGAATTGATAATATTATATATAGTGGCTCGCTATATATAACTTTTCTAAGCTCATAGAAGATATAATACCCTTTTTAAAAATATTTCCAAATTCACTCTCCCTACTTCAACACCTAAGATTGATAGTTATTTTAAGATCGTTAGGTCTTGAAGCCACAGTGATCTAAGCCCGGCTTTCGACTGTCAATTTTGAATTATTGGCGCGAGAAACAGCAGCGAATAATTTGCATAATTGACAGGCGTGTGTCAGTCTTGGCCAAGTATAAGGCATGAGGTAAGTAGATATGACTAAGCGGCGCTTGCTGGGGGCTATTTGTGTTTTTTTTTTTTATAACCCGACCTTTTTGGATCAAGGCTTGCGGAGACATTGAAAATTGCATGCAAAGTTTAATCGATAAGTGGACCTTCAATTGGCAAACACTGGTGGCTAGCACTGGCAAAAAGGCCTGCGAAATAATAAAAAAACGTCAAGAAAATAGAACCCAAAGTCAAGCCTTGTAACCAATGCAGTCAGCTTCTTTTTTTCTGCTTTTTACCGCGATAGCGATGCGGAAAAGCTAATGCGACCACGTATCGGGTTGGAGAAATCACGAGTTGGCAATAAATCCGAGTAGTCAACGCGATTGTTTTGGCCTATCAGCGAAACAACTGGGAAACCGAGCGAAAAAGCAACAAACAACAACAAACTAATAAATTGGAGCGACAAAACTGTAAATGAAAAGCTTAAATAAAATTAAGGGCAATTTGCATAAAATGCAAAAGACGCTGCCAACGATGCCGAAAAAACCACAAAGTAGTTGTCGCTGCTGCTGCTGCACCAACGCTCGAGCCAAAAACCAAACCGAACCCAAGGAAAACTGCAACAATGGGAAAAACTTTAATAATAATAAAGCACAATTGCTGGACTCAAACGCGGAGGAGACTGCGCTCGGCCAGAGATAAAGCCAGGCACAAATAAAAATTATTGTACATATTGTTGTGTACTTTCTCTGTTTCCATTTCACGCTCAATGAAATGTGTTGATGATGGCAGCAGCTCCACTACTTACAGCTGCCACCAGCAGCAGCAGAAGCACCACCAAGCAGCAGCAGCAGCAGCAGCAGCAGCAATAGCAAAAGCAACAGCAACAGCGGAAGTTGCCATCAGCAGGTACACAGAGAAGTAAGAAAGACAGTTTATATTTTTATAAATACATTTAAATATATAAAACGTTTTTTAAATGCCAGCGACTTTTGGTTTTTGTTTTCTAAATAAGTTTTAAAATTTAGTTTAAAGGAAAGAACTATTTATATTTGTTTTTTCAAGCTCATTTATGCTTTGTTAATATAAATTGTCAAAAATGGGTTTTATAAAATTAATCGTAATATTAAATGAAATGTAAAGTTCACATAAACTTTTCAAGATCGAATTCAGCACCTTCTGGTTGTGGTTTTAATAGTCCAAAAGAAACTAGTCTTTAAAATAAATTACTCACTTTTAAGTTAATCTAAATTTATTTAAATCTGTCTACAATAGTGTAAGAAAATAAATTGCTTTCTGCAGATAATTTTGTGAGGAATTTGGTCTCGTGGCCAATTCCATAAATGATTTAGCATTAAAATAATTTCTTAAAAATTTGTATATATTTTACATCAAACTTTTGTCTTATAAAAGATTTGACTTATTTATTCCCCCTCCACTTTAATATAGCAAATTGATTTTTTAAGAAAAAAAAAATATAAAATGTTGACTTCAAATTTATGTTATTATTTATTTCGAATTTTAACAACTTTATTTAATTTTTTCTCTCTGCAGCCCACCGCCACAGCAGCCGTCGCTGCGCCGCCGCAAAAAATGAGTTCACATATTCAAAAGCAAAATCATGTGGCAGACTTTAATTGTAGGAAAACTAAAGAGGCAACAACAAAAGAGAAACAAACAAAAAACATAAAAAACAAAGCACAAAAACCAAAATCAGCCTCAAATTTCATGATGGACAAGCCAGTTTTGTTTTTGCCTTAATTTTATTACGTATATTTGTATTTCGAATCTTTTGAAGAAGAGTGCAGCGTCAGCCATGCAGCAGCAGTACACCGCCCCGCTGGACCTTAAACAATTCCTATTTTCCAGGAGACCCTACGCCAAGCAAGCGCAAGAGCCAGCCCAGTTGCCGAAGAGAGTATCCTTCCTTGGATCGACTCGTTGCTTCTTCAACGGGAATGATTCCCAAGAGACACAGCAAGATAGTGGCGGAGACGGGCGCATTTAGCCCAGGTCCGCCGGGGTCTCCGATCCTGGAGAAACCGGAGATCGCGGCGGGGCTAAGCACTTGAATGTTGCCGTGGAAGAACCGTTGCCGACCAAGCGACATCATCGCACAAGCGGGTCAAAGACGCATCGGAATGCACCCGGTCCCAGCCTGCGCCGCAAGGACATTCCGGCCCCTCCGCCGCCCTCGCCAGCTACTTATTCGGACCTCCAAGAGCTGAAGGCGAATATGGAGGGTCTTCAAGACGATACCAAGTCTCGAAGCATGGAGGCAGAAGCTAGCGAGCAATCTGCAAAGAAATTGAGTTCAGTGCAGCCAAAACCAGTGGCGGAGGCAGCTTTGGTTCCGCCTAAAGTACCAGAAAGTCCACCCACGGCAGAGTGCAGCATGAATGCAGCGGAGATGGACGACAACGACGTGTTCTACGACGCCCGTAGCGAGGACTCTGGGGGTGGCATATTGCCCTTAGAGGCCAGTGATCGTTCGAAAAAGGTGAGCTATATTTTCCCATTAAAAATATTTTTATATACTTCCAAAAATACATTATATAGGCGTAATAAGCTCTAAGTACCTTAGGACTAAATAATTTAGGTTATGTTAATAACGTAAGAATTATCGATGTCCAATTATCGATGTTTCGATTATCAATCTTTTCTCCTCCCCGAACTGTTATAAACTAAAACTTAATTAATAAAACACTTAATCTAATTACGGTGCAAAATTGGATGTAAACCCTACAAACATCCGAACACAACAAAACATACATACAGAAAGAAACCTGCATTTATTTCAATCGAAAAGGAAACGTGAGCCACGTGTCACGACGCTCAAAAGTATCGCTTTACAAAATTATCGATAAGGTGCCACATGCACCTCTGAAATCTGAAAGCACATTGTGAAATTAACAAGCGTCGGTTTTGGAATATCGCTCTTCGTTTTGGCAAAATGGACCAAGTTGAAGGTATAGCTAGAGCTGGAGGATCTCCACAACCGTTGTACATGGAGTTGATTGTCTACGCAACAACCTCCTGCCGAATGTTTTACATCCAAGACGCTTCCGCCTGGCTAGAGTGGTCCTCGGAAGACCCTCGTGGTCAGAATCTCACCGCCCAAGAAGCGTGCCGCATGTTCCTGACAAAGGTCCTGCCCCACATAGACACCTATCAGCTGCCGGCAAGTATCAAAAACCGCTGCAAGCTCTGGAATTTGCATCCGTTGTTTCGACGCGTCGCCGAGGGTTATCTGTACGTTGGGGAAAGCAGCGGACTAACTGCCCGCTTCGTAGTGGAGCCGAACCGAGATTTTCGTCTAGTCAGTGGAATATCCGGGGTAAATATAGACATGATTCGACTATGATAACGATGGTAATAGCTCTTTGTGATCCCAGCAGAGCGAATCCGCAGAGAGATCCCACACTGTGCTTATGGATAACGAGGCTGTAGAACACCAAACTTGCACTGGGTACAATTTTAAGATTAGCGTTGAGATGGCAGCTCTATTGTCAGTCATGGTGTCCACCGATCAGGAGCTATCCATTGGCCAGATGCACGATCTGGCTGAGATTCACCGCCGCTTGCGCCTTGCCAAGCAATCTTTTGAAGATACTGGCAGTCTGGCTCCCTTTCGTTCTGAAGTCGACCACCTCGTGTACAATATGAATATATTTGTTAACATAAAAGAGAAGCTTTGTCGCGTGATGAGTAATTGCAAGAAATATTAGAATCTTTGGATTCAGCTGTATTTAAAAATATCTATTATATGTTATTAATCGTTCTATAATCCTGTATTAACTTTTACTCACCCCTAAATACGCGAATATTTGAATACTTTTGTATATGTGGAATTTTATCAATCTTAATTTGACTATTTAAGTCCAATTATATATTAAGTACTTTATCAGCCTTAATTTTCTTGGTAATCTAACTAAATTTGAATACTTTATCAATTTTTATTTGGTTTTTAATACAAAAACTATTTTAATCCAACGATATTTGAATAATTCTGTCAATGTTATTACTTTAATTTCAATACAAATACGCGATTATTTTAATCTTAGTTTATATGAAGAATTTGTACGAATTTAATTTAGTTTTTAATATAAAAACCCAGAAGGGGCACTAACCACTCAACATGTAATAATTAAATTGAGTTCATTGAGCTATATGGGAGGTATAGTTTTACATCATTTGAAAGTGAAAACAAAGACACCATTGCTAACGAGAATCAAGGCAAGGCCGCCGCTGACAGCGAAATGGCGCACTCTGTCTAGGATATTCAGTACCCGCCTCCTGCTGAGGCTGCGCCGTCCGCCATCGCGGGCAGACCGGAAGGGAATGTCATCAATATTGGCAGCGACGAAGCGGAGTCCACAAAGAAGCATCGAAGCCTAGCTGAGGAGGACATGTTGACTTCAAATGCAAAAAATGAGTTCACATATTCAAAAGCAAAATCATGTGGCAGACTTTAATTGAAGGAAAACTAAAGAGGCAACAACAAAAGAGAAACAAACAAAAAACAGAAAAAACCAAAGCACAAAAAACAAATGCAGCCTCAGATTTCATGATGGACAAGCCAGTTTTGTTTTTGCGTTAATTTTATTACGTATATTTGTATTTCGAATCTCTTTTCCATCCACAACTAATTGCATTGCATGATCGCCATTGCCAGCGCCCGAAATGGGATATAGTCGCTGCTGCCACGGATGGCTGTAAGCAAACACGCCCCAGCAGCCGCTTATGTTGCCAGCTTATGTTGTATGCTGCCACAATGTTGCCATGGCTTATTTGTCTTATTCAAATCGCGATGTAACTCGACCCACTTTCGAACCAAACGCTCCTTTGTCGAGGTATGAAAATTATAAATATTTTTGTGCAGCGAAATTTTTGCGCAGGAAATGTCGAAGCAATTGACACGCTTAGCGACAACGACTGCCGACAGAAATAATACAAAAAAAAAAATAATAATAATAATAGGAAAATAAACTAGGCAAAAACCCCGACGAGCGACAGGTGCGCACAGGTGACTCATCAATGGGCCAAGTGCCATCGGGCGAGTGTGCACTTATGCAAATACCTCTCTAATGCCGGCCCAAAGTGAGCCAGGTAAATAAGGGGAAACCTATTCACGCTCGACTCGAGTGGGAGCGAGGGTTTCGATTAATTTGACACTTAAGCTTGGGTTAAGTAAATAGGGATTGCGTGATTTAGGGGATAATTGGATGGTCTGGATGAGGAGTAACCACAAGTGGATAGCTTTTAATTGGGCAAAACCTTTAGATTTGACATTCATTTAGTGATTTTTTACTGGTTTATTAAGCCAGCAACTATTATTAGGGTTTTCTAAAGACAAAACTTGCTGATCTTTAAAAAAAATCGTAAGAAATTTTGTAAAGGGTTTTAACTTATATCTAAAAATTCTTCTTCCTTAAAATGTTTAATTTCCGAAACCAAAAGTCTGGTCAAGTGTCTTTAGAGATACTTCCCCCGAAGTGGTAATTATTCTTCTTCTATAACCTAAATGTTAACTCTTAAAAGACCACAAAAAAACAATTTTAAGTTGCTAATTTTTGTAGATTGCAGAAGCATGTTTTTTGTCCTCCCATCGAGTGAGTAAAGTATAGAAACCAGCGGCTTCAATAGCTCCACTGATGGGTTTGGGGAGTGTTGAAAGCGGCGTGCCGCCATAGCTGCAGAATGCATTCGATAATTGCCGTAAAATAATTAACTAAATTGCCGGCCCAGTCACGTTGGCCCGGCTAGAATCGTGCCATAAGGGGTTGGGGGTAGAGAGTGACTCGCTTGAATGCTCATTGGCAAGAGCGATGAGTTGACAAGGCTCACTTCTTGCGGACGGATGCAACAGGTAAGCAGGCAGCAGATTCGAATGTCAAATGAATGGGAATTACCTTAGTAGACAAAGGTTTACACAGAAAAAAAAGTATACTATTAATTGAATTTTATAAAAAAAAAATTTTAAATTCCGTCTTTTATCTTCAGTAGAATCTTTTAAATCTTAATGCCTTTGTTTTTCTTATATCTATAAATATTTTATGCATAATTTTATACCAATGAGTATTCATTTATTCAATAGGAAAATTAAGAAAATATTAAGACACATTAAAGCCGGTTACAGTGCATTAATAAACCTTCGGCTGGCTAAGCATTTTGAATTGCTAAAGATTTGCTCAGAGCCATGACTAAGACCGGGTGAGCTGAGCTCAGCTTGGCTTAACTCAATCCGGATTGTTTTGGGCGGGTGAGTCAATGGCCCAGACAGCATTTCCAAATGCATTTTCCACATGCTTTTGCCTTGCCTTGCCATGCATTTTTCTGGCATTTTTCTTTTGGCATTTTTCTTGGCTGTGCGTATTTAGCCGGAGTTCATAGATAAATCAACCGGACTTCGCTGCACAAAATGCCACTTTGGGGGTGGAAAGTGGGGCCTGTCCGGTGGCGAGTGGCAGGAAAAGTTGCAACTTTCCGTTTTCCCAAGACACATTTCCAACAATTACACTTTTAATTAGCGGCACTCGCACATAATTGCTAATGCCATAATGCACTTTATTGGCATGCAAAGCGAAATGTGGCTCACAAATTATGCAAATTGCACGTTTAGTGGCAAGCGTTTTGACTAATTTCAGCTCATTTAAATGGATTAATGATCATCGCTGATAACAAAGAGGGAAGTCTTGTGAAAAGTCTCTCCTTCGCTGGCTTAAATTGTTGCAGCTTGTCGGTTGGCCAAGAAGCGAGTGTGAAATGCAGCAATTAGCGAGGGGGATTTCCCCACACTGCAATGAGATTGCACAGCATGGTTGTCGACAATAAATCAATTCGACTGCCAGGCTCTCTGGCTCTGCTCTGGTGGCCAGAAAAGCAATTGAATTGTCAACAGCCCACAGGGTTTGGAAGGTGGCCAAGAGCTGCACTGGGAAATTTATATAGAAAATTTATTCAACAAGGAACAATAATTTAAATCAAATAAAGGACCAAAAACCATCGAACTTTCTACAGAAAAGTTCACAACGTTTCACAGACATGGTAAAAAAAAATATATAAATCTGTAAAATTTATAGTAAATATATTTTATTAAAGAATACTTAAGATTTGATTGTTTTCTTGGCTAAATATTGAATCACTGTGAATATTTAAAACCAAAATCTGATTAAGGTTGTTTAATGCATGTCTATAAAGCAATATCTTATCACCTTATAAGATAGGAATTTACACTTTTGATTACTTTTGGGTCGTTCATGTGAGAAGTGATAACGAGTTTACTTTTTAAGAGATATAAAAACTCGATTTATCATTTTATCAAAGCTTTATCATATGAATTGGTGTAATTTTGGCAGAGTTTTTTCTACAAACTCTAGAGTCTTATTAATACTTTTTTTCCCAGTGAAAAAACCACATGTTAAATTAAATCAAACTGCAATCTAGCTGTGTTTTTGTCACCCGGAACACTTCATAGTAACTCCCCATAATACAAAACCATTAACAATGCACCAGGCGAGTAAGTGCAGCATTGACCTCCTCCCCCCATTTTATGACCAAAAAACAGACACACACAGACGACAAGCGTCGCGAAATGAACTGATTCTCAACTTTGAAGCCATAAAAACAGATTATATAGACCAAGTCCGAAAACACAGACGAAGTTGTGGGCCAAAAGTTTGTTTATGCGCCTAAGGTCATGTCGCAGTCAGCGGGGGGGCGTGGCAGTACTCACTTGGGCCTCCGCCACAGTTGACTGACTGACTCGACTCGTCTTCGACGGCTCGACGTCCAACTTTCAGGGCTTAATAAGTATAATAATAAAAAATAATGCCACAATCAGGCAAAAGGCGAATCTCTGCCATTGTTCGGTGCTGTTCGGTTTGCTCGGCGGCAACTTCAGGCAATGCAATTTCGGTTGCCCTTGGCTCTGCGAGAGTGTAAGCCAAGTGTGGGCCAAAAGCCGCAAGCCATGCAAGACCACTGCTGCCAACTTGGTCATGGTGAGTGGCGTGGCAAAGGGATGATAACAATTGGGGGATTTATTTGCCATGATTATTATTGCTACACACAATCGCTAATTAATTCAGAGGAAATCAATATTAGCTTGGAAAAGTGTCAACAGGAATGAATGGAGTTTAAAGTAGAAATATATTGTTGTTAGATAATACTTAACTTAAGTTAAATCCCATTTTATAGCCACAAATAAAGGTCCAATTAAATTATTGAAAATAAATAAAAGCGTATTTATAAACCATTCGTTTGCGTTTCAATAAAAAACTCTACAATTTGTATTATTTTATTCCACAGCTTAACTTTTAAACACCCAATTTAAAAAGCTTAACTTCAAGCAACTAAATGTAAAACCCTGGCAAAAAAAAGGTTTATTGGCCCAACCCCTTTTGAAACCCACTTCAAGTCTCAATAAGCCGGCATTATTTTGCCAAACATTTTCTGCTCCATATTTTTGTGTACATTTTTGTGCAATTTCATGGCAAAGAAAAGCCCTCGGAATTACAAATAAAATGCAATGAAATCGACATTCACCGTTTGTAATTTCAAGTGTTTGGCATTGACAATATTTTCGTGCCCAGACATCCCCCGTCATACCATTGTTAAGGAAATTGTGAAAACGCCGAAGAATTGGGCAAGCGAATTTATATTTTTATCTTCGAGACGAAAACGGTTTCGAGAGCAAAGTTAATTAAACCAATTTCGGGATGAGGGGCAAGACGAAGCATGGCAAAAACTTAAAGTGTCGCAATTTTTTTTTAGGCGGCTCTTCAAATGTGACAACAACGACAAAATGTGACGGCAACTAGAGTCGGAAGTGGTAATTATGATTAATTAGCAGCTCTTTGCGAGTTTAGAAAGTGTGGGTGTGGGAGACATTGTTTACAAAATACTTAATAAA